CCCTTGGTTGACCTGACCCTGGCATGGGTCCCTGGAAATTCGGGCCGTAGAGGCAACGAAAAGGTTGATTTGTTCGCAAAAATGGGGGCCAACATGGTCTCTAGGTCCTGAACCCTACTGTGGCTAGCTGCCAAAAGAGGATACGTTTTAAAATGGATCCTTAATGAGTCCAAAACCTGGTGGAATAATACCACGGGTATGAGGCTCGCGAAGAGATTCATAGAATGAACATCCGCAAAACTTACAAAAGAATTCCTGGAAGGCAACGCCAACCAGGATTCTGGTTGGAATCCTGACAGGGCACTCCACTTAAGAAGGCACATGCACCGGAGTACAGACAGAAGAAACACAGTACAGATACTGCTAGGAAGAGGAGGAGACCGCAGAGCACATTGTATGTTTCTGTGAAGTAACATTGAAACTGATCCTAGACGCAGGTTCTTGCAACTAGGACAAGAAAAACCACAAGCAAGATCCTACACTAAGGAGCCAATGACAAAGCTGTACAGGCTGATTAGTAACCTGAAGCTGACCAGTGAGTTATAAATAACAGGGGAGCACAATAGATCTACTCAGGTCGACGTGTCGTAGTTTTGTGGCCGACTCTTTTTTCCCTATCCTTTCCTTGTCTACGGAGCAAATAGGATGCCGCCCAGTATAAGAGGAAATATCAAATATTCCACCGGACTAAGTGAATGGCATATAAATAGGAAAATGAACATCGGGGCTTATCAAATGTGACCTGGGGTTCCGCCGAGTCTAACTAGGGGGTCCTCGGCGAACTTCGAGAAAAAGTAATAATTACAAAAATAAACGGAGAATGATTAAATACAATTAAAGACTAATAACAATGAGTACTGAAAACGAATTTTTTTTATTTTGCAGCAGCAGTCATTGTAACCACAGGCATGCTTTAGCTATGAAACAAACGCCACTTTTAAATGTTTTGGATGAGTCTGTTCAAGTTATTAATTACACCAAGTCGCGGCTATTTAAGTCAAGACTTTTCTTAATACTATGTGTCGATACGGGAAGCCTTCATCATTCCCACCTTCACCATACAGAAGTTAGGTGGCTATCTTGGCGAAAGCACTTTCATGATTACTGGAATTACGTTCGTCTAATCTCTCTTGATGGAACACAATTTCAAATTGCCCAACGTTTTCAGTTATGAGAAATGGCAATGTATACTGTCGTATTTATAAGATATTTTCATTAAAATGAATGAGATGAGTCTTTGCAAGGGAAGAGTATCACAACTTTCGATGCTAATGACAAGTTCACGCTTTCATATGAAAAATCCAGTTTTGGGTTGAAACTGTTAAGAAGGAATAGGTTGTCTTTTCCTGCGTTAAATGATTTTTTCTTTTTAAAGAAAACAAACTGGAGGTTGCGAACGTCACCCGTTGATGGACACGAATTGATGAAATATGTGAACACCTTCCAAATTGGGAGATGCCCTTTGAGCACTAAGAAATGAATTAAATTATGACATACTAGCTGGAGCAGAAGTATCTGCGATACACAATGTTTATAATGTAATATAACTTTTTTTAACGTGCTGAACGAAGTGCTGACCCTAGAGTCTATACCTCAGAGGTTTACCTACCCAGTCGCTAATATCCCACTTAAGCCAGATGCTCAGGAGATTGTCGGGGGTTTTTGACAGCTAGGTCAGTTCAGCCCCCAACGCCTGCAAAATATAACCTTGCCTAAAACTAATCTATAATACAAACGCACAAATAAATACATTCACACCTATGATTGCGGTCATTCTTGTTGGTTAATGGAATATTCAATATCATGGACCAATAAACTAATCGAAATTAGACGGGTTACTTTTGTAAATATTCTACCATGTGCCCTAAACTCAATGTTGGAAGGGCGATGGTGTCACTATATTTTTCCATCAGTCCCCACCACTCACTCTAATAAATACATATTATACTTGTTCTTTCTTAGAAGAATTATTTGAATTAACTAAAAACTAAACAATTTAATAACTCATAAGTTCGGTTTTTTCCATTCTTATAATCGTAAAAAGGTAACTAAAAGGTTCAATTATAATATACACATGTTAATTGCCGAATTGTGAAGAATGATTAAGTGCAGTTTAACACAAGTATTGAAGAACGTCCTTCTCTTAAAATCAATACGTTTTTATTATTTAAACACCATTTTCCTTGGACTAGGTTCAAAAAGTTTATCGAATATCAAATGAGATTAAAAAGAGAAAAACAGTTTTTGTTGAGATTATTAGTTCGCCAATTTATAAACTAAAATTTTTATTCAAATCAAGTGATGGTTCAGGATTTTACAAAACAATAAAACGATATATAAATTTATCCTTGATCGTCCTACTATACCAGGTAACCAGAAGAGGTCGTGCAGTTGACATTCAATCCTGACAAACCACTGGGCCCCTGATGCTGGGCTTGAAAAATCTGTTTTGGTTAGTCTGCACTCTTTTTATACGGCTGCTGCCGAAGCCCATATTCGACGGTTATATTGGCATATCGTCCGGATACAAGACTCTCTTAAGATGTACTGGGAACGGTGAAGTTAGGCCAATTATGAGTCTTAAGCATAAAATTCGGTATCTGGCGCTGTTATGTCATTGATATGTTAGCGCCAAGTGAGTTTACTGTACTGTATAAGACCTAGATAGTGGACGGACTCAACTTTAAGGACTATTAAATCCATTATATTTCGTGGTCTATTGTGCAAATTACTTCATTCAATTAATTAATCTTTTTATGTAAGGTTTTGGTTGAAATGAAAAAGCTAGTGCCACGAGCGGGATTCGAACCCACGGCCTTCGGCTAAATATGCCGCTGCTCTACCACTTGAACTATCGTGATTTCGATTCACTCGGACACCAACTCTCCATCTCAACTTACAACCGTTCGAATTTTCCCTCTTTTTGTCATTTTTCAAATGTCGTGTAATCTGGATTCGATTCTCGGCGACATATGAAGTGACCATGGGAAGCTGTTAGTGAAGTTATTCTTTGTTTTACTTATTAAATCCATTATATTTCGTGGTCTATTGACCAAATTACTTCATTCAGTTAATTAATCTTTTTATGTAAAGTTTTGGTTTAAATGAAAAAGCTAGTGCCACGAGCGGGATTCGAACCCACGACCTTCGGCTAAATACGCCGCTGCTCTACCCCTTGAGCTATCGTGACTTCGATCCACTCGGACACCAACTCCCCAAGTGGTAGTGCAGCGGCGTATTTAGCCGAAGGTCGTGTGTTCGAATCCCGCTCATGGCACTAACTTTTTCATTTCAATCAAAACCTTACATAAAAAGGTTAGTTAGGGACTATTTCAGCGTTTAGGGCTATCATTTGCGATTGTGCATCTTTTAAGTACGTGAAAGTCACCAGTTTCGCCTTCTCAGCATTCAAGTTTATTCTCCACTTTTTACACCATTGGGAGATTTGTGTGAAGTCTTGCAAGGTCTAGCTGGGCCAATGCTTAGGACGGCAACATCGTCTGCAATTTGGGATATAACTGAACTATCCGATTAGAAACCGTTACAAAATGAAGTATTAAACAACTGACGGAGTTCAGTAATGTTTCCATAGACGAAATTCAATAAAATATACCATCTGAAGGGCCAATTTCGCTGCCTGCACAAAAAAAAAGAAAAACAAGAAAGTGGTGCTTCACCAACCAAGTGTTCTTGGCTAAGAATCTTGATATAGATTTCTTACCAACAAATCTGTTTTGAATTGTTTTATTACGATTTTTATTTGTTAAACAAATAAGGGCGAGCGAAATCCCTGATAGTAACTTCGTCCACCATTTCGTTTAGAACTGAATCGCAACATGAATCTTGGTGTAGATACGGTTTTTTTTTTTTTTTTGTTGCGGAGCAGTGTCTGAACTGATTCGAGCATTGCAACTATTCAATACATCGTAAATCGCTACAAAAATCGACTCAAAGAGTTTAAATTGTGACTTTTTTGTCTAGGTCCGTCTATTCTCGCTGGTTTTGGGGTTTTGCCATGATATTCAAGAACTCCCATTGTATTATATAAAAGTGATATGTCCTCTTGTAATGAATGTGGTAATGAGCAAGCTAAATAAAAAAGATAAATACAAAGGTTATTTTTATAATTTTTAAGCCAGTAATGACAATAAAAAATGGCTTTGGTTGGAGGCAAATTTGCCCGGTTTAATCCAAGAAATAATAAGAATAATTTAAAAGAAGAAATAATTTAATAAGAAGGGCACTCTCAACACGACACGCAAGGATGGCACAATTACACAGAAGACAAACACTTTGAGCCCTGAAGATGATCTCAATAAAAGATCGAAACGTTGGCGCGATAAAGAAAATGTTTTTCTGAAACCTACATCACACCCGACCGCATCTCACGATATCTGAATAACAACCAAAGAAATAATGATTCTTTCATTTTCACCCGTGCCCTATAACTATTGAACAAATGGATATCGGTAAAAAGTAAATTTAGGAAACTTTTGTTTTCAACTTTACTTGCATGGACAAATTTCGCATTTTGTATTATCGCTTAAATACCGTCCGATTTTTATGACCTATCCATCAGCCCAACAGTTTGAACGAGGAGGGCAGGTATACTTCTGTATCCTAACATAGAATGGCGCATAAAAGATCCGAACTCTTTTGTTCTCCACACGTTCAAGTTGGTTCGGCTTGCAATATATAAATTTTAGTGAAAATTTTTTTTTTCGTCACACTTTATTACCAGCGCGATGTAATCCATTTGTAAGAGCAAGATAAATTGTAATACATAATAGCTTTATTGTGAAACATATTTTTCTGAATCTTAAATTAATAATAATGGGCTCAATTTATTAACAAAACAATGTCTTGCAACTATAAACTGCAAACAACTTTTATATATATATATATATATATATATATATATATATAGAGAGAGAGAGAGAGAGAGAGAGAGAGAGTTATACGTTTCAAGCAAAAAATAGACAGAGCACATTACTTTTTATTTGTTTATTTACTAACACTTATCTAAATTTTATCTCATTAATCTCAAGGTCCATCCTTACTTTTTATTACCGCTAATAAACTGTTTCTCATTGATATAACTAGTTTTTTGTCACGACCGGGGATCCTGCAAAATTTTTTCTTTTAGTTGGTTTTTGTTTTTAATTTTCCATGTTTTCAAGCTGGCTTACCAAACGATCCCACAAGAACTCAATAGGGTTAATCAGGCGATTGGGGTGGTGTCTAGGTGCATTATGTAGTAGCCAATCTTGAGTTTTCCTTGATTGTTTGGGGTTGTTGTCTTGCTGGAAAGTAAAAGAAATTGATGAATTTTGGAAAATAACAAAATAAAACGTTTTAATTTCATATTTTTGTTTATTGGACAACAAATTTTTTTAAACAAATTAATACCGTATTTAATGTCCTCTGTTAGCTAAAATCTCTCTACACCTGTCAGGTATACTGTTAATAAAGTTGTCATTAATTTCATAAAGAATTTCACTACATAGACGTTGCAACGCAGTTGTTGCAGATCAACTGGCTGCGGATGGTGATCGAAAAGCCTTATCTGTAACGCATCCCATATGTGCTCAATGAGATTGAGGTCTGGAGACAATGGGGAAAGGGGCAGGGAAATTTCCAGGTTCAATTCTGCCTCTGTGGGGTCTGACATTGTCATCCAGAAATCGAAAATTCGTGCCAACGAGATCCCTGGTTTGAGGCTTGTATTTCTCGTTAATTTTTTGGACACAACGGACTACGGTGAGGTTGCCTTCAACAATATGGAGTCGAGTTCGTCCACCAGTGTAAATCCCAGCCCAGACCATTCCGCCTCCTTCAAACTGCACTGAAGGCAGCATGAACGGGCCATTGGACGCACCCCAGTTCTCAGTAGACTCTTCGGCGCCTGCACTATACAGATAGAAACGCGACTCATCAGAAGGCAGAACAGCATTCCAATTTATGCAATCTTCTAGGCTCGCTGCACCATATTCTTCTGAGTTGCTGTTGGCTATTGGTGCAGGTCGTCTCAAAGGGGATGTGAGGCGTAAATTACGAATCGTTTGTGCTGATTGCCTTGCCAAAACCTCTTGTACATCATTCAGGATCTGGCGGGCACTATGGAAAGGGTTACGTCGTGCAGCAATGACAGTATTTCTGACCTTCCTTAGTGTCGTCATGCGCCGAGATACACTAACAGGCCTCCTATTGGCACTTCCCAAAGCCCGGGAGACCATGCTCTGAGGACGCCAATTGCTTGTGCGATATCCACTTGCCGGTGACCATGGGGGTCTCAATTGTCACCTCATCAACTTCTGGTTCAAGATGATGTCTTTCCATGATTAAAGAGAATAAAACTGGATTAAAATGGAGAAAAGACGAGAAAAGGTGTTTGTTTACAGACTGCGTAATCTTCATGTTTACTATTCTTAAGTAAATCCGTTATTAAAAATGAGGATTAACATTTGTTTGTATTTTCTATATTGTTTTATCCAACTAACAAGAATATATCAGTTAATTTAATTAAAATTAATAGAAGAAGAATATATTACAAATTTCCCTATTCATTTTTGAGCAGTTTAGTGTTGGTCCAACAAGCACCTCATCGGAAATATGTTTAACCTTTGTATGTCCTTTTTCAAGTCTACCCCTGGCTTTCGCCACACTTTTTTTCTTCCTTCGGACCTGACATTAAACTTGCTATCATCGGTAAAAATAACACTCTCCCAAAATGCATCCTCAAAGTATGACTTCAATTAAAGTCGAAAGCTTGGAAGAACTGTCTTCGGATTAACAACCCCAATCATGACCACCTCAATCATTACATTAGTATAATTACAACTGCTGGTTGATCTATCAATAATTTATAACTCAACCGAGGTTCAATCATGACCTTTTTCAACAACATTGAAAAACAACACGGACCAGAAGCAAAAAAATCTGAAGATGGCTTCAAATAAAATGAAAAACTTGGCAGTCTTTAGATTAAGAAACATCCCAAACCCTGTCTACAACCTCGATCCGTCAGTATAATTACAACTATTGATCGATATTATCAATAATTTGGTATTTCGTACTGTTCAGGGTGTAATTGACATATTACAATCGTAATACAGAATACCTGAAAATTTGGGGGCACTTGACCAGTTCTTTCTTAGTTCTTTGGATGGTGTTTGGTTTTTCTGTCCAGCCTGTTTTCAGCATTATCAAGCTCCTTATACCGGAAGAAGATTTAATTATCGAGAGTTGCTTATTAAGTAGTTACTCATTAAGTCCTATTTCACGAAATGATTTTCCTTCATTATACAATCTGACAATTACTTCCATTGTGGACCGCAGTATTTCTACATTGAAGGGTAAAATCGCACTAACTAGACAAAATATGATCCCTATTAAGATAATATACACAAACAAAACAAAGAATAAGACTGAAGATAGTGAATTTTGGAAAATAAGTGTTCGGAAACTTTTTTGCATCTTGATTAGCGCATGCAAATTTGTTTTGACAGCAATAACCTTTAAATTGAATAATTTATTTTTTATTATTTAAAAGCCTTTAAATAATAGATTAAAATTTACAAAAATAATGTTTTATATATGCAATGATTTACGATAAAAAATTTGGAGTTCATTTTTTGGGCAAACCAGTTGTTCAGGCTATTTTTTACTGAGTATTGGGTCTCATCTGGCATTATTACATATTATTATTATTAAATAACTCATCGCTTATATAAAAGTTATAGGCAGTGCGTGTGATCCTTCTTTAAAAGTTACGTCTTGATAAATATCAAGATAGAAATCTAACTCCTTGATCCGACGAATCAAAATACGACGTTCTCTCTTTCAAACTGCTTTAAAGTAAGATCAAAAATTGACGGATTGTCAGTCCATTGGTGGCTGCGTATGTCAATTTCTCTCATAAACTTTGAACGAAACCCTCGTAGAATTAGAAGAGAACATTCTAGCCACCCCTACTTCCTATTCATGGGAGGGGATTAGGACTCTATATAACAGCCTCGATGGCCCGGGGCATGCTCTGTGTCTCATGGTATCGTTGCCGTTTCAAAATGGCTACGTATCGGGAGCTGCTACGACTGGCAATCTTCATCATCCTAGCTGTTTACATTATAGGTTGGTAGATGTATCGAATGTAAATTAATGTTTTACGAGAAAAAAAAATCCATCATCATTTACTCCCATAATTTGAACATAGTGACAATTTTATTGTCTATTGTCTAGCCAAATTCTGACATAATATCCATTTAAAATCAAGTTATTCAGTTATATGCATTTGAAAATAGCACTATGCCAATCTGACAAATAAGATTTTTTTTTAATTATTTCAATAAAAATGTTCAGCTGCTCTTATATGGAATGCAATAATAAATCAATGCTATACATATTTATTTAGAAATCGTGAGATGCGGTCTGGTGTGATGTAGGTTTCAGAAAAACATTTTCCTTATCGTGCCAATGTTTCGATCTTTATTGAGAGATTGAATATATAAAATATATTTTGCATTGTATAAATTCCCTTTTCCACATCCAAAATGTACTTGTAATATGTAAACAATGTTTGTAAATCCCAGGCCCTGAAGATGATCTCTATAAAGATCGAAACGTTGGCACGATAAAGAAAATGTTTTTCTAAAACCTACATCACACTAGACCGCATCTTACGATTTCTAAATAAATATCGATTAACGGTCACTAATCACCACACATGCTATACATATTATGCGGTATTTTGTCACAGAATTAATTTCTGTACAAATATTTTTTGTAACTAAATTTTTGGCAATGCACAAGGCAATTTTTTAAATTCTCAACAAACTGATTGAACCCCCCTTCCAAATTATCCCATCGACCCTCAATTAGATTAGTTATGTTTTGTGTTGATAGTGAATGCATTTATTAGCGAGAATGTGAGAGGGCCAATGGCGGAATTACCCGTCGATCCTAATATAAGGACATATTAAGATTAAAGTTTAAAGGATGTGGAATATCGAGTACTCCACCGTCTTAACTTAGCGAATGGTGTATATGTCGGTATGCAAATAGGAAAAAATGTTTTAAGAAGTCCGGGTGGGTTTGGATTTAGGGAATAATTGCGTTTGGTGCTGAATTGACCCAGCTGTTGACATCTGTTGAGCTGACTTAGGTGACTAGATGAAAGACATGGATCTGACCCCGGACTGGCAAAACCCGAGGTTCTCAGGTATTGGCAGACCATGATGTATAAAGTAATAAACATTATTAGCTCATGTGTTCACGAGTGACATTGGTTGAATAAAATTAAATTATCCTGTATTTCTTTTAGCGTGTTTACTCCTTTGCGATGAAACCTCATCATGGATTGTTTAGGTACATTCAAACGCTTTTAGTTCCAGGAGAGGTTCTTTTATTTAAGGAATTTATTAAGTTAATATTTTATTAAATACCTAAACATAAAGCGTTTAAATTTACCAAAAAAATCCGTAAAATTATTTGGTTTTTAATTCGATATTACAAATAAAGAATAAAAAAAACCATCCAACATCTCAAAATGCAATGATCGGCGGAACAAAATAATAATTCAATATATTTCAATTTTTTCTCAATAATTAACTATTGCTTTAGACCGTGTTCGTATTATAATTAATTAATTGTTGCAAGGCAAATAATTTTTAGTAATGCCTAAAAATATTACTCAAAAAGCTTTTTAAAGTTTAAGGGATTTGAACGACAGAAGTTCGAGAGATTTTTGTTCGAACTTCTCTTCATAAAAAATGGGAATTTCGTGAATAATAAAAGTAAAGAAAAGGTGAGTTGAAAGTGATAAAAACTAAATTGAAAGTATTATTGAAAATAATATAAAATAATAATTATCGATTAACGTTCACTAATCTCACCATATATAAAATATAAAATTGTTGAAATAATGTAAAATTGTTTATAATTCATCGTGAGCGCTTTTTATGTAAATTTTGTGTAGATTAAAAACCGTCTTTTGTACTTTAACCAGTTTTAAAAAAAATCGACTGGTAATAAAAACAAATATAACAAAAACGAAAAAGAATAAACTATTGTGTTTACATACGAAAGGGCTTTTGGTCCAGTCGCCATTTATGACCTGACTTCTTTTGAAATGTCACCTCTGATCATGCCGCTTTTCCATTTTTCTTCTAGAACTATAGGAACTATTCACTAATTTCGTGGTCCGCTTGACCAATTATAGCTCAGGTGGTAGAGGTGCGGCGTATCTAGCCGAAGGTCGTGGGTTCGAATCCCTCTCGTGCCATTAACTTTTTTCATCTCAACTAAAAACCTTAATTAATTGTATAGGAACTGTTTAGAACTTTGTAGAAATTGCAACAAATAATGAATTCGAATCAATTTTTGAACTTTTTCGCGTGGAAAACCACCAAAATAAATTTGTTATCTTTGAACCATTTATAATTTCCCCTCTTTGATAATTCATATGATTTAAATCTATTTCGGGTTATCGTTGTTTTGTTATCTATTAAAAAAAAATAAATAAATAAAAACATGCCAGACCTCGATAAAAAGAGATAAAGTGGGAAAATTTAAACTTTCACATAAGATATTGGCTGAAAAAACAGCGCAGTAAAACAGACGCTGAAGTTTTACAGTTCCTAACTTTGAAAAAAAATTGAATTTTTGAAGAAGAAAAAACGGACGCTTGTGTTTTGTTGTTTATTGCAAAAGTGTATTTTTACCGTTATATTAATTACAACATCTTTATTTTAATGTAAACCAAATTAAATAAGATCAGTAATTCTTAGTTTTAATTATGATAGTCTCGAAGACATTCATCAAATCCCAGAAAATCTTAGTGATAGAATAAAATTTAATCTGTCACCAAATAATTTTCTAGTGTTTGAATAATTTTTTTTTGCCCTGAGCCCTGAAGATGATCTCAATAAAGATCGAAACGTTGACACAACAAAGAAAATGTTTTTATAAACCTACATCACACCAGATTGCATCCGATTTCCAAATAATCATTATTTTAAAAAAAATTAGAATTCATGAATTTCTGATCTAGTTTAAAAGTAGAAAGTAAAGTAATTCAAAGCCATCCAGAAGTGCTTAAATCCGACTATCTGTTGTGGGTCGTGGGTCAAAACAATTTACAATAAATATTTCTTTCTTATTATTCTCGATTAAAAAGCCATAGGCTACACTCGGATTCGAACCCAGAACCACTAGCTTGACAAATACAAGTCGGGCGCCCTAGCCATTTGGTGGCCATTGTAGTACCCCGATCTCGTTTAATTTGCATTAAACTAAGTATATTGCAATTAATATAATGATAAAAATACATACATACAATTTGGGATAAACAACAAAATACGAGTGTGTCTGGTTTTTGTCGTTGAGTGTATGATTTTGTTGTGTGATAGTTTTTCTGTCCTATTTCCTTTCAAAATTAATATGATCAAAAAGAAAATATATGTCTAGGTTGAGAAAATAATTTAATTATTATTAGGTGATATCTCTGACATTCATGTTACTTTTTTACTATTTCTTGTGCAAATTATATGACATAGTTATGAGTTTTATAGTGAATAGAATATTGCATATTTGAGGTTTTATTAGTGTACATCATGTGGCATATTTGATTATTTTATTGTGTATAAATAAATTCAGGCTCTAGTCATAAGTGTCACAACTCATAAGGTTTGCTTCCAGTGAAGAGGTTCCGCATGATCAACTTCTAGGCAGCTTACTACATTTTTAACCAATATCAAAATAGTGTATGAAATTGTTAAGATTTAATGGGTTGGAGGTTAATAAATAAACCAGTAACAATGTACAACAATTTATTATTGATATATAGCAAGATTGGGGTGTCGGTAGCGTTGACAGTGTCCATCACACATCATTAGACAAAGGGTCCAGAGTTTGAATCTAGTGACCTTGACTTTGAACCAAACATAAAAATATGCTTTTTTCAAAATCACAGGTACTTCAGAGGTTGATATACCCTCTGCTGCTGCGAACCCCAAAAGAAAAAAGTCTCTAGTGACTAAAGATAAGACTTTAATTAAGTTTTTATTATAGTTTTCAATAATTGATTTTGGTTGAATTGAATAATTATTATTTAGAATGTTTAGAATATTCGGCATTTTAGAATTTCAGGTGTAGTTGTTTAGTAAACATATTACAAGATATTGAAATATTCATATATTTATGTACCAAATATCATAAAAATGTCTGCTAAACTCGAAACATTCAGTAGTTTATTGAGTGGGAACCATTTTGAAATAAAATAATGTTTATATTACAACATAATAAAATGAAACCCCTTAAAATATTAAGTTTATATATTTTTAATTTTTAAAACAAGTGCAAATCCACCACACACAGTAACTCTAGAATTACTTTCTATATAAATATACTATTTCAGAGTTTATAAGTTGATTTGTAAGCCAATTAAATTGATTTGTAATTTATGCAAATGTCGGTTGTCCAAATCTCATAAAATTACCATATACATTTGTTAATGAACAACAAAATTAGTTTTGTTTTGTTGATCACAATCATAAATTTGGCAGTTTTATAGTTATTAATTTTTGTAAACAAAAGTTTTGATAACAGATCAATTTTGTCCTTGCTCTTTTAAATCTGTTGGCCAAACAAAGCGCACATCGTACATTTTTTTAAACAGGTATAACCAGAATCCTATCTTTTATTTTAGAAGAATCTAATATATCTATTCATTTTCAACAAAATTGTCAATTAGAAAATATTTATAAGTGTAGAGTTATAGTTACATATGCTTAAGTTAGTATAATTTAAAAAAATTGTTTAACTATAGCAAGAAACATAAGTTAGGTAGATAGATGTTTATACTCTCTTCATAGGAAAGAAAATTGAGAACATTTGCATTGATTACGTGAAATATTTTATGTATTATTGTTTAACTGTTTAAAGTTTAGTATCAAACCAGTTCATTGTAATGTCTCAAGGGTGTTCCATTCCCTCCTAGACTAACAGATTGGTTAATTACAGGATACAATAGATTAGAATCGGTTAGAACTATTTCACCAATTCTTGTTTTATAAACCATTCAACGAGCAAGAAAATTACAATAACATATGATTTAGTACTATTATTACACTTTTCAACTTGAAATTATTCCTAGTGTTTCGTTTCTATGGAAGAAAATAATGACTATTTTAAGGCTCTGATTTTAGATTAAAAAAAGACAAGAATCTCCTAAGATTCATATTTACATAAATCACACAATTTCAAAGCATAATAAATTGACCTATTTATAATTTTTATTAACATATTCATAAAACTACAAATCTAATATAAAATTGTATTCCATAGCTTTTGAAAAGTTAAGACAAGTATAAATTAATTATAAAATTATATGGATAACAATTATTTATGGACTTTTTCTTTATATTTTTAGTGTGTTTGTGTTCTAAGCTAGTCTATTTTAGTAATTGTTTTAATTAATTATGTGTTAATGCCTCTAATTCCTGCTCATAGTCTTTTGACAATCTTGATTTTGCATTTCATAAGAACAGATTCAATTGATATTCCTCACGGCAGGGTTGACCAACTTGATTCTCTCCCATAATTTTACTCTCCAGATATCACACACTCCCCAGAGTACTTGATATTACTCAAGGTGGGGTTGAATAATCTCTTCCTTTCATGCTAATATATATGTTCATTCCAATGAATTAACAAACACACATAAACACTATATATATTTAAAAATCCCTACAGCCTTGAAGTACTGGAACAGCAATCTGTGTCTGCTGCTGTGCCAAGATTATGCAAAGGTCTGAAGTATACCAAAATATTGCTTATATATATCAAGCCTTCTACAATTGAAAAGATGCTCCACTGTAATCCTATTCTTGCATAATGTGTACATGTCGCTTTCTGACCAGGTGCTCTTGCATTATTCTTGTATGTCCTATGCATAGTCTTGTCTATATGGCCATTTCCCTTTTTGACCCATTCTCCATGGAGAGGGACCTGACATCTTTCCTAACCTGCCACAGATTTGGCCTGGTTATTTCTAGTGAACCTTGCAATCGGGTACAATTATTAAATTAGGACTCTCCAGTATGTATACTGTAAGAATGGAAAGTACAGAACAGGGAGATACACCATCTTGATTTGTGATCGGGTGTGATACGACCATATCTAAAATTTTTTTTAAAAACTGCCCATAATTCTTTACCGTACAAATCTTTCGTTTTTGTCAGTGTGGCAATGAATCCGATTTACATTTATTAACAGCTTGCTGTACAATGTTTTCAAACTAATAATTGTCAGTCTGGTTCGTTGTGTAATAAAATAAGCAATGAAAAATACTTAAAATTCCATTCCTGTAATTATGCTGGCTTCCATTGCTGTAATTATGCTGAAAACAACCATAAAAAAATTGAACAATTTTGCACATTTTATAAAAAAATGAATGTAGAGAAAATATTTAAGTAAAATAAGTAAAATGTATTTAAGAGTAAAATGAATGGAAAGCATTTGGATTTTTTGTTTGTTAAAAATATTAGATCTGGTTCATCAATTAATTTTTATAGATGAAACTATGTTGAAAACTGTAGATATGTATGTGTATTGTTTTCTATAATAACGTTCATGGTTATTACAAATTTAAATATTTATCCCAATGATTGTTTTTTGTTACAGATGCAAGAGAATGTAAAATAGGATGCCTTGGAAGTAAGTTATAATATTTTCAACTTTATTATAACATAAAATGTATTATCCTAAATTTTTTTTTTTTTCAGGAACAAATCCTCTTTACCACTTGGAACCTGGAAAGGTTTATCAGTATTCATTCAAAGGGAATTCGGAACATGCAATTGCTGGTGTTAAAGACAGAGTTGGTGGTATGCTAATAGAAGCCCAAGTCTCCATAACAGTTGGAGACAAATGTGACCACTCATTGAAAGTGAACAACGTGAAAATTACCTCTACAAAATTTGGAAATAGCACAGCTAAAGTAAGAAATACATCATATAATAAAATTAATCAATGTTCACTGATAAATATTTTTATTTTTTTAGAGTTTCAATCTCGACATGAGTAGGAATTTGAAATTTGGCTTGCAAAATGGGAAAATTGACGATTTATGTGTTGAGGAAGATGAAAAAACATATACCCTTAATATTAAAAGAGCAATTCTCTCACTTTTGCAGTCTTCTGTTGTCAAAGAGTCCGGCTCTACCGTACTGACTGAGGTATGTTCTTATATACGTACAAATATTATAAGTATCAATAAATCAAGATATATTATATACATATCAATAGTCTATGTACCATAAAGTTTGAATATAAATTTATCTCTCTTTACAAGAATCTGTTGTATGTTTTAGAATGATGTTTATGGCTCCTGTCCAACGGTTTTTGACTTTTCCAATGTAGGAAATACATTGACAGTTAAGAAAACCAAAGACCTAAATCTGTGTGCCTTTAGAGAAACATATGTCGGTCAAATGTCTGCTAACAGATATTTTAGTGATTCTGTAATTATTATTTTCCTTAATTTGTAACATTATCTTTAAAAAAAATTGATATTCATTGTAATGTAAATAATTATGCAGGATATCCAATCTTCAAATGTGTTAACTGGCCATCTCAAGACTGTGCAAAGCTTATCAGGGGGCGTGCTTACACAAGCCAAGTCGGAAGAAGTCTATGTTTACAATCCTTCCTCAACTTCAGAAGCACCTGCGAAAACAATTATAAAGTCTGAATTGGTTCTGACCGGTGCTCCAAAGGCTGGCAATGTCCCGCAGAGTTCTGCCCATATTGGAAAGACATTAATTTACGAAGGCGGACATGAAAGCGAATACCCAACAAAAGCAGACGAGTTAAATAAAGATATTAACCAATTATCCAAGAGTGATAAAATCACACAGACTAGCGCTTCAACATTTAATAATTTATTGAGAAAACTTAACAAAGCGAGTGCTGAACAAATAGGAAAAGTACATGATTTTTGCAACACAAATGAAAAAAAGAAGTATGTAATGTGATAAGTAAATATCAAACTTATGACTAATGGATATGTGTACTTTTTTTAGGTCAATATTTTTTGATGCCCTGTTTAGTTGTAATTCAGCTCCTTGCGTTTATTACACTGGTGAATTAATGAGCAAAGGTGATATTAATGAGAATGAATCTAAAATATGGTTTTCAAAAGTTGGCTTTGCCAAAAGTGTACATCCAGACGCTCTCCAAAAACTTAGTGTTAGTAACAAATTTTATTTTCAATATTCTAACACTTTGTACACAATTCTACACTCATAAATATATTTCCAGGGATTGATCAAAGAAAGCAGTCCAATTTCTGCATACCTTGGAGTCGGTATGCTTGCTGGAAAGTACTGTAAACACCATTCTTGTAAATCAGATCGTACTATTGAAAATGTTGAGAATAAAATTGGACACTCACTATTGCAGAAAGGTTGTAAAACCACGATCAAGGAAGTTGAAGATAAAGTAATAAGAAATAACAATTACAATTACACTAAATTTTTTTTCTGTACTTAAAAAAATCTTGGTATAATAGGTTATTGCGAGCATGAAAGGATTAAGCAACGTACATTATTTGACTGATCGTGTCACAAGTGCCTTGATAGAGTGTGCAACAAATAACGCACACAGTAATAGACTTAGAGCAGCAGCTTTGGATACACTTAAAACTGATGCCCACAAAGCAGAAGTAAATCATCAATGCACGTTGTGCCATCTTCATTTGATTAAAGGTTTACTAAATTTATTTGACTTAGGTAAAAGAACCAGTGGGGAAATTATTTATTGATAATAATCAGGATTCTGAGTTGAGAATAAAAGCCTACCTTGTCCTTGCTGAATGTCCTTGCGGCAAAGTAGCAACTTGGGTTAGAGAAGTATTGAAAAATCGCAAATCCCTTCAAGGTAGTATGCATGTGTGTAAATTGGAATTTAACAAAAAAATGTAATGTTGCATTTCTTTTTAGTCGGAGCATTTGTTGTCTCGCATTTGAGAAATGTCAGAGCATCCACAAATCCAGACAAAGCTGCTCTTAAGCATCACCTTGGCAATATCATGGAAGAAAAAACCTACCCATTTGATTTTAGAAAATTTTCTCAAAACTATGAATTCAGTTACATGTCTGATCTGTTTAATATGGGAGACATTGCCGAGACTAATATTATTTATTCCCAACATTCATTCATTCCGAGAACACTATCTTTAAACTTGACATCACAACTTTTTGGCCAGTCCTTTAACTGGCTTGAAATTGATGCACGTTTTGAAAATGTTGAAAAAGCCCTTGAAAGAGCTTTTGGTCCAAAGGGGTTCTTTAATACAAAAAGCTCGGATGAAGTTGTTGAAGAAAGTAAAATTATTACAAGCAACTATTTAGAAAAAATTGTGGAAAAGGCAGAAAGATCGTTTAGGCCAAAGAGAAGTCCAAAATCAAACTTAAACTATGACATGGATGTTGACATTGATCTCAATTTGAAAACGGGTGGCTCACAAATTCATTGGACCAAATACCACAGTGCTGATGAAAAGTGGAATTCTGATAATTTAATCAACTCAGTATTTGGTGGAATTGAAAAAATTGTTGATAAAGCCAAAAACACAGAGGTAATATTCATTAGTTATTATGTTAATTTTTTTAATCAAATCAAAACAGCCAATGGTGCTTTTCACTTTGAACAGTATGCTTTAGAGTAAATAGAAAATATTTAATCTTAAAGATGAATTTAAAATCATCTAAATCAAAAATTAAAATCAAATTTATTGCCAAGTAAAATAGTCCATATTATAAATGGTAAAAATTCAAAATATTTCAGACTAGCTACAGGAAATATGTTTCACTGGGAAACTTTGAAATGCAGTACGGAACAGGACTTGGTCTTCCTATGGTCTTGAGGATGAATGCAGCTGCTGGTGTGAATTTAATGGTAGACAGTAACATTGATTTACCTGCCATTGTCAGACACCCAGAAAATGCTGACATTAGATTCCAGTTGATTCCTAGGTTTTTTTCATAATATTATTTTTATTTATGGTAATTTTAATCATTTTATAGTATTATAATTCATAACCCTCATTTCCAGTGCTGCCATTGATTTAGTAGGAAGTATGACAATTGATGGGATCAACGTGGAATCGGGAGTTCAGCTTCATTCGGTTGCCCATACATCGACAGGGTCCTACGTTTCATTCCGTCTTCTTGAAGGAACAGGAGTTGATGTCAAATTTGGACTCCCAGTAGACAAACAGGAAATTTTAAATTTCAAAACTAAATTCCAGTTAGTGTATAACAATTATGAAGTCTATGACAACTTGGAGTACAACTCTAAAAGGTGAAAAATTCTCAATATAATAATAATAAATATTTAATATTTCAACATTTTACAAGATTTTACACTATTTATAGAATTTATTAGCATACTGTAGACCATCATGCATGATGGTAACTTCTACTGGAAGTTGACAAAAAAGTTATTATATTCAGAGTATATTGGCAAAAATAAAACAATGAAACTAACGCAATTATGAATTAAGATACCACAATTTTTTACAACAAAAAACAAACAAAATTATATTAAAAAATAATAAAATCATGTCTTCCTTGTAAGCTAGAAACTCAGTTTTAAATGTTAAAATATTGCACTAGTTCATAAATGTAAAATGCTCCACACACATAATGAGCAAGAGCTTTACTTTGATCATTTATCGAGTAAATTAACCGGGTTTCGCTTCTGTACAACGCTTTAGTATCCATCTTTTAAGATTTTATAAGGCACAAGCATTGATGGCAGGAATTTTAGCTTGAAAGATTATGGTGTAATTCCCCAATGAGTTTAATGATGCAGTTCCTTCATTTGTTTTAGTCATGTAGTACCGTTATCTTATTTCCTTCTGAAATATCCTCATTTGTAGTCTGTTCAGACTAGGATGTTGTAAATAGCCTTTCCAGGTTCATATAGTCAATCCCTGTTTCTAAGAATGGTTATCTGATTTTATTAATTATTGTTGTGTCTTAGTGTTTAATTCCTATACAATTTGATTGTTTCTGGCCTCTTAAGTGATCTTTTCCTTGCTTCTTGTTTAAATTTCCAATGGAGGTAGGTTTAGCAGTGTTTCTACAGCAATTGATACAGTTTATTCATAATGAACGATTGTGTTAAAACGCATTGTATCTAATTACTCTACATATTTTCATTTGATTACTAAATGAGCATATGTAATTTAAAGTTTTCTTCATTCTTACAGAGAAAAATATGAAGGCTGTTTTGACCAACTTGTACCGCTTGTTGGCTTAGTTTTCTGTGTTAGTTCTCCATGGGAAACACACAGAACTCTCAGTCCTGCATATGGACCTATCAACTTTAAGTTCTTAGTCACCAAAGATGAACCTTTATTAGAATACTATCATTTTAGAGTGAAGTACACTAAAGGAGAAAGTAAGAATTTAATGTCAAATGTTAGCTTATGATGTTCTTAAATGTTGTTTTTGTTTATAGGTGGTATTCGTAGATTTGAAGCTCTTTTTGACACTCCTCGCACTAAATTTTCTAGAAAAATGGCCATTGATATTGAGGGCTCTCTTCATGCAAAGAAATTCTTAAAAGCAAAATTTAATTCACCTTGGTCTAATGCTTTGTTTGATGGTATGTTGAAAGAAAAATATATAATCAATATAGAAAATAATATTAACATATTCTAGGAAGCATTAAATCTACATCTTCTGAAAATATGCTGTCTGCCAAACTCAACATAGATGAAACCGATTATTTTATTAATGCTGGAGCCACTAAAACCAAATCCGGTAACGTAGTCAAATATGTACCAGTATTTGAATATAAAGCACCAGAGCTTAGGACCAGTATGGTAGGAAGAAGAGGTGGACACAAACCGGCCAAACAGGCATACAAAGTCACCGGGACTGTCCTTGTCGAAGATACTGGAAGCGAAAAGAAAATCACTGTTAATAACGTTTGCCTTCACACTCCACGGACTAAATATACATTAGAGGGAAATGGTAAATACGGAAAACAATACCAACTTGTTGAAGGCAATTATAAATTGAGCTGGGACAAAGAGCACCTTGAAGTTAAAGGCTATTATAAGAGGCCAAAGGGAAATGAAAATTTATCACTCTGGTTGGCAGTGCTTCCTCCAACCCAGTTCCAAGACTTTGGAGTTGATTTAAAATACGATTTAAAAAGACAAGGCAACCTTAAGACAAAGGGTAATTATGATGCCAAGTTTTTTCTTACCCATGGATCAGATCCCAACAATGAAATGACCAAACTTGCCATTAGTAGTTCTATGGACGTTGAAAAAGATAAGAAATTTAAAATGGAAAACAAAAGTGAGTATTTTTTTTTTTGTATCTTTAATAAAAGTTAATAATTAGTTGATGCCTTAAGACAATTTAATTGTTTTAATTGTTTAATTTGTTCAGGTTTTTTTCCTCAATTATTAACATTTCTTGCCTTTTATTTTCTAGTTTCATACCCATTACTTAATCTTGAAGCTCATCAGGCTTTTGGATTGACTCTTGAAAAAAGTTCTCTTGAGTCATTAACTGCAAGTATAAAGGGAAAATTTGATAAATACTCTGGTCAATTAAAAATGAGCAGTTATGTAACTGACCATCATGGATATAATGTTATTCTATTAGTAAGTACAGCTAGAGAAATGTTAAAAACTATTGTTACCTCTGCAGGCGTTAAAAAAAATTAAATTAAAAAATTACAGGCTGAAGCAATGGGCAATTCAATCAAAATTGATGCAGTTAGAAATGTTTTAAGTCCTGAACAAACTAAATACACAAACACATTTGAGGTCAAACCTGGTGGAAAGTATGAATTGAACTTTTTGGTCACACGTAAGACTGAAAAAGGAGTAGTAGATTTAAATGTAAATGCTGAAGTCAAATTACCCGCTGAGCCCAAATTACTCGAGTAAGTGCGCATTTTTATAACCAATAAAACAGATTGAATTTAAAAATAATTATATTTTAGAATTGAAGTAGTTTTCAAATCTAAAGAAAAACATTTAGCCAGTTCTCTAAAAGCCTCTGCAGATAGCAAGGAGTATGTCAATCTTAATTTTATCTACAATACTGGGGAAAAATTGAATTTACAATTCAAACTTTTGGATTTGGTTGATGGTCACCTTGATTCGAATATTATTGATCAAGAACAGAAATCCAAAAGCAAATTGAATATCCATTTTCCAAGGATTGACAAAAAGGTAAAAACAGTACCATATTATTTTCTATCACATTTTTTCTTTCCAAATAAAAGACAATTGAATGTTATGTTATATATGTAGGCTGAAGGAAATGCGGAATTCACCGATTATTTTGACACTGGCAGCATTGATTTCTGTTGGGACACTAAAGATCCTTTAAAAAAAATTAAACTTGAGTACAATAATGAGTATTCCTTCGAACCAACGACGGACATTATGCTTAGGTACATTATTAAAATAATTTTCTTATAGCTTAAATTGACACTTTTTTTTCTCCAGATCATCACTAACTTATGGCAGTCGTACAACAAAATTAAATATGGATTATAAAGGAGATATTACAGAAAATATTCCAATAACTAGGAAAATTACAGTAAGTAAATGAATAAAGTAGTAAATGAATAAAATCTGTATTTATTTATGTTTTAATAGATCAATGAATAATAATTTTTAATAATTAACACTATACCAAGATAACACACTGTCTCCATTTCGACATCCATAGCTGAAGTTTTAAGGATGGTTCAATTTATTTAGATGCTTTCTCCTTGTTAGGTGGGTGAGATCACTAAAGCCTGACAAGAAAGGTGATTCACGACTGGAAGAATGTTACCAATGCTTAGAAAATCTGGAAAAGGTTACTGACAAAAATCCTCATATGTGAAAGCCAAGCAGCTATTAAAGCATTAGCATGTAAAAGAAAAATCACATCAGAATTAGTCCGTTGCATCTACAAAACCTGAGTAAACAACCTGATGATATCTTTGATACCAGAACATGGGAATTTTGAGAACCGAAAAGACAGAAACACTGGCTAGAGGAGGATCTGTAAAACCATGTATAGGACCTGAACCTATTCATGGTATAACAAAAACAAATATACCAACCTCCATCACGAAATGGATTAAAAAAAAGAAGCAGTACTAGATGCAATAAACTTAAGCTAAAACAACCCCTACCAAGACTGGCCAATTCACTGCTACTGTTAGTGGTTAATGGGTGTGACACAACTCAGTGATGACCCCATTTCTAGGTTATGCAATGAGGGGAAGAAACAGCCACCCACTTCTTTAAAAATGAATAACCACTCAATGGAGACAACCTGGGATACAAAGAAAATCCAGGGAAAGGAATAGTAGCAATGACAGTCAATGACCTAGCTCTTCTTAGGAGAAGGATCGAGCCAATTGCACTAAACTAAGAAACTAGGATAGTATATTAAACCAGAAGTCTCTAGTGCTCAATGGACAAAAACCCTGTTTCCTAGTAGTGTCCATCATCACTGGAAGCAACATAGTGGTACCTTGGCATCTGCAATAATAGGACCTTTACAGAGAACTCTCTTGTGACAATGACCTAGCACTTCTTAGGAAGAGGATTGAGTTAGTTGCACTAAACTAAGGAACTAGGACAGTATATTAAGCTAGAAGGCACTAGTGCTCAATGGACAAAAAATCCACTTCCTAGTATCCATCATCACTGGAAGCAACACAATGGTACCTTGGCGTCTGCAATATGGGACCTTTACAGAGAACTCTCTTCTGACAATGACCTAGCACTTCTTAGGAGGAGGATCGAGTCAGTTGCACTAAACTAAGGAACTAGGAACAGTATATTAAGCTAGTGCTCAATGGACAAAAATTCCACTTCCTAGTAGTATCCATCACTGGAAGCAACCCAGTGGTGCCCTGGCATCTGCAATATGGGACTCTTTACATAGAAAGGGTTAACTTGTTAGTGATTACAAGTTTGGATGAAGAAAAGGGGTGCATGAAATTAAGAGGAAGATTGAAAAAACAGGGGAATTCCAATATTTTATAACATAATTATTCATTAATTTTAATGACTACTTAATTACTTAAATATTTCTGTTTGATCACTCATTTTAACCACAAACTAAACCTCTGGCTGGGCACAAAGGAGGTAGGGAGATTGCACTGATCGTACTGGCAATTTGTGAATTTATACAACCAGATTTTTTTCTTTGTATCTTTGTTTATGCATTTTTATTGTTTATTTTATTCTCTTTTATCAATCTGAAGAGCTCAATTAACTGTAGCATAAGAAATCGTTCAGATCCTCCCTTCATAATCCTGTTTAGAATTTTTCTATGTTGCTTTTAAGAGATCTCAGATTTGACTTGGTATTAAATGCCTTAGACTGGAACAGATTATGTGAGAATTGAAAGTAGTGCACACTTATATATTTACATATACATAGTTTCAAAAGCGTTGCTTCCCAATTCCTAATAAATTGTCCTTTGCTGCTGCTGAAAGGGTATTAATAAAATGTAACGATATTTTACATATAAATTTAAACTACCATCCATTCCCATCTCTAGTAGTTTTTAGCCATTTTTTTAATTATTTAAAAAGTGTTTTACAATATATTAATACTTTTTATAATTATTTGATATTATATGTTTATAAAGTGCAACATAATTTGTAAGCAATCAATTTTTCATCAACATTCACTTTTCAACAATACTTTTAATTTATCATACAATGTTTTAGGTCATTCTTCCCGAAGGTGATGAATACACTTTCAACGTTGAAGGATATTATGAAGAAAAGGGCGACAATATAAATACCAAATTTACAACTACAGTAACTTGCACTCACCCTGATGGCAAGGCACTTTTATTTAATCCATTCGAGAAGATGTCCTTAACCGTTGGTCTCGAACCGTTCAATGAAGAAGACGATGTATACAAAGGACTTGTAGACTTTAATTTAATTAATAATAAAAAAGAGAATTTGGACACTTCCTGTAAATTTGATATCCGCGAAGAAAACAACAAATGGCTCATCAAAACTGAAGTAATTTTCTTGTAAACGAATCTTTAAGTTCAAACTAGAAATTGATGTTTGAATATATTCCTAGGGTTCAGTCAAAGGAAACTTAATGAAAGGGAAAGATCTGAGTGTGATATTTAATGCCGAAGTACCAGAAGAAGATGAATCTCAGCCGTTGTTGTTCAGCTGGTCCCTCGACCATGCAGACGACACCCATTTGGAAGGAAATTGTAAAGTGACTGAAGACAGTGTCAGTGGAGAATTCTCAGGCAAACTTCCCCAACATAATGAAGTTAAAAGTTTCAAGTGGACTACGGACAACTCATTTGTTTGGGGTGAAACAAGCAACACGGTAACATAGCATTTACAAATTTTAAGCATTATTATGCATGCTAAGAGAATAGTTTATACACATGGCTTTTTATTTTTTCCCTTGCAGTATTTTTAAAAACCAAGTAGGTACATTTAGTTCAGTGATTTTTCACGTTTTTGAAAAAGGATTCTTAGCTAATTAAAAAAGGGCTTTCTGTAAAAATTTTGTAGGTATAAATATTTCGAAAATTCATTGTTTATTGTAGTTTTTTATTTTTTATTCTTCCTTCTTTATTGTTGTATTTCTTTTTCTTTTTATAGATTAAAAATTTCCTTTATTTTATAGGCCCTGCTGATGCAGGGAAGTTGTTGAACTGCTGAAAAACTAATTTTTCGTTATAAGTCTAAAAAAAGGAAATTTTACCTTTTATTTGTCGAACTGAATATCATTTTAAAAAAATTGTTGAAGAAACAAACAGGGGAAGAGTTGTTTTTATTGGCATTGGGAGATGAAAAAATGCTATTATTTGCATGCATGGCACGGCTAGAAACATAATTTTTTTGTATGTAGTGCAGTATATTTTACATACATTCTTATTTTCAGGTCAAATTAAACAATAATTTTGCCTGGAATGAAAATAAATTTTTAAAACACGTCTGGGACTTCAGTCATTCTGATTCTGAGGCTACATTTTTTGGAGAATTTCATACAACAGAAGCACACAGGAAGCTCAATGCCAAAGCACATTGGACATGGTAAGTCACCAAAGTTGAAAGACATTAATCCTAATGCCACAAGTGCTTTTATTTAAATATGGTTTACTTAGCAACTCAATCCAACTTATGTGTAGGCATTTTTCACTGATAAAAAGTTTAAATTTATTTAAATAATGTTAATGGACAGTTGTGAATTAAATAATTATTTACCTAAAAAGAAGGAAAAATAGTAAGCATAGGGATGAATATGCAAGATCAAGATTCAGCAATTTCCCTTATACAAGACAAAGGTTTATCAACTGTGCACGATCCACCAAAATATATACAATTCAGCCACAGTAGATGCTTATTTTAAACTGTCAAGTGCCACAACACACAGTCTAACTTTTAAGAAAATAATTTTACACAAAATGGGAAGCAGAAGTCTAGGAACAACACACCATGACGACCTTGAAATGTTGCGGCATCTGACTAGCACAGAACCAAAACCAGCTATGAAATATCCCGTGTGCAAGTTATTTGCACCAGTGGCATTAAGGGTTAAACTATATTTATATTTATATATTAACATACGCTCCCATACAGTGATGACGTGGAGAAGTTCGATGCATCAGGTTCATTTTCTTGGACAGAGGGTAAATCTGCAGATTTCAGTGTTGAAATGGAAAAGAGCAAAGATAACAAAGCAGGGCTAATTCATGTCAATGGCCACTTACCTGAATTTGGCAAAGTAGATTTAATTCTGAAGAATAAGGTAAGTAATTTCTTTTTTTACTTGTATAATAAATTTTATTTTAATTAAATATACATTAACAGTTTTTGAGTGAGAAAAATGGAGCTCATAGTAGCTTTTCCATTACAATCAAAGATACGACAGTAGCAGCATCATCAGTTGTTGAATTATTACCAGGTCACCCATTAATTGACATAAATGTTGACCATACAACTGGCAAATGGAGATTTTATGTCAAACACAACAGCAAGGTACTGCAACATAATTTTGCTAGGTTTTGCTTTAAACATAATTTTGCTAGGTTTTGCTTTAAAACATTGTAACTTTATTGAAATACTCCAATATTTTTTTCAAGCATGTAAAAGCTGCTGTAAGGAAGCTCAAGAAGGGCTATTGGAATTAGCCTGAAATGCGTTCATTTTAATAAACAGAAAAATATACTGAAGTTCTTCAATAAAGTGATTTCAATGTCTATGGATTAAAGAAAAGAAACATAGAATTCATTAAAATCTACTTTTATTGTAACATTTTCTTTCAAGGGCGAAAGGCATTGGTCAGGAGAAACCAAAATGAAATGGGCATACAATAGAGGTGGAAGCATTGGTGCAAACTATGATGCTAATTTCCAGTCTATTGATTCCTTTTATCTTAAGGGCAATGTCGATGCTCACGAGTTGTTTTTCAAAAACTTTCATGTGGATATTCATAACGAAAACGAGAGAGGCAATGAGAAACAGATCTTATTTGTAGTGAAAAAAGATGGAACTACTTATTCCGGAGTGTAAGTCAACTGTTCGCCTTTCGTAAATTGATGTCAATAAAACATTGTTTAAAATATTTTATAGCATAAATTATAATGTTAAGCAAGAGGGTGACAATTTAGGGATTGAAGGAAGTGGCAGTTTGATAGAGGATGGAAAAAATTACCCGCTTTCTTTTAAGCTAAATGTCAATGACAGACTGGAAAATCTCGAAGTATTTGATTTTAATAATAGATTTGAATTCTAAACCTAATTCATGTATTTATTTTAGACTCAATTCACTCTAAGCATCGGTAAAAACAAATGGTCTTCAAAATATGTTAACAATGATAAAAAATTTTATGCCGATTTGGAACACTGCCATGAAGAAACAGAATGCACCTCATCTTTAATTGAGTACAAATTGGAAAGCAAATCAAATCAAAGGGTTGCCAAAGAGTTGCGCATTGTCTTCGATCCATCTATTTATCTGGAATCCCCAACTGTTTTGAGTTATCATTCAAAACTGCTGTTGGACACCTACCTCCCTGTAGAGCACATGATAGAATTTAGATGGTCAAAGACAGGCAGCATTAAATACGAAGCAGAAATAAAAAACAAAGGAGCAGGTAAACTTTTTTCAATATTCAATCTTAGTAAGTAGCAAGTACAATGCCATCAAAATATTTAAAAGGGGATAACCAAAATACTGAAATACGTAGAATGGGGTATGCTGGTTTTCATCTTCATAGATAGGTCTAAGGCCTATGTGACGTGCACTGTGTATTGTTAGGGTGCGTCCACTTCATAGTAGATCACGCTGCACTGAAGTTTTACAATGCGGAATTGTATGTGGTTTACCATGCTCTTGAGGTTTTTCCATCCAATACTTTAGCATAGTTAATACTGTCCACAACAGGTCTTCCATTGACCTGTATGCATCGTGCACTGTGTATTGCTAGGGTGCGTCCACTTCATAGTAGATCACGCTGCACTGAAGTTTTACAATGCGGAATTGTATGTGGTTTATCATGCTCTTGAGGTTTTTCCACCAAATCCTTCAGCATGGTTAATACTGTCCACAACAGGTCTTCCATTGACCTGTATGCATCATTGTGCTCTTATTGGACCATGAACTGGATTGTTTCGCCAAAACAGTGGTTGTTGTCTTGGGTACCTGGACACATAGATCTTGATGGTAACAAAAAGGCAGACAAGGTGGCTAAGGCCAGGAAGTCACAACCTCCGGACTTACCACAATCTGATGCTAAAAGTGCAATAAAAAAATAAATTGGCAGTGTCGATGGGTAGGATCGGCAGAAAAGCTCTCTCATATCAACAGCACTGTTCATCCTCGTCCGTTTTTCAAGCAAGGTTTGTGACTGGTTTTTGACGGCCAAAACAGTCCGAGGAATTGGTTTAAGGACTGGCAGTCAGAGACCTGCGCAGATGTTTCCTATTTTGCTCTTATGAAATTGCAAAATTCTTACTTAAATAGGGACCAGATTTACATGAGAAATAGAATGTAAAATATGTATTTATTTATTAACAAATATCCAAGTATAAAAATGTATAATAAGGGAGAATATAACAAGTTGATAAAATTGAAAATAAACCTTTAATTTTCAGATTTATTTGAAATAACATACATTTTTAAATTTTCATAAATAAAAAGTGCTAAAAAAATTCTAGAAAATAAATTTTTTAAGGAATTATACATGCGTAATTATTTTATGTCTTGAGATAATAATTATTATATGGAGCAAAATGTAATATACAAAAATGTTTTTTTCTTTCTTTAAATGCTGTAGTTCCAGAAGTAGTCTATGTTATTTTGATAAGAAAATAATATATGAGAACAAATTGAAACTGTCCATAAATGAAGGATGGAGGACAATTGACGGATTTATTTTAGTTTTTAACTGACAAATTTCAGTAGAAGTCTTAGATTGGAAGAAAGCGTACTAACAGAGTTAAGAATCCATGATCAGTCAGTTTTCGGGCATTCACAATCATAAATCATGGATTAGTTGGTAGCTGGTTTATGATTGTGTGTTGGAACAAATCTAATATCTTTTCTAAAATTGCTTTTTATTTATTTTATTTCTTACAATATTTTCAATAATTTTTCAGTAACAGCAGTAATTGTTCTTATCTATAAAATTGTTTTTATTTTTAGTTATGTTGTTGCATACTCCTAAGAGAATCGTTGGTTTTGAAAGCAAACTAGATTCTTCAAAAGATGCAAAGAAGGTTGAAGTATTTTTATATCTTAATAAGCTCACGGATGACAAAATCTCTTTTCTCTCTTCGGCATCAATTGCAAAAGGAAAGGATTCAAACACATACTCAAGCGAGACAAAGTTATCACATAAATCTCTTGGAAAGGTGGGTAATTTATTAAAGTAATCCCTCTGATAATGTGAAAATACCTCATTTTTTTAATTCAATTTTAGGATTATGTTATCAAAGGAGAGGTAACTGTTTCACCTACCTTGGAGAAATTAAAAGGCAAAATAATCGTAGATGTATTCAAAAATCCTAATAGTCAACTAGTGCTGACCTTAAAGTTTGATCATGGTCTAAAAGATGGTCGATACACCAAGCATAGGAGTGCATATGTGAAATTTGATGTATGTAAAACATTTTAAGTGCGATTTATGTTTTCAAGATTTTTAATTTATAATTTCTTTACAGTCGTGTAAAATAAATGCCGCTTATGAGCAGAAATTAGTTGTTAACTTTAAAGACCCTCAATTTCTCTGGACTGAGACTGCCAGTAGTACAGATGGAAAGGGCACAAAGAGGGAAGCAGGAGTTAAAATTGAGATAAATCGTAAGAAAATTTACAGCCATGTAAAAATTGATGGTTCCACCGTTTTTGAAGTTGATGGTAAAATAAGTAACAAAGAAAAAACAACTACTGTTGCTGGAACCACTACTTTACTCAACAAAAAATACAAAAACAATCTTGAAATTAATACTGATGCCAATAGTCTAAAATACAACCTTCATTTCGGTATGCGACAAGTTTTATAAATTTTTTGTAAATATTCTAAATATTTAGTGTATTAGATGGAAAAACAATTGAAGCTGACGTATCGGCTAAAATGGGTAAGAAAGGATTATTTAAAGTTTCCTTTGACAAAAAATCCTGCGCACACTTTGAGGTGGCTTTGGATGAGCCTAATTTCCTTACGTCAACCTATAACTACAATACGGATGATGTTAAACGATTATTTGTAAGTTCATATTCTTCTTTATTTAAACAAAATGCGTTTTTTCAAAAATGCAAATTTTCAGTTTGCTCTTGCTGACTCACTGTATGAGGCCAGAAATGAAGGAACCAAGCTTGTAAAAGAACTGGTTGAAACAGATACAAATGAGGCACAACATACTTTAAAGTGTATAGAAGATAATATGCCTTCTTTTTCAACATTTAACAGTCATGTTAAGAAAGAGTTGAAGGAACTTATTGATGAATTTTTGGAAGAAGAATATATACGTGAATTGTCTGGGACTATGTAAGCCTTTTTCTCAAGTTTATAATTTATACATTTTCCTGTTTTTAAATAAATAAACTGCATTAAAATCATTCGATTCCTTATATAATCATTCACCTGATACCTAAAGATGTTTTGTTTATGATAAATTTAAAAAATCTAGTCAATAAAACTTATAATTATACTTTGTAGAAAGGAGCATTACAAAGAAGCTTTTGCAAACATCAATGAAATGATAAAAAAACTGGGCGAATTCTACGATTCCGTTGGATCCAGTGCAATACAGCTAAGTGAGAAAATTGGTAAACTCTGCGAAGAACTCTATAAAAAGTTATTGGAGTCAACTGAACGACTAACCACTGTCGTACTAGACTTTATGGAAGAATCTGTTAAATTTTCAAAGAAGATTGTAGACAAAATTTTTGAAGAGTTGAAAAAGAATGAAAACGATATCAAAGAATACATCAAAGTTTTAACAGACTTGGTTCATGGTAATATCACATAAATATATTTCTATTGTATTTGAATAATAAATATTTTATATTCTATATTCATAAATAATCCATTTTTTTAAGAATTTGGTAAACAATTTAGTAAAGTGATATTTAGTATTCATGAAGAACTCGAGAATTTCATAGAGATTACTGTCCAACAGCTGAAAGATATTCCGTTTGTAGAAGTTATCAATGAGAAGATGCAAGAAGTAAGTATTATCAAATATTTATTGACAATTATTTTAAAATGAATAAATTATGTTATACATTTCCCTCAGCTAAAAGATTACAATTTTAATATACCTGAGGAGTTTTGGGGATTTTTTGCCGAGATAAAAGATGAGATCAAAGGATTAATGCCAACAACCGAGTGTGAAAAACTTGTTGACCTGACTGCAGACTACATTACAAAGATCTTAAAACAAGAGAAATTCAATGTGCAAGATGCTGCTGCGAAATTGCTTCAGCAGTTTACCAAGGCTTTCTCATCTGTTGTTGCAGAAGTATACCAGCACATACCCATTGGAGAGAAATTGAAAGATAAAAGCCTTTATAGCAGGCTTCCATTTGGAAACCTATTAAAAGGGTCAAAAGGAGGCTTAAGAGTAAGCCTGATGGAATGGTTAAGTTCAGAAGATCTTCCTACACTTTATGATTTGCTCTCAATGTACCGACCATCAGTTATTCCACTACAAAATATTCCACCATTTGATAGTAAGCATTTAAATAAATTACAGTACCATTTGGTGTTTTAATTACTTAATATTAATGGTCAAAAATTTCAGGTATTGGTGTCATCCTTCATGGTTCGGATGTTGTTACCTTTGATGGGCGGCACATCAAGTTTAAGGGATTTTGTAACTACAAGCTTGTAGAAGATGGAAGAGACAAGAATTTTTCAGTTATTGCACATATTTCGTCTGGCAAATTAGAGGGCCTAACACTTCATGACGCTTTTGATTCGATCACCATCAAACAAGGACTTGTTAGTAGATGTTTATGTAAAAACATTACATGAAAAAAAATTTCATTAATTTTTGTTATGTTTTTAGGCAACAGTTAATAAACAGAAATCTGAATATCCAACTAGAGCTGGCCAACTTTCTGCCTGGATTCGTCCGTATTCATATGGAATGTTCAGTAAGGCAGGCGTACTTATTATATGTTCACGAGATTTCAATTACTGTGAGGTCAACGTCAATGGATTCTACTTTGATAGAACTGTTGGTCTTCTTGGAAACATGAATTATGAACCTTATGACGATTCCAAACTTGACAGCAGCATGGTGCATAATTTAATTTTATTTTATTTTTATAACACAATAATAAATGTAATCTGAAATGTATAATTATGCAGGTTGCATCTGATGACTTAACTTTTATCAATGCTATGAAACTTGGATCTTGCCCAGATGTGCCTACGGCTACCTACAAACATCCGCCGACCTCACAGTGTACCAAAGTCTTTGAGGAGTTATATTTCGCATCTATCTGGGCCCCTCCCAAACCTTTTAAGGAAGCATGTGACAGTGCGGTAAATTCTGCATCAGATGATGAAACCAAACTAGATGCTGCTTGCGAAATTGCTAAGGGTTTTGTTAGAGTTGCAAGAAATCGAGGCTCTCTTGTAACTCTTCCAGAAATTTGCAGTAATTATTATTAAATTTATATAATTTTTAATGGAATAATATATAATAAGTTTTAAACGTGTATTTTTAGCATATTGTACCATCAATAAACAAAAATTGAAATATGATGAAGCAGAAGAAGTAAAGATAAATAAAAATCAAGCTGATGTTTTGTTTATTGTTGAGTCCTCAGCCGACAATAAAGAAGTAGCTGAGAGCAACTTGCACAAACTGGTTCCAGAAATTAAAAAATATTTTGATGCACAAGGTTGCACGTAAGTGAATTTTTTTTAATTAGTCCCAACTTAAAAAAGATAAAATTGTTTAAATAATAAGATGTCGTTAAATCTTTATTTCTTTGTTAATTTTCAGCGATGTAAGGTTCTCTGTGGTAAGTTTTGCCCCAGATGAAAAATATCCACATTACCACACTTCCAATGGCAATTTTTATGGAACAAATGTAAAAATTCAATACAGTGAAAAGTTAAACGAGACGAAAAATAATTTTGTCGACAGTTTAAAATATCATTTTGGTAAAACTCAAGATTCTACTACCCGCCCTACCTTATTTCTTGAATATTATTTTTTTTTTAAGGTTTAACAAGCAGAGGTTATGTATATAAAGATGTCATGGATCATCAGAATTTCAGACCGACAGCTAGGAAAATAATTATCGGAATCCATAGCACGCCTTGTATCCCACAGTCAATTACTTATTTTATTGGGTCTTTGTATGGAATGGTGTTTGCTGATGCATTTGGTTTGGAATACCATGTCATTACTCCAGTTGAGGATTTAAGTAAATTCAAAGTTCCTGTAGAAGAAATAATAGGTAAAACAATTCATTGTTCTTAATATCTTTTTTTACAATTTAACAAAAAAGTTGTATGGCTTTAAAATGGAATTACAGGCTTTACTTGGGGAAAAGTTTTGAAAAAGAACGGAGAAACAGTTAAGACTGCAACAATACTCACCAATGATAACTGCATCAATATAGCAAATGCCGTAAGTTATACAAGATTCTAATAGCTGCTTACTTATTTTAAAAGTATATGTTTTTAAAATCAGCAACCACAAAATATTTGACCCAAATTTGTATAACTTCATAAAGGATGTGTTATTTCAGAATGAAGGCTATGCCTTTGTTGCTCGTAAAGAGGGAGATACTGTCTCACAGATGGCAAAGGTTATCACAGCACCAAGGAAGACTGATGAACTAGAATGCGAGTGTGAACTTTTTGACGGAGTTATTTCAAGACCTGTATGCTATGTAGAATATGATCTCTTCTAAGCCTACAATAATTAAAAGTATTGAGTGACTACAACCTCTATGCCTATATATCTGGTGTATTTTGCCTAAAAGTTAATTTTTAATTTGCAGAGAGTTCAGTGCTGAAGAAGAAAACCAAAACATGCCTGTACATATGTTAGCTTGACTGCATTTAGAGATCTACCATAGAAGGATCTTGCCATATATTGTTAATAATTGTACAAAAGAAAGTTCCTTTTAATTATATTCTATAACATATACACTGTCACTAAAAAAAGTATATGTGAAGTAATAATTTTACGTACATAATTCTGTCTAGTGTATTTTTTAGACTTCAACAAAGTATTTTAAAAATAAATAAAAAGCTATCAATTTTTTAAATATTTTAATATTAAATCAAACATTAAGTATGAAAGTGATTTTCTGTTTATAACATTCATTCCTTTCAATATGAATAATAAAATATTATTGGGGCGTCGGTGGCCGCAACAGTTAAGGCATTGACACTGCGCTCATCACTGAAAGGTAAAGGTCTATACTAACAAATCCACTTTTTTTTTTCAAAAACACTGACACCCTGAGGGTTGATATGACCTCTACTGTTGCAAACCCACTAAAAAAATGTATATAAAAAAATCGAGGTTTATTTAGAAACAAATAAACCAATTTTATTTCATATTTTGGCCCATATAATTGAAAATAAAAAATGAAGTGAGCAAATACAAGGTTTCAGACAATTAGATTTCAAAATGTAAACATTTTTTTAGAAAAGTGATTTTCTCATTGGATTTTTTGATGTGAAATATAAAAAAGGATTTCCTGAAAGCGTTAAGTAGAGTAAGGATAATTTTAAAGGATAACCATCCAGATTTATCACCTGTTGTAACAGAAATGGGGGGGACCCGGGTAAAAGCCACAGTAAACGACAGTGAAATTTTTTCAAAAATGAAGGACGTCATTGCAAAATATAAAGAAAACATCCTAGAAAAGTCAAAAGAAATGGAAATGAACTCGTGCAAAATGTAGCTTTCATTGCATTCAACATTACATTTTTGTCAAGAACAATTGCACAACTGGAAACTGTGTGTCACTCTTAAGACAGCTTTGCTATATTAAATGACGCCTTGGAAGAATTAGAAAATATTGGTGGAAGGACAGGAAATAAAGTGAAACAAAAACAGTTACGTTGTGCTCAAAAAAATCCCAGACTTGACAAATGTGGAATGGAACGTTCTTTTAGTCAAGACTAAATAATCTTATTTATATTTGTTCGTTAATAGCAGACAAAATCTGTCTTTTTTTAATTTTTTATTAATAAAGTGAAAACATTAACATTTGACAAAGTCCATTAGTCAGAGACTAACATAAGTCGCGATCGAGAATTTATACTATTTCCACCCATCATCAGCAATATTGTGTATACATTAGAACAATTTACTATATCCATATAGAAGTTCTTCCATCTTGGCCATGTGGCCTCACAGCAAATGCAAGATTATCATATTTTTTAAAACCCCATATGGATGTAATAAATTATTATTTTAATATTATCGATTACTTATGATGTGAGATTCCCAAAACATCGAAAGAAAATGTTAATAAATAATAGTTTTACTTTATTAATTTAAAAAAAACCACATGGAAATTTTGTCTGCCATTAACCCAATTATTATTATATGTGCAACTATAGATTTAAGAGTGAGAGGAAAATATTGCCAAAACATTTTAAATCAAACGATCTTGGGCATGTGCAATTCTCCCTGGAGTGGTAGTCCATTCATGGGGTGGGGTAGCTGCCTCCCATTGGGTAGACCCAGTCCATACCCATTTTGATATTGATTAGTACTTTGCGTTTGCTCCTTGTGCTTTTTCTGGGAGTGTGCCCGAGTGTGTTGCATTAGCCGGTGGTGGCACTGATCCCCCTTCCTGACACACTCACTCCTTGACACCATGTGTAATACGCCTTCGATAGTCTTTCAATGAATACTCACTAATTTGCTCGGAGGACATTTTCAATATCGGCAAGAAAGGAAAACTGCAATTTTGCCAATTTATGGCATATCTGTTCGACCATTACACCTATTACTAATTTCAAGAGGGATCAAACAGGTTATTTATATTTTTTTAAATTCAAATTTGCTTGTTTTAACTTAATTCTTTAAGCCACAGTAATTTTTTTTTTAATACTTTTTATTCCAATAAATTATTTCTTGTTTTTTTACAACTAAGATTAATGTCTATAAAAGATCTTGCAAACTGTACAGTATTTAAAATAAAATTGAAGCATATTTGGATCAAATAACTGCTAGGGTAAATATTAAAAATGACTAAATTTTCAATTTTCACAAAACCAAAAAATTGATTTTGATAGCAAGAGAGAGGTCAGAGATGACAATTGGAACGAAAATTCTGTAAAATCAAAATCAGAAGGAATGCTCAAAGTGACAAGGGCAGCAAAACAGTCAAAATCGAAACAGCAGATAATTTCCCAACAGGGAAAACACCAAAATTGTTTAAATGAACCCACCAAACCAAACACATTTAAACAATTTAATATTTACAAAGAGTCAACTATTAACTTTCTGAGACCTTTATTTACTATTTCGTGCACAACATTTACAATTTTAAACTTCATCGTACTTTTGAAGTAACTTTTTATTATTAGTAAAATAATAATAGTAGAAATTCTGTAAGAGTAATAATAGGGGTGTCGGTGGCTGTAATGGTTAAGGCATAGACACAGTGCTCATCACTTAAGGTAAAGGTCCCGGGTTCAAATGCAGAAGCCCTTTATTCGAACCAACATACAATTTTTTTGTATGTATGTATTTATTTAAGTATGTATGTATATTAATTTAATTAATGATATAGTACGCTTTAATAGGTTCATAAGTTTAGTCCAGGCTGGTTTCCCCCTCTTCAATTTTACAAATATTGAGATCATTCTAGTCAAAATCATAAAAAAATAAATAAAATAATAGTAATAATAAAAATATAAAGAGGAAACCAGCAAGAGGAGACCTTACGATAAATTAAACTCAAGGAAAATAAATCCCCATACACTCCTTGATCCTCACCTTGGCAGGCAAGGCACGAGGAGGACGATAAGCTCAAACATTCCCCTCTCCCTTTTCATGTTTCACACCCAGATTTTATTTTGGTGCAGTCCGCTGGTATGGGGTCTCCCTAATGTATAGAGGGGTTGTGGATAGAGGAAAAAAAGGACTTTTTTCAAAAACACTGACACCCCAAGAGCTGATGTGACCTCTGCTGTAGTGAACCCTCAGAGAGAGAGAGAGAGAGAAAAAACACTAATAATAAAATTTTTGTTTAAATTTATTGATTTTCTTGCAAACTTGAAATATCTTAATGCAAAATAAAGGGCTTTTTTGTTGTATTATTTAAATTATCCTTATTATTGTATGTAATTGTCACTAACCTGCTCAATTTCAAAATAATATCTTAAATGCAATAAACTCTGGTCACCAAGTAGACTCAGCGTACACTGATTTCTCTAAAGCTTTTGAATAGTCAAAGTAAAATCATTTAAATCGTGTCCCTTTGCAGCTTCCTTGGGAGTCCCACAAGGGTCTCATCTCGGTCTGGTTTTGTTTCTCATATTTATTAATGATATCCATCTTGCTCTCCCTTCTGTTCAATTTTTATTATTTGCTGATGATCTGAAAATCTATTCCAAAATTACTTTTCCATCTGATTGCTATCAATTACAAAATTCTATCAATAATGTGCTAACCTGGTGCTCTAATAACAAACTTGCTCTCAATGTGTTCAAATGCTACACAATTACATTCTCTCATAAGAAACAACCTTTTCTTTATCACTACGCTCTCCATGATTCTCTTTTAACGCGAGTTGAGGTCGTAAAGGATCTTGGTGTACTTTTTGATCAAAAGCTCAAGTTTAAAGAACATATTTCTTCAATAAAAAATAGCTCTATGAAGATGCTAGGCTTCATCATCTGGAACACCTAGGAATTTAAAAATCTTCTATGTTTTGTCCATCTTTATAAAGCTTTTGTACAACCCATACTAGAATACGCTACACCTATTTGGAACCCATACTATCAAAATTATCAAAATTTTTTTCAATCTGTACAGAACAAATTAAAAAAAAAAAAAATGCTTACAAATTCAATCTTCCTCCGAACTCTGCCTACCCTGGAATCCGCTCTGAAATTAAACTTTTTGAACTGGCACTAAGAAGGGATTACTTTGATATTATTTTTGTATTTAAATGATTAAACAATCTCATTGATAGTCCTTCTCTCCTCACCCCTAAAAGTTTACTACAATTTATTTCATTTACTGGTTCGCCTAAATCTTGCACTCTAGTCTTATTATATATTTTCAAAGAGCATTATTTTCATTAAATATATACCTAAATATTGTAGTTTCAATTGTCTTTCAGCTTTATTTTGTTTCCTTTGCCTTAATTTGGTTAGTAATTATGTCTTTCATTTTTGTTGTTGTTGTTTTTACTCTTTAATTGTAGAAAAAAAAAACAAAAAAAAAAACAAGAAAAATTGTATTAAAGATTTTAAAAAAAATTGATATACTCTATAAATTATAACCCTTTTGAAAAATAACTATATTATTTATTATTGTAAACAATAAACTTATTAAATATAAAATAATAAAAACAATTTATTATAGTTTTTTTTTAGGTGTCAAAATGACTGTACCCGTCCGTAGGTGTTTTTACCTCTTCAGCCTGAGGCAGGGGACAATGCTGATTGGAATATTTGTCCTTGTAAGTATAACTAATATTGGACATAAACATTTAATATGTTTATCAATTGTAAATTTCTCAACATTGATTTGTAACGAGTAGAATTCAGTGAACACTTACATGTGATCAATTTACATTTGCCATCAATATGCAGATTTCAATGTTTTTACGATCGGTAATATCTTGCAGCTTCTTTCGGGCTTCTGCCTTTTTCTCCTCCTGCTCGGTAGCGCTCATGCCCACGAAATGGCCACGATGCTTGAAGCAGACATTGAAGATTCGGCAGAGAGGGAAGGCATCGTTCTCTCAGACGAAAATGGCCCTGTTGAAATACATTCACAAAATGAAATTGTTCTGCACAAAGCACACAACCTTGCTGTTTGTATGTACTTATACTAAAGTACTATTTTATTTTAACAGATCTAAATATATTTGGTATAATTAATAAATTGTGTTGTAGTGGTGATAGTATGGCTGTATTTAGGGGTTGCTTTAGCCACAGTACATCTTGTATTATGCATTCTTCTTTTATGTGGTGCAATATTGGTAAGCCATGTTCTTGTTATCACTTGTTAAAATGTTACAGGAATGTTTGTATTTTAGCGAGTTAGGAAGCTATTACTTCCTTGGATGTGTGTGGCCATGGTTGGGCTGATTTTATGCTGTACAGCAATGCTTGTCTCCATGTACTTAGTCAGGGGTTATGGAGCACTCGTTATATTTTTGACCGCTACTGTGGTTATAGGTATCAATATATATTGATTAATGATACTTTCCTAAACTGTTCACTATTTTTTTTTTGTTAATGTTTAAACAGTTTTTGGATTCTACCTGTGGCTTATAGTCTACAGTCACTACATGGAAATTGGAGAGGCTAAAAACTGTACGGTAAATGCTACAACCCATCACACTTTCTCTGACAGATACCATCTCTTCAGAGGACCAAACACAACCTACGTTTAATCTGTTTTAACCAGGTAGTTAAATCAAGATGAACGTTATTATTAACTTAGCATAAGTCATTGTTACATATAATGACAATCATTGATTTCCCTGCAAATCACAAACTTCGTTGTTTTTCTTCTTAAATTTAATTAACATCTGATATTACAAAAAATTAAATGTTGACTTCGTATGGGATCAATTACAATTTTTTATGCCAAGAAAAACAGAATAAATAGTTTTACTTTGTTTTAGTTTCATGCATTTTGGTTTTTCTTTCTTTCTTTATTTTTTTAAAATATTTTGATTGTTTCAAATTAGTTACATAGTTCTCTGTTTTGACAATTTAATTCTTTGCAACATTATTTATTTCTAATTATTAAATCGGTTTAAATTTATTAAAAGAAATGTGGTCGACCCTTGCATTAAAATTCTGCAGTCTTATGATGACATAAGCGGTAAACACTATAATTTTTTTTAACACTCCAGTGATTAATATCAACAATGTTAAGTCATATTAAGTCAAAGTATACCACTTTCAACAGATATGTTCTAAAAATAGTTTAAAAATTACTTAAAAAAAGAAATCATTATAAAAATGTATAATACTATTTTTTTTAAAAGTATGTACATACATTTATGTGAAAAGAAAAACGAAAATGAAATTCACAAATTTTATTATTTTTAAATTAGTATTAATTAAGCTGATATAATAAATAGTAATTTTAAAAGAATTGCATCATTAATCATTTATTATGATTCATTATTTAATTGCATATTTATTTATTTTATTTCCATATCATCAGTACAACGTATTCAGTATTATTTATACAATCAAAGTATGTAGGTATAGTGTATTTCATTTAAAAGAAACACTATTTTAACAGTGGCATAAAACAAACCATAGTACATAACTGTAAAATAAAATTACATAAAATTTTTTTTATTTATTTTTCAATATCAATTGTTTTTAATATCCAAGTTTGATCTCATTCAAAATTAACATTCAATGTAGTATAGATCGTTTTTAAACATTTTTAAAGCACATTAAAATTTTTCATTATTTGATTTTGAAAATTCCTTTGAGCTCATTAGTAAAACGCACAATTTTGTTTTCATACTTCAATCTTTTTTTTTGTCCATGTTATTGAGCATTTATATTATTTTATTATTATTAGAGCTATTATCAAATGAAAATAATTATATTGACTCCTGAAAATAAAATTTAAACATGTAATATATAGTTGAAAATATTAACTTAAAATATGATTATTTTGCATGTAATTAGTAGTGATGCAGTATTAAAAAAGATAAAAAAACAAACAATTTTGATAATAAATTTGCATTCTATTAGTGTTATTACCAATCTCAAAGCAATTATTAAGAAAATGAAATTCCATAGAATCATTTGTTCATAAATCAAATTTTTTTAAGAAAAGGAATTTTCATAAAAGCAAATAAAAAGTGTTTACCTCCTTTCCTCAACCCTCCACCCATTGTAATATAATAAAATAAACAGTGGACCAAATTAATAAAAACAAAAGTTATTATAATTGTTTTACTAGTTTTATCCGCAGTGGAATTTTCATTTGTCCAATGCAAGTATTAAGTAGATTGTGATAGTTTAATCGTTATACAATATTTAGAAGCAAAGTAATCAATTGTGTGTGATTGATCTTCCTTATCTATTCTTTGTGAATTGATTGAGATTGAAATGTTATTTTTATAACTTAGCTACTTGCATAATATTAAATTTAATAGATACAAGTTTTATTTTTAGCGTAGAACGTGATAAGTTGTTCAAAAAAGTCTTAGAATTACAAATAGGTTTTTGAATAATTTCTTTAGTCCCTTTACACGTTTATTTATTTAGAAAACTGTAAATCAAATGTAGTAAATCTTTTAAAGTTAAAATGTATGAAATGAAAAGATAAAAAACATATTTATTGCTAATTATCTACCAAAAATTAACATATTAGATGTTAAACAAAGTATACACAGACATAAAATTGTATCCATAATGAAAATTATATATTTGTAAATACATTTGCAGTGCAACACATGCCAATTACTTAAGAATATAATTGTTGTGCAGTTTGTGCCTGTAAAGCCTTGTTGTAGGGAGCACAACTATATTTTATGACCATTAAGAAATTACGAGATTGATGATTATTAAATATGAAAAAAGTTAGTCCATTTAGGCTGCACTATTAATGGTTTATAATTTTTAGTTATTTATAAGTCTTTTTTCAGTTATATTAAGCTTTAGGTTCATACAATTCTGTTTTTAAAATATATTTTGACTGCTTATGGCAATTTGTAGGTTTGTTTAAAACGAGAAAAACAATAGTAAAAAATAATCTTTAGTACAATATCTTCTAACAGTAAAGAGAAACCTATTTATTCAAACCTGACAATCTGCATTATTAATAGAGTTTAACATCTTTGCCAGTCTGTGAATAACGAAACGTTTAGAATTAAAACAACCTTAATTATTAACAGAAAAAAAGCTTACAAATGTCACATGGTTTTAGAATAGTTAAATTATAAAAAAATGTGCCTTTTTAACCAATGATATGTGGAAAATTGAGCACAATTGGGCGAAGCTATTGATAAAAGCAACCTTTTTATTTATTTTTTATTTAAATACTACAACGAAATTTTCGACAATATTATTGTAAAATTATTATCTTTTTATGTAGTTATATGTAATTTTATAACTACATTTATTCACTCTTTACCGTCCATTGTATTTTTATTATAAAAGGTTTTATTACCTTTTTTTTTTTTTATTTGATTGAACTATTGAAGTACAATTTTAAGGAAAACAGCCAGTGTTCCTTAATGCTATGTGACATATTGATTGTTTTATTCTATTGTATTTTGTATTAAAATTTGTTTTAACATCCCAATCCTATCAATTTACTGGAAAAAAATAAATAAACAAAACTAATGTTACCAATTAATTTGTAAATTCTGGCTGTGATATTTTAATTTGATTTTATGTGTATTAATTTCAGTGTTATTGCAAATTTCAATAGAGAGATAAATTGCAAATTGTATTCTGACACCTTCAAATGGGGGGAAAATAAGAGAAAAAATTAATATTCCGAATTTGTAAAAATAACTCTCTTCCTAAACTGACTGATTTTATAGACTAATAATGTTGGACATCCTATTTTATTATATCTATTTGTAGGATGCCCACATTACAAAAAATAGTAACAATAAAATATAAAAATATACTTGCTTTATAATTTTCTCATAAAAAAAAAATTACCACTATGTTGTCAATTCACACATTGAATGATTAAAGTAAATATGTAAACAATAGTGTATTTTGAACATTTAGCAACAATAGGGGCAACAAAAACCATGAGAATATTAAAAATGAATTTTGAAAAAAGTGGAATGTTTAATAATTAATGATATTATTAATATATAATACACTGTATGTGTTAGCTTGAAGAACTTATCTGCTTTTGTGTCAATTAAACGACACTGGTTACAGCAGCGTATTGTTATAATGCAAAGCACTGAACATATAAACTTCCAGTTGTTGAAAAGAATGAAATTTTAATTAATGTATTAACTGTAGATTTTAGAAGCAATGTAGTGGTATTTAAAGAAAGTACCAATGTTTCAATAATTAAAAAAAAGAAAGATTGTTCGAGAGGTTGTATCGGGATATGTGATTGAATCATATCTGTCTTCAATTAAAAATGGAATAAAAAAATTATATTTTGAGGGTTTTGTATTGATTCAATTAGCCAATTCAACCATTCAATGCCTGCAACCGATCGAAATCATCTTCCCTCATTTTTATTAGTAGATTGATAATTCAGAGGACTAAAACTTTAGTTCTATACAAGTTTTGGTGCTAAATGTAAAACAAAAGCTCGTTTATGTGCCTGGCATGCAGACAATTACTTGGCTACATATAAAGAATGCTACCAATATGAGAATTATGCTTGAGCATGGCGGGTCCTCTGTTCTGTTTCTTGGAGGAAACAGGGTCGTTTATTGTTGAGAGTGAATGTATTTATTGGCAAGAATGTGCAGTGTGAGAGGGCCAATGGTGGAAAGGATGATTGAGGAATATCGAACACTCAACTATCCTGGGTGAATGGTTGTAAATTAAAAACGGTGTATTTAAGAGTGAATAAGAGTATGAATGGTTTTAGGACTGATTGCATTGGGGTCTGAAATGGCCTGCTGTTGGTAGCCCTTGGAGCCAAATCTTGTCGGCTGGACGGATAAGACCGAGGTCTGACCCCCCCAGGGTGGGTGATTCTTCAGGCCGAGTCAATTACTAAAGCTGATGAAGAAATGATAGGCTCAACATGTTCAGTGCATGTACATACAGTGTGCAGATTTACATAAATCATCAACCAGTAATCAGATTGTTAACAAAAACAAAACACGTGTTAAGAAAAAGAGTTAAGTACAGAAAAATAATTTATTATACAAAATATATTAATTGACACTGTTTGCAGCAGCGTATTGTTACATGCACTGAATATATAAACTTCCAGTTGTTGAAAATAATGAAATTTATAATATAAATCAAAATTGAATTTTGAAAAAAAAAAATTTGGGGTTAATTTTGGGTTATATGTATCTTCCATACTGAAAAAAATTAGACTAGACGATAGATAAAATAAAGATATATTACTATTTACATAAATGCAATATTAATTTAAACAAATCAATTTATTGTAATAATTCAATCAATTGCAAAATGATAAATAAAAAGATATTTTAAAAATTTAGAAATACATTTCTAAACGCTATAAAAATATCAATCATCATCAAACTGACCATCAACAACAGGAAAATGATTTAAAATGGATGGATACTCTTGCCTTTGGGGCAAAGGTTTATAAAACACTTCTTTCAATCTATTTTGAGCAGGAAGAAAAAAATAACTACTTGAAAGTATATGCTGGGGGCAGCCTCTCAAGCAGTGCTCTAGGTCATCACTCAGTTCAGGTCTTGTTGTTTTTATCATCAGCATATCTGGAAAATAGTACAATCTTTTCTTTATAAAAAAAAAAATAATAATAATAATAAAAAATTAAATAAATAAAATAAATAATACTATTTGGATCAAAACAATTGGCCACTTCGTCGTCCCAGTCTTCTTCTTCCATTTCTCCATTTTGAATTGGCATGGCGAAGTTTCTGCAAGATCTGATTTATTTTACAATTAATAGTACTCAGTAGTATTTAGTACTGAATGTATACTTACTCGGAACTGTAAGTTGAGGTAGAGCTATTGTCATCGTAGTCTGTAAATTAAAATTAAAATCCATGAAAACCATCGTTTAAATAAGACTATTTTGTTTTTGAACCTTCATCCATAATAGAAGAAATGGATGTCTTCCTGCCCGATTCTCGCTCTTGATCAATTTCAATTCTTAATGCTTTTTCCATTTCTTGATAGCTTTTATTCCCACACTAAAATAAAAGTACATCAAACTAAAAATCTATAAAAATCTCTAAATCTTATTGACTATACGACTGACTAGTCTTACATTGAATAAAAAGTATTTAACAGGTTTAAGTATATGCTAAATCTTTTAAAATTAATATAGTTTGTACTGATGGTGAGATAATCACCAAAAATTTGACTAAACAATGCTTATATGTAAATATATTTTTTTAGACCAACTTTTCTAATTTTTAACATCATATATTATTTAAAAGTTTAATTTTATAAAAAGTTCAGCATATACCAAATTAATTAAATGATAAATTTTATTTACCACAATGTCAGGAATGTCAAATTCGTTTTGTGACAAATCAAGCCTTTTTAATGATATCAATTTGTTTAACTGCTTTGGATGTGAGTAGAATGAATTGTTGTAAAGATCCAAATGTTCGAGATTAACACATTCATCTATACTCTCTGGCAAAGAAGAAATCTGGAAAAATAATTATTCTTTTGATGTTACCATTAAGTCGTGGAATTTAGATTATTCTACATTGAGAAATGACTGAAAATATTTTTAATGCAAACTGCACTTCAAAAGTGTAAAATCACTTACAGATTTCAGTAAATATTTATTATTATTGTTGTTTTATTATTTTGTTTTTAATAACAAATGAAATGAAAATTGGACAAGTAAATAAACGTATAAAGTTGGATGTAACAATATTGTCAACAACAATATTGTCAATCTTTGATTCTCATCTTCCAATAATAATAAAAATCTTATTTAGTTGGAAGTAACCCATTATTTTATATTAAATTTGTTTTAATTTTTTTAAAAGTTTTAGCCAGAACATATCCAAAATACAGAAAACCTAAAAAAAATAATAATAATAAAAAATGAACAAGCCAACAAATTATATAAGATTAAGGCTTTGTCCATAAAAATGATTAAGGGCTTCAAAATAATCTCATATGAAGCAGAATGCCTGATGGCAAACATCATTCCCATTGACCTTAAGGTCAAACAGCTCACCCAAAATTATGCAATAATACAGCAGATTCTGGAGGGCATGGAGAATGAATATCATCAGCCAGTGCATTACAACTTAGGGCTGCAGCCTACTGAAGTAGTTGAAATAAAAACCTAAGTGTATTGATTCATGTTTTGGAGAAGGATGTAAGAAATAAGAAGGGTGAGACATCAGTTGTTCATTTTCATTGATATGAACAAAAGCTTGGAGGCCACAATGGTTTAGGCGTTGACAAGGTGCTCATTACTGTCCGGGTTCAAATCCAGTGACCCGCCATTCTTTCAAAAACACCAGCACCCCTTGGGTTTATATTGATATAATGATTATTTTAAAAAAATTCACTAGGAGAAGCCTAGGTTGGAAAATTTTTGCTCGAATAACCAAGCTGAGCCGATCATTTTTAGGTCTTGGTGGATTCAGGCGCAATTTGATGAGGATCCAAAAGAAGTTATTTATATGGACAGCATGGTCACTATCATGTTGGGAAAAAATCCACAAGATCATAGAAAATTATGAGAAGAGATTAGAGTTGAAGCAAAGCGACTCAGCGATGAGGGTAAAATATTGGTTTTCCTATAAGCCCTTAGGATCTAACGCAATGAAAAGATCTACTTGCTAAGGAGGCTGTGCAAGACATCCAGCAACTGGTGGGCTACACAACAGATATCACACACCCCTAATTAGAAAACACTTTTTTGAGGAGACCGTTACAAATGGAATTCAATGAAAAAGGGAAAAACAAGAACATCTTTTCCCAGCTTTCAAGGACAGGGCCAGATTGACCTTTACGAAGATTACCACACAGCTAACTGAAACACTCACCATACACAGACCTAACATGAAATACATGCACAGATTCAGACTTGCAATAACACTGACTTGCATATGCAGTAGTCCTGTTCAGCTGTGGATTATCTCTTGATCCACTGCCCAGAGCTCGAGGCTGCAAGAGGGTCATTCAGCATCTCATCCTGAAGGGTATGGGTCTTGAGAAAACTTTTTTTTTTTTTTTTTTTAATTTACTACAAAATAAATTTGCGCCATCTTAATAATATTTAATGTTGTACTTAATCTTATTTTAAAAAACCATAAAATAAATAAATAAATGTATAAGATTAACAGAAGTTTACACTTACATCGTTATGGCTAAGATCAAGGTACACGAGAGACTTTAGAGAACCAAAATTTTTTGGTAGGAAGTACAAAGAACACCTAGATAAGACTAGTTTTTCTAGTTTGGAAATACTTGGAAATGTATCTGAAATGTAAGAAAGTAAGTTATGCGACAAGTTTAGAACACGGAGATGTTTAAGGTCAGAGACACAGGGCACTGTGTAAAGTCCAACATCTTTCATAATCAACTCTTCAAGATACAGTGGCAAAGCACCCTTCGGGATTTCAGGAAAAGAATTGGTTTTTGAAGATTTATTGTAATTGCTAATGTCGAGTCTCTTCAGAGAAGGAAGATAGGCGAAAATATTGATATGACTTGAATTCATGCCGGTATTGCTCAAGTCAAGAAAAGAAATCCTCCTGCCGATGAGAGAACACGAGGGTGCAGGTATATCCGGTGTATTTATGAACAGCGGATTGTTCGACAAAATTACTTTTTCTAAAGAATAAAATGTGTCGTCTATAAGCCAAGAAGGAAATGTTCTAAGTTGATTAAACGAAACGTGTAGCTCCTTTAGGTTTGCGATGCAAGCTGGCTTTCTTATGCGGCTCAGTGAATTGTGATTCATTACTAGCTTCTCCAACGTGTGCAGTTCAGTCTCTAAGATCCCCGATGTATCCGAGATACGGTTGTTAGAGAGATTGAGCACTCTCAGGTTCTCGACGTGCCTTAGTTGCTCAGGTATATGGCACAAAGCTCTATTGCTCAAATTTGCAAAACCTGGTATTTTTGAGTCCAGGAAATCGGAAATTTCTCCAAGAGAAGAGTTGGCCAATGCACTTTCACCATGGTTGACTTGTTGGTTTTCATCTTTTAAAAAAGGACATTCGGTCACGGGGGGCATTATAAAAAAAGTGCACAGATCAGTTCAATTCGGTATAAACAACATAAATAAATTTAAGGTTACAGACACTAATTGTTTTTGACGGCTGAACGGTTTTTGAACAGGCTTTCATACGCGTATAAACAATTAAACATATCTGCAATTTATAATTAATCGGCTTGACAAAAATTAATTAAAAACACTACCTAACCAAGAAACTTGTATTATACTGTATGGCATAAAAAAAGAAATCTTAGAAATTGGTAGATTTTGACACACTTGATATTTAATTACGATTTTTTTAGGGATCATCCTAATGTAAGATAATTTCCCCAAAGGCGTACGAGGTAATTCAAAACCATAATCAAAAACCGTTGACTTAAGAGATATAGATCAGCTGACAGCTCTTTTTCACGGCTCACCGCTCACTATTTGTCTTACCCATAATTCAACGCGTAAACTTTGGCGGGTTATTCGAATTTCAATGCCACTCTATACCAAGCAACCACAAGGTCCCACTGTCCATATTTTCGCCGGGTGGTTTGTAATTATTTGTATATACAGGGGGATTCATTTATTCGAAACACCTTAGGGAAATCAGTGTTGGTTCATCGAAATATGAATCACCTATTCCTGTAGTATGCATCATTTTTTGTTGCACCACTACCATCATACCCCTTCGGCAAAACAAATAAAGTAGAAATTGTGTATAATGATATTGGTTATAAATATGAAATCTTATAATCTCAAATGTCATAAGGAAAAAACATAAGGAACTGTTTATAATGAACTATCGGTTACAGCGGACAGCACACAAAGTAGCTCCAGCCTAATGCTTCTAGTAAAGATTTTTCCCCTCCCCTTTTTTAAAACTATAAATGTCTTTAAAAAAATTTTAAATAAAAAATCACAATATTAGTTTCTTCTGTTAAGAAAAAATTCATAATTTCTCAGAACGAATCTGCAAAAAGTGCATACAGTTTTGCAAGTGAAGTGGGTTCATCTTGTTCCAAGATATTTTAATTTTAATTTTATTTTATTTATTTACAGTCAAAACAGGTCAGGTACACAAGCATAGGGAAGTCAAGCAACACAACAAAACAATCATTAAAATATAAACTATTAAAAAAGGATATAAAAATAAAAATAACAGCAAAGAAGCGCCAACACTTTTAACAAAAAATCAATATTATTAATAGATTAATAAATAGCACAACAAAAGTAATAAATAAACCCTCAATTACATTTTAAAGCTCGTTCAATTTTTTTTTTCTGAAGGGACAAGGAGAAGGGGTCTGCACTGATACCGAATTTATTTAAGTAATGCACAGCTGTGATATCGGGAATTGTTAAAAATAGAGAAAATATTCAAATAATTTAATAAGTGCCATAAAGTAACAATAAATACAGACCAAAAAAAGATAACAGATTACATACTTCAATGATACTGTAGTCAAATAACTCCAATCACATTTGTACATGCACATGTACATATATGTGTTAAAGTTTTAAAAACATTTATGTAAATAAATTACTTAAGCAGGTCAGTATGTATTTTGTACTTCCTCATAAACCTGGATAAATTATATAATTACTAATTATGTAATGAAGACTGCTTCGCTATAAACGTGTAATGAATTGTTCACTACAAACGATATCATAATATTAAATTTATAATGAGATTTAAGTCTTTTCCCAAATTCTTATACCTTTGAATGTATGTATTGTCTGACAGTGTTTGACTGAGAGTTCTGCGTGCAAGATTTCTTTTTTCAGGAACTTTTGAGGCTAACAGAGTGGAAAAATGAAATAAAAGAGGTAATAGACTACAATGCCCAAAATCACAATTTAAATAAGGAATGATAGCTCCCTCAAAAACAAATAAATAAAAAATTATATATATAAATAAAAAAAGGGATATAGCTAACTCAAGATAGAAATTTTAAACGAATCAGTTAGGGCATAAAATGACCTTAGCTGTTAAAACTCCCTTAAAAATTAATAATAATAAATGACTGTCTGTGTGCATGTATTTATTAGCATGAATGGCGAGGGGTGAGGGTGAATATAACGTCATCATCGCCCCTCGAACGATGAAAGCGGGTGAGTGTGTGTTCGGGGTCGATGGCGGAATATTTATAAAAGTACCCCATCGACCCCAATCTAGTTTAGTTTAAGTGTAGGTCGGTGGAGGAATATCAAGTACTCCACCGACCAAACGGAATGAGTGTACTGTATGGATGTATTTAAGTGTATAAATGTATTTATTTGTATGAACGTGTATAGAATATAGACTTAGTGGGGGCTGAAATGACCTAGATGTCAGAAGCCCCGGAAAAAAAAAATAATAATAATAATAAATGACAATTAATTAAGGTTTTTAGTTGAGATGAAAAAAAGTTAATGGCACGAGAGGGATTCGAACCCACGACCTTCGGCTAGATACGCCGCTGCTCTACCACCTGAGCTATCGAGACCTCGATCCACGCGGACATCAACTCCCCATCTCAACCCCACCTTTTGAGTTTTCCCTCCTTTTGCCATTTTTCAATTTTTCGTCGAGAATCCAAACCGATTACACGACATTTGAAAAATAAGGAGAGAGTCAAAACTAGGATTTCAGAAAAGAATATTTTATTAGTTAAATCATTATCTTGATTATAGTCAATAGAAGTATATATTCTTTGTATGCCAGTGATTTATCCATTAAGGTGATACATAAGGAAGCTTCAAACATCCTTTATTTATGATTTCATTCACCTCTGGCAGACGGAAGTTTCCATGTCGTAATGGTACTTATTTAGTAACCATAATTTAATTGTACATTATTGGATTATAATAAATAAAGTGCCTTTATTATTATAAAACATTCTGTTATTAAAAAAGCACTGCATTTTGGAAGTATTTTCCATCAGAAAAAATAATGACAAAATATAAAATGAAATTTAAATAGCTGAAAAAAAACTGTCTTTTTATTTAAAAATTTAATTATTTAAATAAAATTAATTATTTATTTAAATGTAATGCTGCAATCAGAATGGATTATATTCTCAGCATCTGTAAATTTTCAGAAGTCATTATGAAAAAAACCCTAGAAAACGAGGTCAAATCATATTGACCAATATTGTGACTACCAACAGCCTCTATGCTTTTCGAAAAGTTAAAAAGAATAAAATCCATTATAGAAAAAAAGATCCCAATTTGAATTATGAACAAGACATTCATCAATAGACCAAATTCAGGGGCGTCGGTGGTTGCAATGGTTTAGGCACTGGCTCAGCATTCGAACCCGACATACAAATGGGCACATCGGCACCCTTTGGATTGATATAATCTTGTTGCGTTAAAATAAAATAAAATAAATTATTCTGCCTTATTCCTCGATGTCTTACAAGCTTTTTACAAGGTCTGGCATGAACGACTCATCAATAAACTAAAAGGGATGCTACCAACGAAGTATGTACGGATTATCAGACAGACATTTTAGCGTCAAACAAGATCAATATTCAGAATAAAAACATAAATGCAGGTGGCATATTAGGTCCACTGCTTTACTTGTTATACACCAGTGATTTATCGAAAATAGATTGAGTAAAATTTGCAACTTTTGCAGTAACATAGTAAGACCGACCATCCACCATTAAAAATCCTTCAAAGGCTTGTAACAATGTAAACGAATGGACAAAAATGGAGAATCAGGCTCAGTTTTACAAATAAAAAAGTGGACCATGTTCTGTCTCTCACAATCGATGGAATTATTTTACCATACAGCGATATAGCCAAATAAATGGGAATGACGTTAGAAGCCAATCTGAGATGGAAAGAACACAAAGAGAAAAAAAGGATGCGGCTCCAACCTTATTGTACAAATTAAAATATACAAACAAGTCCTAAAGACTTGTGAATACATGGTAGCCAACTATGGGGGTTATACCAAACACAGAAATATCAAAATTATACAAACACTCCAAAAGAAAATCTTACATAATCAATGCACCTTGAGGTCCTTAAGGAATAAGGACTTACATAGAGGTCTTAAGATCCTTGAGGTTACAGCAGAAATACAAAAATTTGCCACCAAACACTAGTCTTGCCTCAGTCAAGTCGAGAATGTGGAAGCGATCAAAGTCCTACATAATCGAAACATGGTCAGAAGTTTAAAAAGAACAAAACTATATTAACTAGTGTAACTTTAAAAAATTGTAAATACTAATCTTATAGTACCAATGGGTTTATAAGAATATAAACATTTTTCTATATATATCATTGTAAAATTAATGGTTGTTCTAATAATACTAGCTTTAATAAATAAATTAAATTAAAAAAAGTACTCATAATAAATGTTCAAATAATTCTGCTAATTTACTTTGCCCAATCGAAACGATCTGCTCATTATGTAGTTGGCTGTGCAAAACATTATCGCAACAGTCAGTCAATGTCGTTTGCAGCTCTTCAATACTTGAAAATGGCTCGTTCCTGTAAATTGATGGTTTTGTGTCCCTACAGAAGAAAAAAAAATCACAGATTTATGTCTGATGAACGTGGAGACCAAGCTATTTCTTCAAGTATTCCCATTAATTTTTTGGAATGACGTTTATGGGGAGGGTTTAGTGCGACACTCCATAACGATGGCTGTAACGAATGTGTTAATAAACAACACAACCAACAAGGGAAAAAAAGGATAAACAATAAAGAAAAATATTTCAACGGATATTCACTCCATCTCAAATTGAAACATTCTGTTGGGATGTGATTGATTGTTAGCTCTAAAGGTACTTTTTAAATATAATGACCTCAGTAGAAAGCAAATTGTAAATCCAATTCAACAAGCACACAGGGTTGGCGAGAAATTTAGAGCTTAAAAATATAAACAAGAAGAATTCAAAGTTTATTAATAATAATAAAATTTACTATTTACAATTAGAATAAATGCATTTTACAAAGAGCTGACTGGCCGCCGGGCTCTCATTTCATCGAGCCATTTTGAAAGGAGGGACTCCTTGTCCATAGAAGGTTTGTTGTAATAATTTACAGGTGGCTTTCCTTCTTCAAGACGTACAAAATAATGACAATACTTGTATTTCACCATACCTATTTTACCCCTTGCGTGCTTCCTGTATCCTTTAATTACATAGCCTTTTCCAGTAAACGACTCAGCTGAAAGAACAGGTAAAAAAATTTTTTTTTAAATTATTTTAAGCATTTTTGCCCATACTGACCAACCCAGAGGTTGCTTTTGAATTCAACATTGTGTTTCTCCACAGCCAGCTCTTGAGCTTCGAGTATCGCCTCCTTGACGTATACAGCACCCTTCTTATTGACAAAACTGAGCTGCCTCACAGCTTCATCCACTGACATGCCTCTTACAAAACAAGCAACGTACCACATTTTCTTTGGGCTGTACTTAATGTTATACTTGGCATGGCAGACATACTGAAAAGGAACAAATATATAATAATTAAAGAAAAAATAAGATTATTACTTACGGCTGGCCTAGGCTCTTCATCAGGCTTTTGTGGAGGGAAAATAAGGTTGTTGTACGATAGCCACTTTTTAGGTTTTTCAGGTTCCTTCTCGTGCTCTGGAAGCTCAGGCATAGCTTGAGTTGTCTTGTGAGTCACATTCCTCGATAAGACAGAAAGGCAGCCCAGGGGGGCTTTATTTAAAATCGATTTATGCAGCGAAGGTAGGATATTTGCCCCTCCGAGGCGTAATGCGGGAAAGAACATCTTGACAGGAAAAAAAAAATCACTATAGCAAATAAAAGATGACATAACAATAACATTAACATGGTGAAATTGAAAAAAAATTGTACCAATGCAAAGGTCCTTGAAACTAGCCAAAATAATGACAATCAAAAAAACTTTACCATTATCTTTTGGAGAACGTGAGATGCGGTCTGGTATGACATAGGTTTTAGAAAAACATTTTCTTAATCATGCCAATGTTTCGATCTTTATTGAGATCATCTTCAGGGCTCAATAAAAATCGTCGAAATGTTGGCACGACAAAGAAAATGTTTTTTCTAAAACCTAAGTCACACCAGACCGCATCTCACGATCTCCAAATTGACTAATGGTCACTAAACACCACACATTTGACTGTTACTTTGAATATAACTTTCATCAGAATCATTAAAAGATAAATTTCCTCTTGGGGGTGTGTATCTTTACAGACTCCGAGGAATCTGTACTTTGCTGTTTCCAATCATCCTGGTATGTCCTATCCTCGCTGTTTTGGCTGTCAGATACATTTCCTCTTCAGCACCGGGTCATGGTGGTCAAGCAAAGCAAAATGATCGGAAACGACCAGACTAAATCATGTTGAATTTATACTTTATACCCATTGATAAAAACAGAAAGGCATATAGGAAGACATACAAGGCTAGTTTTAGCGTAAATTAATGTAAATTTTTCTATTTCTTAATAAAGTAAAAGAGCTAATTATATTTGCGAGCTGTGCTAGTACATTTGCAATAAATTATGAGAAGCGTAGCAATATCTATATTTTTAATGTTTAGCCTGAGCCGAATAATAAGATATGTATGGACCTTCGCGAAGCTATAAAATGAGCTTTAAATAATATCAAACTGAAACGTACAGCTTTAGAATTCTATTGATAAGGTGTAGTATGTACAGATCAAAGTTGATTTAAAACATGAACATTTTCTGTGACTTTGGTGAATTAAGTTTGAATAATTATGCTATTAAATGGTTGTAGGGTTAATTACCGTTTTTTAGTTTGATCTAAAAGAAAAATATAAGTGAAAATAAATGTTTTCAGTTATCCATGATATACATCCCAAGCGTGCCTAAGTTTATACTTCATCAATAAAACCTCGGGTAGGTTTTAATACCATGCTGTCCAATATTCGACCTACTGTTGAAGTATAATATTTAAAAATTAAACTTTTTAATGACATGCTATTTTACACAATAATTCCAATTTAGAGGGAAAAATTTTCCTATTAAAGAAAGAAAACATACTGAATGTAGTATTTCATCTAAATTTATGAAATCAACTCCCTGCACTTATGTCCCCTTTTCAATCTGGCTTCCACAAATTTCATAGTAGTAAGACTTCTTAAAATCTCAGATGACGTCCGACTAGGCATTTATGATAATAATTTTACTATTATTGATCTACATTATTTTTCCATTGAATTAGGATCTGTAAATAATAATTTGCTTATTTGGAATCTGATTCATCTTTTTAGTTCTTCCTATCTGTCTGATAGAACTCAGCTTCTAAAGGATCAAATTCTATCTTCTCTTCTCTCTCAATTTAAGCTGGTGTATCCCAAGGTTCTATCCTTTGACCTTTACTCTTTACTAGGTTTGTAAATGGTCTTCCCGTCTTGCAAGATGATGCTGTCAAGGTGATGCATGCCATATGCCAGCAAATTTGGAAAACTCAAGGATGGCCATCAGATTGGACAAAATAAACTTATATCCCCATACCAAAGAAAGGGAATATCTAAAGAATATTGAAATCTATTGAACAGTGGCAGTTATTCTATTTGCCAGTAAGGTAATGCTCAAGATCTTGCAAGGTAAACTCCAGCAATTCATGGAGTGAGCTTGCCATTCGTTCAAACTAGGTTTAGAAAAGGTAGCAGTTCTATAGACCAAATGGACAACATCCTCCCTGGATAATGGAGAAATCCAGGGAGTTTCTGGGAAAAAACTATTTCTGTTTTATTGGTTATTGTAAAACCTTTGATTCTATGGATCATAATAAATTGTGGCAAGTTTTTGGTGGTATGGGGATACCATATCATCTTGTCTGAGTAACTGTATAACAACCATGTAGCAACAGATGGGTTTAAAATTCGGAAAGGAGTATAGCAGGGTTGTATACTCTCTCCCTACTTATTCAACTTGTATGTAGAATACATCATGCAATGTGCTGGGCTCAAGGAATTCAAGGCTGGTGCTAACATTGCTGGAAGAAACATTAGCAATCTCAGATATACAGATGATATTACTTTGATGGCTGAAAGGGAGTTGAGGAGCCATACGACGAAGGTGAAAGACAAAGTGCAAAAGCTGGGTTACAGTCAAACCTAAAAAATTAAGCTTATGGCATCAGCTTGACTGATAATTGGCAAATAGAGGGGGAAAAAGTGGAAGCAGCGACAGACTATGTATTTTTAAGTGCAGCCAGAATATCAGAAGACATGTGCTTCTTGGGAGTAGAGTAATGTAAATTCTTGATAAAATAGTAGAGCCAATCAAACAACAAAAGTCCACATAATTAAAGCAATGTAATCCATAGCTGTGAGAGTTGGGACATAAGGAAGGCTGAGCAAAGGAGATAGATGCTTTTGAAGTATTGGAGGAAGATTCTGAGAGTGCCTTGGACAAGATCAAACCAATCCACACTCCGGGAAATAATAAAGGCAAAACTGAAGCACTTTGCCACATAATGAGAAGACAGGGTACCCTCGAGAAGAGGCAGATAGGGAAAGTGCATCACAAAAGGAAGAGGGCATCAAGGGCAAGATCGATATTTTAAGGGGTGTCGTTCTCATCTATGGGGGAACTTGGATGGTAACAGCTGACAGGAAGCTCTGGCCCATGAAGTCACGAAGAGTTGGAAGTGGCTGAACAAATAAACAAGACCTTCCATTAGTTCTTAATTTCTCCCAATTTTGCCTATATGCTGATGATACTGTTTTGCTTTCAATCTCTGAAGCTATCTCTCTGCTCAATCAAGATCTTCAGTCTCTCAATCAATCATCAATTAATAATGGCTCCATATCAACAGCTCCTCTAATAACTTTTGGCTTAAAGTTAAAAATCTCGTGGGTCAAAATTAAAAACAAAAAAAAATCCAACATAATTTTTTTAACTCCAAGCCTCCATTACAAAATTCATGTAGTACAAACAGTTCAAATGGATAAACAACCATCCGTTATTGTGGAACTCACGGACAAATAATTTAATAAATATTACAGCTTAATTTACCTTTAACAGTTTTATGCACAACTTATCATACATCTTATTAATTAGATGTTGACTTTTTCAAATCAGTTTCAATTTTCTGCTTCTACCCTGAACATAGGGTATCCTTCTCTGCAAAACCTGTACTTATTTGTTGCAACATACAAGTATTGTTGACAACTGTGACAGCCATTACACAAATTTCAGAGGAAAAGATAATCCAGATCAAGCCAGTGCATATTTTTATAAAATGGAGACTACCTACAATGGAGTCGTTTCAGCATCCAATGTGAGGGTCAATGTCAGAATATTTTCATTCATTAATGAAATTATATTTGGGTGGGATTGGGGATCTGGTCCTACGAATGTTATGGTACTGAAAACTATGCCAAACTTTCTTTTTTATTTCACCTTCCTCAGCGCTCTACAATAAATATAAAAATACATAATTTTTATAATGTAAGTGAAAATAGACAATTGACAAGAATCTGTAAGTTGTAAGTTAATTGTAATCTGTAAGTTGTCAATGTGTTATATTTTGTAATTTAATTCTCAATTTTCACTTACATAAATGAGTAATGAAAAAATTATATGCTTGTATATCTGTTGTAGAGCCCTGACGAAGGTGAAATAAAACAGAAAGCTTGGCATAGTTTCAATGCCTCATTCACTGGACCACATAACTAATCCTGACTAACATTTCAGATAGAAAACTGGATAATTGAATTAACTTACCTTATACCAGTATTAGCTATGTGAATTTCCTTCCTTTTACCTGCATAATTTTATCTCTCTAGCATAAAATATTCACTCTAACCCATATGCTAAAATAAAATTGCTCTCTTTTACATTACTTTCTCTGTCAATAAAAAAAATCTGTTGATAATGCGTGTAAATAGTACAATTTGCAAGTATTTGATTTAAAGAAGACATATACAAACTATACAAATATATTTAAAAAATTAACATGTCCTCAATAAATAATTCTTCTATCTCAATTTTCGTATGTGCCATTATTGTAAAACAGCAGCATTGGCTGCAATACTTGGGCTGTTTATTACTTCTCCAAGGGAATTGAGTAATTCTTTCCTATAATCGTCGAAATCACCAAGAACCTCATTTATGGTTTGATCTTCTATGACCCAAAGTGTACAATCCGTTTCCCTAATAAGTCTCTCGTCGTGAGTGACTATAATTACACCGCCTTTATATTCATTGATCGCTTCTGCTAGGGCATCGATTGATTCAATATCTAAATTATTCGTGGGTTCATCCTGAAATGATTAAATGAGTAATAATAAATTTCGAGACTTTACGATACCATCAATATTTGGTACAACTGATTGTAATAATTACCAAAATGACGACGTCGGGAGCAGCAAGGCACAATTCGGCTAGTGCCACTCGAGCTTTTTGCCCGCCAGAAAGATCTTTCATTTTTATTGTATGAGCATGACTTGAAAGGCCAAATGTACCTAACTGTTTCCTTGCCTTTTCGTAAGGAAGATCGAACAATCGCATTAAATATTCCGCGGGTGTTTCTTCTGCTGTTAAATGTTCTCCTGAGTGCTGATCGTATCGGCCTATTCTCTAAAATTTAACATATTATAAAAAAATCTTATTTAGTCATATTAAGCCAAATTATTGAATCATGGTCTTGAGGTTTACCAGTCTGTGGTTCCTTCTCATGTCTCCTCTGTTCGGTGTAAGTTCGCCAACTAATAGTTTTAAAAACGTTGATTTTCCCACACCATTGGGGCCGACAATAGCTATTCTTGAACTCAAATCGATACCAAAATCTACATCAATAAATAACGGTTTTTGACCTTCATAAGAGAATGTGACACCTAGAAAATGAAAAATTAATAAATATTTAAATTAACTATTACTAATTGTTATAATATGTACGGTGGAGTCCGAGAATGGGAGGTTGAAGTGGAGGAGGATCTGGGAAAGAGAATTTTACTATATAATCTCTAGGCTTTTGTAATAGCCTTATCGGCCCATTGTCCTCTTCGTTTTTCTGTTGTTTACTTCTATTTTTCTCCTGTTTTCTTGTCAGCGCTTCTTTTTGTTTCTTTTCCTAAATAAAATATAAATGTAATGTGCAAAACTTATGAAAATTTATTAAATTGAATTAAGTTTATTACAGCTTGTTTTTTTGATTGTCCACTAGATTTCATTTCTTTTATCCTCTTCTCTTGTTTTTCATACTCCTTGATTAACTCCTTTTTTTTCTGAACATGCATTTTTTTAAACATGGAATAGTTTCCTTTGTAATAATGAAGTTTAAGTTGATCTAAATGTATAATTTCATTACAGACGTTGTCTAAGAAACTTTGGTCATGAGAAACTACCAATAAAGTTTTCTTCCAACCCTGCAAATAACTAAAGTGATAAAAAGTTAAATGAATGCCTTCAGATTTTGAATATATTTTTAAACATCCTGTGAACATACTTATCTAGCCAAATTACAGCGTTTAAATCGAGATGGTTTGTAGGTTCATCAAGTAACAATAACGTAGGCTCAACAAAAAGAGCTCTGGCTAAAGAAACTCTCATTCTCCATCCACCTGAAAAATTTTTGGTGGCTCGGTTCTGCATTTCTTTAGAAAAACCCAAACCAGCAAGAATCCTTCTAGCTCGAGGTTCAGCTGAATCTGCTCCGATTGCTTTTAACTCTTCATAAACCTAAAACGAGAGCCAAACATTACTTATTGTAAAACGTGTCAAACAGAGCGAACATAAACCACCCACTTCTTTCAGTCTATCTTGACCTAACATGCTGCCTTTTTCCTGTTGAGCTTCCAATGTTTTACATTCTTCCAACAGGGCCGTTCTTTTAGTATCTGCTTTCAAAACAGAATCAACAGCCGTTGTATCGTCAGCGACGACTTCTTGTTCACAATAGAGAACATCTATGCTAGGAGGTATTGGAAAAATCCTATTCGCTAAATGACGTAGTAGTGTCGTTTTACCATGGCTGAAAAATAGAAAATATTCAGATTTCAATTAAAAAATAAGTGAAGTAATATATAACTAATACAAAAATTTGACACCCTTTACAGATTTGGAAGAACTGAGTGGTTTAGATCAGAAATTTATCCAAATCCTACGTCCGTGGTACAATGGTTCAAATTTTATTCTACATAAATTTTCATATTTGAAGTTAATTGCAATTTTTTTTTAACTTTTAGGTTTTTATTGTTATTTTACTGTATTACAATAGTTTATTAACATAAACAAACCAACACAACAAAATTCTTAAAATAATCAGTATTTTTAAGGCCCCCATATCCAAAAACTTCTGGATGAATTTTCCCTTTCCTTAAAAATTAATTTTCCTGAAGCAGTCGCGTAATGTAAGGAAATAAGAACATCATATGACAAACAAATACAGTCAGTTCAATTTCACAATTTTTTGTGCAACATTTTTCTTCTTTTTTAAAAATGCACCTGAATGAAAAAAAAAGTCTATTAAAAAGAAATTATTCAATTATTAGCCAGATGATGTGTCTGACATTCATCCTGCATATTTTAATATTTTTAGAGCAAATTAATTGCATATTTGAGGGTTTTTTACCGTACATTATGTGGCATGTTATAAGAACTTTCTGATTTGACTAGACCGAAAGCAAAGGGAAATGTCAGCACTTGTTTGATTGCTAGTCCATAACCAAATCCTCGGACAGTTCTGCTGTTCAAAAACCTCGCCTGAAACGGGCTGGAAAACCCATCTGACAGTTTGAGAATGCATTTGTGGCATGTTGGAATGCGTGAACTCAATTTTCAACCCATTAGTTTGATGACGGTTTGGACGTGTGTTGGAAAAACATATTTTTAACAAGCAACCATTTTTTTGTATTATTTTTCGGTGAATACACGTTGAACTGGTACTAGGACACACAAAATTAAATAAATAAAGCCTGGCCAAAGAGAAAGCCATCATAAAACACACATACAAAAATAAGAAAAAAAATTCAACAAAGGATGTTTGGAAGTATAAAAACCTGAAATTAATAAAGAGGCCTTATTATGATGTACAGTGGGGGCCTAAAGTGGAACAACGGGCGGGGCAAGTCCCAAAGGTCAAAATTTTGACCTAGTAAAACCTCTAGCTCCCCTCCCAAATATCAATTTTCCCATCTGAAATAATTCTGTACACAAGATATAATAAAAGGATGGAACAGGTACAAAGATAAGGTACATATTCCCAGACAGCCAAGTTTCCACCTTACTTAGTCATGCCCGCGCCCAGTTGGCTTCAATAGCCCCCTGAAGTGAAAGAGAGACTTTGACCACCAATGATCCCAACATTGAGAATTAAAATTTACTACAAAAATAAATTACCCATTTGGTCCGACAAGGCCATATCTCCTTCCATTTGCAATTAACAAGTTAGCATTGACAAATAAATCTTTGCCTTTAGCTGCAATACTGAAGTTTTCAATCTACAAAGGCAGTAAAAAAACATTCAGAATTCCCAACACAAAATGGCTTAATGATTATATGTAATTACTTTAATATCAACTGCATTTTCCAGAGCTTGTAGCTGGCTAACAGATTTCTCTGGTTGGGAAACTGTAAAGTTCTCATCCAAGGCACTGTGGCCCTGCCCTCCCTTTTTTGTCAAGGTTTCAACTTGTTTTAGATAATCCATCTGAAATTAAATAACAATCGTTGGAAAAAATATATATAAATTTAGAAAATTTCTTTTATACCTCTTTTTTCAATTTCTTTTTCTCCTTGTGGGTAAGTTTCTTGGCAGTTTCTGAAATGCAAAATTAACAGCGAAATCTATTATTATAATAGCAAATTTACCAGCTTAATATAAAATTTTAAATTTGGTTTTTATAAGGGTAAACTATATGAAATTAATGATGATCAAATTACCGTCAACTGCAGCCGTGGGCTCGACTGATTCTTGTTCAGGTGAGAAATCTGGATCGACCTTTTTGACCGGGTTGATGTTCTTTTCCATTTTTTTCTGTTCCGGTTCAATTTTAAGGTCTTTCAATTCTTCGGTTAAGCTTTCCATTTCAGGGAATTTGCTCCTGGTTTCATACTTGTGTGATGGTATTATATAAGTCTCATTCATCAAATTGGGCTTCGATGTGTTTTCTGCCACATATGCTTGTTTTCCCTGGGCAGGTTCAGCAGGAGGTTCGTCACCGACTTCTGATTCTTCTGACTCTTGCTTCTTTTTAGTTTTTTTCTTTTGTTTTTTCACTGGTTTTAATTCTTCCTCGGAGCCTGCATCGACCATCATGTCAACAACAGGTTCTTCATCACTCAAGTCTTGTTTCTTTCCTTTAGGTTTCTTTGTATTTTTCTGTTTTTTAACAGGTTTTACTTCCTCTTCGGAATCTGCATCGGCCATCATGTCAACAACAGGTTCTTCATCACTCAAGTCTTGTTTCTTTCCTTTAGGCTTCTTTATATTTTTCTGTTTTTTAACAGGTTTTACTTCCTCATCGGAATCTGCATCGGCCATCATGTCAACAACAGTTTCTTCATCACTCAAGTCTTGTTTCTTTCCTTTAGGCTTCTTTATATATTTCTGTTTTTTAACAGGTTTTACTTCCTCTTCGGAATCTGCATCGGCCATCATGTCGACAAGAGGTTCATCGTCACTCATGTCTTGCTTCTTTCCTTTTAGCTTCTTTGTATTTTTTTGCTTTTTAACTGATTTTAATTCTTCTTCTTCTTGTTCAGACTTGATACCTTCGTCTTCACTCACATTTGTCTTGCTTTTTCCTTTCTTCTTTTGCTTTTTAACGGGTTTCATCTCTTCCTCTGACTGATCGACATTATCGAGGACGTTTACTTCCTGTTCATCATCGCTCCAGTCTTGATTCTTTCCCTTGCTCTTCTGTTTTTTCTTCGTTGGGGCTTTCTGTTTAGGCTTGACTTCTGTTTTATCGGCAAGGGCATTTTGTTCGGTTTCGTCCTCACTTTCGACTTTTTTCCCCTTGATTTTATTTTGTTTACCCTTGGAATTTTCGGCCTCGCTGTCGGAATCGTGTCTGTTCTTACCTTTTCCACCTTTTTTTTTTATTTGGACACTTTTCCCTTCCTTGCCTTGGAAACTGTCGGGGAGACTTTCTTCCTCCCCATCTCCCTTTTTACCTTTCGCCTTCTTCGGTGGCATTATATATCAACATAAACGAAAAAACATTCAAGACACAATTAAATTAAACTGACGATAAAACCGCATTTATTTAATGTATAATTTATTTAAAGTAATCCGTATTTCACTGACAGGCTCACTGACCACATGGCACGGATACGGGAAACGTGTATTTTCAGGCACATATATTCTATCATCCCTACTTCGACTACCAGTGTTGCCAGTTCTGAAAAAATAATTTCCCCAACCGAGTTGTGCATTTTTCCCAATTCCAAATTTTTTAAAAAAATTCCTCACTACCTAAAATCCTAAAAATATTACATTTAAACCTATTACCTAGCATGTAGTGTTTTGTATAAAGTTTATTAAGTATTTGAATATTTTGTTAAAAAAATTCTCTCCTCAACTAAGTGGTCCATATACATAATACCTTATTAATTATAGTAAAAAAAAGTGGAAAAATGCCAAAGCTATTTTATTAAAAAAATATTTTCTCTTCCATTATCCACCCTGAACCACATGCTACCACATTTTGCACTTTTTACAGGTCAAAAACCCATTTCTTAAAAAAAATTATACAAAAGTAAGGAGAAAAAATACAATAACTAACTCAACATTAATAAAGAATAAAACTCTTTACTGTACATCAATGAAAAAGACAATAAAATCCTTATAATAAAACAACATAAAGATTTAATTAAAACCTCTATTTATATAATTATAACAACTAGGAATTATAAACAAAAATATATAAAAATAATACAGTAAAGCATTATAACTACATACATAGTACATTTTTAGCTTTTTTAATTAAATAAAATGATTAAGCTTTAAGTAACATATTTTAATGAAGAAACAGAAGTATTAAATAAATCATATTGCATAAGTTGTTACATTCTATCATCATGCGATGCATCGAGGAGTGTAGTGAAAAATTTGTTCCTTTATATTCAATAAAAAATATTTTATGATTTCTAAGGTGGCAAGGAGGTACATAAAATTGGAGTTTACCAAGGATTTCTGGAGAATCTGTACAATTATTGATTATTTTAAAAATAAAAATAATTCAATCAATTAATTATTCTTTCTAAGGTCTTGGTTGAGATAAAAAAGTCAGTGTCACAAGCGGGATTCGAACCCACGACCTTCGGCTAAATACGCCGCTGCTCTACCACTTGAGCTATCGTGACTTCGATCCACTCGGACACCGACTCTCCATCTCAACCTACAACCGTTCAAATTTTCCCTCTTTTTGCCATTTTCAATAATCTCAAAATCTTTCTTCTCTAGCTAAGATCAGAAATATTGAAGTAAGATTTGCCGGTGAGGATTTATCACTGTGACAGTTTAATTTGAAATATAATGTACGAAGGAATTTATTTTGAACAGTTTGAAAAAGTTTTATGTCAGTGTAGTAGTGCGGATTCCATTTGGTCGACGCATATGGTTACCCTCCCAGCCTATGCGTCCGGATACCCAGACCTCAGCAAAACATATATACATACATTTCATACATATTAATTAATAAATGTTTTTAAGACATCATCATTTGTTTAATCATTATAATAGGCATTATGAGTTCCTGCTGATTCTATAAGCTGTTTTGCATGAAGGATGGCAGCAGGCGTAATTATGTGACAACTTATTACTTTATTTTGTTTTGTTTAAATTTATGATGCCGAATATGTTTTATACACATGCATTGCTATATGGTAGAGTCATTATTCTGGAAACAAATTAAGTTATACTTTGATACAACAGTGGATTACTTGCTTTTTTAAATGTTGAAATTTTACTCCAAAATTCCTCAATAGTGGAGGAAAAATCTTGGTCTACCTGATTTTAGAGCATATGATATTTTCTGTCTAAAAGATTTACATAACAATTTTTTTTTTGGTGAAAGAAAACATGATTTATACAAACTATTGTTATTTTTATCCCTAGAAAACTGATTAAAGGCACTTGCAGCATATAGTATGTAATGTTCAATGATTTCAGACCTCCTAGAGGTCAATTCAGTCGCCTAAATGTATAGCATTAACAATTATGAAAGAAAACAAAATTTACATAAGAGATTAAGTTTTTAATTAATATTTTAAGGTTCAGGGCATTTAATTTCCTTTTGCCTTTGGCAAATATTGGATTTAAATACAATCGTTTTTGCATTTGGTTTAAGATTCTATGCAAAAATTAAGACAGTTTTTAAATATATTAATTGAATTTTGGCTAAGGAGCTTGTTTAAGTTTGGCAAAGCTGACATTACTTCACCTTCTAAATAAATTTACCCGAAGTTTTTATTTTTAGAGCCGGCAAACTACATTGATCATCGCCAGCCCTCAATTCTTTTCTAATTTATAATGTATGATATAATGGCAACCAACTCTCTCTTTTCTTTATGTTATTGCTGAGTAACTAGCAATAAAGGCCTTCTCAATTGTAGATAGCATAACAAATAACAAACATACATAGAGAACATAATAAATAAAATATAATAGCCTGGTTAGCATTCACTCTATCCCAGGGTATGATTTTTCTCAGGGTGAGGCCATTCACGCTAATAAATTACATTCACACTATTTCAGAGTACTCAATCGTCCTCAGGGTAATTGGAGCTAAGCCACACCATTCATGCAAATAAATACATTCATTCTAATAAATAACACATATTGCATACATGAAGGTACAAAAATCTATATAGGTAAAATTAAAAATAATAAATAATTTATGCAGTAATTTGTAATAATTAAAGCAAAACATAAAGATGAAATATTTTATTACACTGATGGTCTGAAAGACAGAGGGATAAAAAGGTGGCCCATGATAGTTCGAGACAATTGTGTTATGTGAACCTTGCAGTTTGATCATTTAAGGTCATTTTGATCTGTCAGACACGTTTTCAGTTTGTTGCCATGTTCAGTGCTGGGGATTAGCTTCAATCAGGAACAAAACGATTTTACTTTTTTTTTAAAATTCAATTTATTATAGAAGAAGTTATCCATTGTCAACCACTCCGAGTTGATATGGAGCATGGGTCGAATGTATTTATTTCTTGAAATCGACCACTTGTAACAGTTACAATAAAGGAATGGAAATAAAGATTAATTCAATTTAAACTGTTAATTATAGAATAAAGATTGTCAAAAATATACAACAGAACAACTTGTTTATTAAAATTGCGTTAGCGGGATTCACAGTCATCAACGCTTACACTGTCGGTTTCATTATCTAAAAGAGATTCTAAAGATGCTATAGTCAGCAGTTCATTCATCGAATCAGAGTATATTTTTTTCTCAAGCTCCTTTTGATCAAGTCTAGAAATAATACCTTGTGATTAAATAATATACCACATACATAATACAATTTACAACTTACACATGTGAAGAACTAGAAGATTCTAATACAGACAGTGATCTGTACACACAATAAAGTCAAATTATACTTTTTAAATTAAAAACTTTAAATTGATCATAATATAAGCTAAATACAATTTATTCTTTATATTCTATATTAGCAAAAGTATACCTTTTAAATTAACCTCAAATAGTTCCACCTCAGCTAAACCACAACCATTTTTCAAACCAAATTGCTAACCATGGAAACATTTACAGATGAAATAAATAACAAACATCTCAAGGATGCAAAATTAATAATACTGATGAATAAAACTTGTTTGAAAGTGCCTGAATAAACTGAAAAAATTGGGATGTACAACTAGCCTAATGCTAAGGCGGGTTCTAGCCAAAAAAAGAGCCTCATAACTGTTCTCAGGCCTTTCACAGGAGAGCTTAATCGGAAGTCATAGCTTAATTGAAAGTCATATATGAGGGGTCAAACCACTTTACAATAGTTTCTCTATATTTGTCACAATTAAAAATCCATGCGATATGCCGGGATTCGTCAGCTAGCATGGCATGTATGAGTTGGACACCCAACCACTCAACCACTTAGGTATGGAGTAACGAAAAAACAGAAAAAGCGGCTAAGGCGAGGACATCCCAACCTCTGAACTTAACCACTTCGTTCCGGCCTCCTGACAGTAAAAATACAATAAAAAACACGATTAAAAGGAAGGGCAGCATTGGTGGGCACAATCAGCAGAGAAACTCTCACTTATCAAGAGACGATTGGTGACCCCTCAAAGAACCTAACTTGTATAAGAAGGGTCATCCTTACCTGAATAAGTATAGGCCATATGAGGTTCACACATGAACGCTTACTATTCAAAGCCTGTGTATATGTCTGACATGCAGAGAATGTGTGCTTGATGTTTCCACCTAATTAAAGGGTGTGATTCCTTGGCTCCATATAGAGAGTGTGTAGGAATGCCACCTGATACGAGAATCGTGCTTTTGAACCACAGCGATTATCTGGATCCCCTGTTCCAGTTCTTGGATTTACTGTATACAGGGTGTCCCACAGCTTCCCTATTTTTGGTCCAATTTTGATAAATCTTTTTTTTTTAAACATTTTCATTATGAAGTTTACATTACGCAGAAAACAAAAACTTTGAGCCCTGAAGATGATCTCAATAAAGATCAAAACATTGGCACGATAAAGAAAATGTTTTTCTGAAACCTACATCACACCAGACCGCATCTCACGATTTCTGAATAATCTTTTTTCAAAACATTTTCATTATGAAGTCTAGATTTTTTATGTTTCATCGATTCCAGAAATAACTTTTCGTTCATTTTTTGACATAAAAAATACCCTTTGTAAATCTTTTTTTGTGTGTGGTGAGCATTAGCAATTACGCAGAAAACAAACACTTTGAGCCCTGAAGATGATCTCAATAAAGATCGAAACGTTGGCACGATAAAGAAAATGTTTTTCTGAAACCTACATCACACCAGACTGCATTTTTAAGAATTTTTTGCATTAGTATGGGTTTAATATTTTAATTTTTCCCCCCATGAAAAATGGCTAAAAGGAGAGCAAATTCAAAAGGGTGGGTTGAGATGGGAAGTTAGTGTCCGAGTGGATCGAAGTCATGATAGCTCAAGTGGTAGAGCAGTGGCGTATTTAGTGGAAGGTCGTGGGTTCGAATCCCGCTCGTGACACTGACTTTTTTATCTCTACGAATACCTTACATATAGACTAATTTATTGAAAGATTTTAATTTTTATTAAAGTTAGCGAAATGAGAATTTTACATGACATTTTCACGTCACCCGATTGCGATAAACACCACTCCAGAAAACTTGAGTTACCTATTTAGAAGAATGACAATTTTCTGCAAAACGATTTATGGGTAAGGATTTCTGGAACCGATGAAACATCTAAAAACAAGACTTCTAAAAAAGAAAAAAAGGAAGTTGGGGGTCTGGAGTGAGTTCCATTGTTCTCTCATTTTCTTTTTATCCTTCTGATTGAAATGCTCATTTAGTGTGCTTTCCTATGCCAGAGAAGGGCAACTCAGTGAATGAATGTATTTAAGAGTGAGTGAGAGTTTGAATGGGAAAATTATTGCAACCGTGTGCAAATTTGAGTTTATATAAATCAGTAATCTGTAATGAGCTCTGATGACTCTCAAACTGATGAAATGAACTCACAAGTCTGTAACTGCCTGAATAACCTAAAAAAACTGGAACTAGCCTAATACGGTGGGTCTAAGGTCATAAGGGAATCTTAAAAAAATGAGACTATTAACAAATGACCGATTTTGACTATTTCTAGAGTAGACATGAACCACAGAGTTTATCATATGCAACTGCCCTGTAGTTAGAAAAAGGCTGTGATACCTAGGGCAGCCATTGTTGAGCATGTAGAGCTTGATACCAGACCCTGGAGAAGAATTATTTTAAAAAAAAGAGCCAATATTTCTTAGGTAAACCAGCAGTAGATTCTTGGAACTTATTAGAACAACGTTTAAGGGCAAAAGAGGAAAATCTCTAAAACTCCAAATGGAACAGTAAAATTCTGAAAAGCCATACATTCCCATATATGAGCAAAAATGCATTCACTACTGATATATGTAAGATACACACATCATTGAATATATTATTGCTCAATAGATAATAGATCAACTAAAATCCTAAAGTAGCCAACTATTTTAACCTTAACCTTATTATATTATTATTGTTCAATTCTTAAAAAACAACAACCTGGCATTATCCAATTCTTGATAGGATGTTGCTGATGATGAACCTACACTCGTGACCATGTCTAAAGTGGTTGCTAACGATTCTGTGCTCATCCTCAAACCTGTTTCTTCTTCCATTTCTTTTTGGATGTCAGAATTTATATCGTTTTCTTTTAACAATTGAGAACTGAAAAATAATTTAGTTTGTACTAATTGTAACGATGTACTCGTAGAAGAGTGTTTACTATCTTGAAAGCCATTTATCTTTCGCCATCTGAGAAGAGGATTCAGGTAAACATAATTTTGTAGAACTTTTTGTTGTAGATAAACTGGAAGTATCATCTGAATATGTATCTGGCTTGTTGCTAAAAAAACAAGATGAAATTATGTTATTTTCATTTTGTAAAAATAAGTGTTAAAAAAAAGTATGGGATTCCAATAAAGAAAAAATAATGAAAGTAGATGATTACAGAATATCTTTGTAATTGTCTACAGAGAAAAAAATATTTTTAATGTTTTTTTAAATTATGATATATTAAATGTTTAAATTGTATACCTTAATAAATCCAGATAGATAGGAGCCCACTGGGCAAATGCTTTTCCATCATCATCATCTTTTTCAGACAACAACAAATCAGTTAGAAATTGAAGATCACAGTACGATGATTGTGAAGTTGTGGTTTTCAACCGTTTACTAAGAATAACAATATATTTTTATTTATTTAAGAAGAATACAAAAAGACTTGCAGAGTATAAAAAAAAATATTGCAATTAACATAAAAAATCTGTACATATTTTTGCTTCCGAACTATCGAAGGTGAATAATAATAATTCATGTAGGAAGTTGAAAAAATTTTTGTTCTCCAAAATTCAAATTTCCACTTGCATTTTCTATTTCAGACCTTTCTGAACAAATTTGGTTCCATGCCTGCCTGCGGTCAATTCCTTGTAACCGGGAAAACTCCGAAACCATGAGGCCAATTTTTATATTTTCAGAGATTATGGGTTGGTTTCTAGATGGTTCCCCTACGAATTTCATCCCAATAGGATCAATGTTATTGCCTAACATGCACAAGTAAAATCGTGTACCCAGTTTCTCGAAAACCAGTTGTCATTTTCTTAAACAATTTTCAGGGATTGTGCAAATTGCTTTCTAAATGATCCCCTATGAATTTTATTCCATACAGATTAACATATATGCCCAAAATATGAGGAAGCTGTACTGCCCACCCACTTGGTAGACGTTTTTATATTACAATAAAAATAATGAACAAGTGAAATGAAAATAGAGCAAACTATATTATAAAATGTAATACTTGAGTAAAAATAAATATAGACATTATAATAATAAAATATATATAGTAAAATATATTGAGTGCAAAGTGATTCTTTGGAGCACTCATGAACCATTGATAACCCACCCATTTTTACATGACAGAAATGAATTCCAGACTGTCACCCCAGCCACTTTGAAGGAAAGATTAAAGGGTCGTGATTGATGAGAAATGAAACTCAGTTGGCAAAGCCCTTTTAAATAGCTTTGTGAGAATAATGACCGCAAATAATGGGCAGAAGAATTGGTGAGAATTTTGAAAATAAGCAAAACAATATGTAATAATTTGTTATATGAATCCCAAATAACAAATTCGACAGATTCTCAAGATATATGATCAAAGTGGGCAATACATAACTGAGTTAAAAGCGTCGTTAAGCTGGTGACTTGCTACAGCATCAAGCGACTGGCTGAAAGGGAATCTTAATCGAGGAAATGTGTGAAAATGAGAAAAAGTGCTAGCATATAAGCCAAGGGAAATTTCATAAGGTGTAAAATATTTTAAATGTCATCATTCATATGACTAACACCATTCTTAACATTAATAGAACTCACTAGCTGAAAAATTTGCAAGTCATCTGCAAAAAGGTGTTACTTGGAGTACTGGAGTATTTGAGGCAGAACATTAATGAATAATGAAAATAAGAGGAGGCCAAGTACAGAGCCCTGTGGAACTCCTTTAGGATGTTAACAATATGTAATGTACTTAATCTTGTTTTAAAAATTAAATAAAAAGTTAAATATATGTATCTTAATTATATGTTTACATTTGCGTAGCATGTAAAAAAATAAAATAAAATAAACAAATAATAATAAATAATAAAAGTAAACTCCAATCTCAATTAAAAATCACACAGAAGGTTCTTTGAATCAAAGTACTCCAAAATTTGTCAATTAAAAAAAAATCTCAAAACCTTTCTCAGACCAGGCAGGATACTAGTTGGTCTAAAGTCACTTAGAGTGGTTGTTAGTCTTTGGCAAAGGAACTTCTAATGCATTCCAACAATCAGGGAAACTGTAAAAGGTTTTGGCAAAAAAGTGAAACAAGTGATGAAGAATCAATAGAGAGAGACTTTTTATTATTGTATGTGGAATTTCATAATGGCCCAAGAAGAGACAGAATTGAATACTTTAATAATATCACCTGCTATAACATTTTTGAAAGAAAAATTGCCCTCCCAGAACAGATTAGATTGGAATAAGGGTAAATTTAAAGAATTAAAAGAACAAGAAAAGTAGATTACAATCAGGATACGCACAAGAATTGGCGCAATGCAAAATCAGCATCACACAAACATCTCCACTTACTGTAATCAAGAACCCTAAGTTTGCTTGATTTAAAATAGCAGGAGAGAACCAAAATGGAGAATTCTGTTTTTAATTATAAATGTTTAATGGCAGCTACAGTTTCAAGAACACATACTAACTTTGAATTAAAATCACTCATCATATTGATGTCAGTATGAGTATAAATATAATTCCAGACAAGCTCCCCGGCAACTTCCAAGGCATTTGATGTTATATTTTATATTTTAAGCCCAGTATCTTATAACACAAAGTAATTACATAACCACACCGTTTATACTTTATGACATATTATAACTTACTCAAATTTGGTTAATGCATGGGCTGCAGTGTAGGATTTGCTTTTTCCACCGGAACTCTTGTCTTTATCATTCTTATCATTTCTTTTACTGAAATGAGAAATTACTCATTCTAGGTCTATAAGTTGTGGATTTAATTTTCAGTAAATATCTAATCACTTCATATCTTCTAATAACTGTTTTTCATAACTTTCAACTGGGTATAAATCTTCAAAATACAAGTCTGATGCATTTGCTAATTGATCCGCTGGCCTTTCATAGCTTCCATGGAGAAATTCCTGACTAAAAATAATTCAAAACTTAATCTTATCGATAAAATTATTTAAAAAAACTAAAAATATAAAAAATATCATTGCTAGTGTATTACTTAGATAAATTATTATTTACTTACTATACTCTTAACCATTCTTCATCTGTCATAGTGCCTTTTTTTTGTGTGATTTTAGTGGGGATAACTGGCAGTCTTGGAGGACTCGATAAGCTGACGTTTCTTCTAATGAAAGAAATAACTAATAATCATTTTGATTTGAACTTTCATGTTAATATTTAAGGTGTTGATATAAAATAAACACAAAAGAACAATGTGTATGTTAATAAAAATACATTTTACGATCGCTTATTAAACTAATAACTTACTCTGACTTAAAAATTGTATCCAAATCATCTGAATGATTTTTCTGCATTGACATTGCTGATTGATAACTACTTTTATTCGGTTGAATGTTATTTCTAAAATGCATTATATGCTATGAAAATATCTTTGTAATAATAACGATATCACGATTTTCTACTTATTGTACATTTCTTTAGATTTATCATTTTCTCTGATGTCTGGATCTGCACGATTCTGCCTTCTTTTATGCCTGTTTTTAAATATATAAAAAAATTAACTAAAGTATAAAATTAGATAATGATAACATATTTGAAAAAATGCTTTTTAACATGGCATAAATATGTCTTAATGTTTTAAAATGATCATAACTAAAATGAAAATTACATTCTTTTGTTTCTATCTATGGACTGGGGTGAACTTCCTTTCAGTATGTTCTCTCCTTCCTCTTTTTGCTCAGAGATACGTTTTTTGAAATCTTCACTGGAATTTATATAGATTTGTTAGTTCGACAGTTTGAGTGTGTTTTATTTTGTACGTAAAAATTCGGCATGTTTAGAAAAAAAAAATTACCATACTTGTTCCCACTCCTCTAGCGAAACAATGTTGGGTTTCTGAGAACGTGAGCCTCTTAAAAATACCACAGATTTATGCAAAATCATATAAAATGTAATATTTAAAAAATATACCTCGTATCAATGATGTCTTCATATTGAAGTCTACGACTGCTCCGAGCACTATGTGACATGCCTGGTTCACTTTGCGACCGTTTTCTAGGATAAAATATTAATTACCGGTTGAACACTTAAATTACTGGAAATAATTAAACGCAAACAATTTTTCCTGTTGACGTTTCTCTTCTTCCGCCGTTTGGTCAGTTTCATCCCTTAAAAGTAATTGATGTATATGTACATATATTTCAAATAGTTACTAAGTCTAGTATAGAAGAACTAAGTGATATTTATCTTTCTGCTCATCTGTTTTTTTCTTTTAGAAAAGCGATAAATTGATTTGTTTTTGAACTAACACAGGCATTAAAAACATTGTGATAAAACCTTTAACAATAAAATAACTCAAAGTAATGATTTTTTGTTGTTCAGGAAATATTATTTCAATTTAAAGTTTTTGATTTTTTAAAATATTAAATATGATATAGGTAGCTTCATGAACAACCATTTTCAAAATATTGATATGATAGATGCAGTCTAGAAAATATTTTGAAAAAAAAATGGTTGGTCAAGTTCAGAAGCCACCTACACTGTAAAGACAAAATATTCAGATAAAGATTACAGTTCTAAAAATACAATTTCAAGAGTTAGGCTAAACAATTACCTTTGTTTTAAATCCTTATGGGCCAACTCATCTGTGAAATTGAGTGCAGAATGCTTAGTTTCCATACTCTCCCCTTTTAGCTTCATAGTACTGAGTTTATTTGTTGTGTGTTGCGAATGTGTTGAAGCATTTGGTTTTGGAGGTTGATACGAATCTGAAGGAAAACGTTTTTCTGCCGTTTTCTCGGCATCATAAGTAACCGATTCTTCTGATTTAATTTGTTCAAGTTTACCCTGCCTAGCTAATGGATTAAGTGTACCATAACTTTCTCTTGTTTTGCTAGGTTCATGAGTGGCAGCTTCAGTGGTTTCATCTAACTGTTTAATCAACTTTGACGGCAATGGATGTTCACTAAGTCTGCTCATAGTGACAGAAGGTAGTTTATTCGCTTGTGCACTCTGTATGGCAGGAATCGCTGATTTCTCTTTACCTCTGTAGATTTGCATTTAAAAAATTATAATTCACATCATGATTTTCATTACTATTAAAACTTACAGTGGTTTCATTGCACATTGGCATATTTGTGGACGATTAACATCACCAGGAACTGAGTATCTAAAATTCTATATTAGTTATTTTTCAAAAACAGATTTTTGTAATTAATTTACTACTCAATGTTCCCTTCCATTTATACAATAATGTTAGAAAAACTTCAAAAAATTGATAAAATATTGTAGTATATATATTACGCAGGGCGGGCGACCAAGTCCCGAGGGGTTAAATGCCTGGGTAGACTCGTACCCCATCAAAAATTACTACTTAATTGTATTAACACAGAAAGAGTAAAACACTTCAATAAAACAAAATGTGATTGTAACAATTAGCTGGGTTATTGACCTGCTGGAAACATGAAGTTTTTTCGGAGGATCTACGGAAGAGGTCAACACAGAAAAAACTTCCTTTCGGTTTTTGACCACTTCCGTAGATCCTCCGAAAAAACTTCAAAATGTGATTCTTATGGGAAAAAAATCATACAAAGAGCACATAAAAAATAAAGAACCTTTCATAGTAAACAGGAGAAATTATGATACACACTGAATGAAATAAAGTACAAAACATGAAAACAAAAACAGACATTACTATAAAAACAAATGAACAGTAAAATATTGTCTCAAGAATATTTGTATATTCTAAAGAAAGAATGTTTTAGAAGTTTCTTTGTTGATATTTTATGAAAATAGGCTTGATTTTCTGTTTAATGGGATTTTTATCAGAGTATCTATGCTTTTATAAAGTTCATTTTCCTCTCTTTCGACCATCTCAGACACAACTGGCTCTACGAATCAGTTTGTGTCTGGCCTGGTCCTAAAGTGAGAAAATAAGTTGCTGAAGGGTTGTTTGTTCAACATGAAAAAAAGTGAAATATCTCCAAAAATAAAAAAATAAAAAAAATAAAAAAAATAAACCGTTTCATTAGCTGGATGCTCCCTTTTCTCTTACAAATTATGAATTGAGCTCTGGCAGAAAAAGATCTCCATGCCATTTGTATCACTTACTCCAGCCAGCAGTGGCTATCTGTGAAACAACTCTCATCTACACCCCAAATTTTATTATATTTGGCAAATTTTCATCTCAATTACATTTGCATTATTCCTGTTTAAAATTATATTATTAGGGATGGTTAGATCCATTTTTATTTCCTTACAATACTCGTACCAGAGCCTATCATAAAAACTAGGCCAAGAGAAAACCAACTTTTACTTTGATAGTTGTTATGAAAAATATACCATGCATCTGAATTTATCATTGTAATCTGTAATTTTTTTATTTTATGTATTTTATGGCATGCAGAAGTAAGGTGATATGTGTATATATAATATTTTACATATCTTGCATGAAGGAGGATTGATTAATCTTGATGAGGAACTAGCATTGGAAGTTTTAAAATTTGCAATTTGAGTGATCTGAACTTAAGTGGATGTGATAGTGATAATATTACTGGAAATATTAATCCATAGTTTAGTAGTCATAATTGGCCATAATAATTATTTAAAAAATTCTTTTTATATAAGGTTTTGATTGAGATAAAAAATTTAGTATCAAGAATGGGATTCGAACCCCAATTGAAAAATAGCAGAAAGAGGCAAAATTCGAAAGGTTGTGGGTTGAGATGTGGAGTTGGTGTCCGAGCGGGTCAAAGTCATGATAGCTCAAGTGGTTAAAGCAGCGGCTACTAGCCGAAGGTCATGGGTTCAAATTGCACTCGTGACACTAACTTTTCCATCTCAACCAAAACAGAGAAAAAGAATAATTACAGGAAATGTTGTTATAGGTCAATACAGAACGAGAAAATCATGCAAACTTGCTGCTCTATTGTATTTGCGGGGTATTGTGTGTCTCTAATAGCCTTTAATACCCAACTTTTCACCTTCTTAAAGCTTAAACAAACAGATGGTCAGAAGAGTATGGAGGGTCAGGAGCTGTACATGTTCCTTCCTAAACCTTACACAACTCACCCTTCCTCCTACCCTAACATCCCACAATCCAGCCTCATTACAAGGTATAATGTAACTGATGTCGATGGATGATTAGGGGTTATTGTGTAAATAACAGAGCTTCATGGGTACCAGATAAAAAGTAAGATAAATTTTACTCCAAAGAGAGGGCTCCTCTGGTGCAAACGTTTAGATCTCTCATACTCATGGGAACCACACGGAAAAACCAAAAACAAAAAAACACCAGGGGGATTCTGTAAAGGATTGATCCAAGACCACCCAACTCTTGGAGATAGGGAAGGGCTCCGAATTCGTATCATCTCAAACAAAGAACTAAAGGTTAATTTTCTCGCATCACTGTAGATGTGGGGGAGCTTTAAAAAGATAGAGATATCAAAATTGAAACCGAAATCACTTAAACAAAGGTAATGGAGAAGATTAACAAACGATACAATTGCTTTATGAAACCATTCAGCATTAAATTGATGGCTTATATGTGAAAATTTATTTTTTATTTAGAGTTAAATGACCAATAAAAATATATATAAATTACTTACGGATTTGATGTACTTCCTTGTTGCTCTTGAGGAATGCTGCAGTTAAAATATAAAATAAGATGAAACTATTTTTAAATGCAATTTTATTTGTCATACCATATTTCGTTGGGTCCTCCACAAGGCATCACTGTTACTTGCACTGAAATGAAGCTGCCATCCATTTGCCTTTGATTTATTGTTTCTGTAGTTTGTTTGTCATCAGCCATTTTAATGGAATGTGTAGGACTTCTGTAAGATATAACAATCAATTTAACTTTTTATTTTTAATTTATATATTTGTATACATACTGTGGGACTAAATCCGAACGTTTCTCTTTACAAACGTATTTCGGTGGTTTCGAGCGCCCTTGTTTAGGACTATCGTCATCATACATGCCAGAGCGAGTTCTGTGGATTTTCTTTTGATTCGATAATGCATCTTGACTATTGGTATATTCTACGTTTTTTCCCTGGATATACTGCGTTCGATCTACGTCAAAACTTTTGATTTGCACATTAACCGAAGATGGCATCTTATGTTTATTTTTAATAGGAAAACATTCTTCGTCATCATGCATTCTGCTATGATTGGCAGATACTTGTTCCTGACTGAAAATAAAACGAATAGATTTTGCTCAAATCTTATAAATAAATCTGAGAAATTAATGAAGTGCCAGTTTGAAACAAAAATTATAGACATCAATTTGAATAAAAACTTGCAGTTCAATTATTTTAATGGAGAAAAAAAATAGGGTGATAGTTTTATTAATAACTTTGATTTGTTTCTCTGTACAGAATATATTACTAATATAATAAATCATGAGAGTTCTTTATATGGTCTGTGGAGTAATGGAACTATAATTTGATCTTTACAGATTATCTTGCTCTGAATATACTGGGTTGGTCTGTGCCATTTAACCATCTTCTTGGCAGTTCAACCACTGACACCAAGTGCATTGGGTCTCTGCAAGCGTGAGTGTTATGATGACGCTTATTATATCCCACAGATGGTGGTGAGGAATGATGAGTGAATTGCCCTTACACTGTTTAACAAGCAGAAAGAGGTGACACACCTGTTTATCCTATGATAAGTAGCAAATACGGACTGGAAAGGCTAGGGAGTGGGCACAACCGTAAGGGGTGAACTTATGAAAAGCTAGAACCATCGATTTCATGGACGACATGAAGCCAGAAATGCCGATAGCCTCTTCCCTGAATATATAATGCTGATGATGATGAAACAGGGTAAACAGGTGTAATCCAGGGTATGGGGGCAACTTGAAAAGGTGAGCTTCATATTCATGGGCATACTTTTAACCACCAGGAGGGATCCGGTTTCCTTAGCAAAACATGGAGATTAAATGGTGGAAAAACTGTTCTTTTCATTCTTTATCCTTCTTTACTCTTGAAACCCATCCCAACCCTTCGGTACAAGGGAGATGTCCATTTGAAAAATAATGGTGCAGCCAGAGGGCATGGCACACTCTTTAAAGCACAAGCTGGATTTCTATATGGGCGAAAGAAATCACTTTTGAACGAAAAAGCTGGTGCGCGATGAACCAGTTCCTGTCTGAAATGATGGGGACAGAACATGACCGACTGAACTACGACCTTAAGCAACTTTCAAGCTCATATATTGCTATTGGTTTGGATTCTTAGTGATTTAGTTGTAAGATTTCTGGAAGGTACTTATGGTTTGATGCTGATGTTTAGGTTGCTCTGTTTATCACTTTACTGAACATCTAGGCTCCCCTAGGGGTTGTTAGCATTCCACTCAGGGGTGATAGAATGACCAATTCTAGCAATAGCAGTGCACAGTCAGGTGCTTAATGCTCGCCCTCCCTTTGGAAGGGGTAAGTGAGGTATCTTGTCTTGATCCTTAGGGATTGGGATGTTCTACATGTGAACTTACGAGAACATCATTCTATTTAAGCAGAAGTGCACGACTGATAATAGCCAGGTTCAGTTGAAAAAGAACCTCATCAAAAGGCGATGTGACCTTTAAAGAATTTTTTTTATGAGTGTTGGATCTCCCCAGACTAACCAGTGATTATAGATAAATTAAAATCTATTTTATACAAAACATTATGCCAATTAATAATTACATCCTTGGATAAGGATCTTCACGTGGATCCACTCCGACTGTCTGCATCGAAGTTCTTGACATCATATTTCTCAATCTGTCATGAAAATCCTTAAGTTCTAGTTTTGACATGGCCAAAATTTTTTTTATCAGTTCTGCCCGGTCACGTCCATATCTGAAATATCACCGTTTTAGAAAAGTCTTTTAGATATAATATAACACTCATACTTGTTAATCCCTTGGGATGATAACCATTCTATAAAATCCCTTGGAGGCGGATTCGGATATTCAAGACTTCTGTATGATGGGTCCCCAGAAGACTGAAAAGTTAAATCTGTAATTACTGCACAGTCTTATATGCCATACTTTGTACCTGTTCTTCATGGTATCTGGGTGAATTATAATCCCTTAATTTAATATAATATCCACCGACTGTCAACCATAGATAAACAGAACAACCTGCCGGAGGTAATTAAAAATAAATGTTGATGTTATTTTGGACAAATCATAATAGACGTTTGTCAATGTTTATTAATCATTATTTCTTGTAGTTAACCTGGGAGTGTCTGTTATATGAAATTTTCTCAATCAAAATCTTTATTTCGTACTATTTTAATTATTTTCTCAAGGATTGGTACTTGTGTTTCTTCCTATTACCTTTGTTCAAAAATTTTCTTAATTTTCTTTTAAATATATTTCATTGGGGTATAAATTGCTTTGAACAAGTATGGTTGGGCCACTTAGTAAAAATAAAAGATAAATTACGACAATATAGGGAAAGAAAGGAAATCATGAGTACTATTTTGGGCTATTTTTCATTACAAAGGGAAGAATGAAGTTTCAAGAGTGAATTGTTGAAGGTTTTTTGAAGCTATGATTATATTTGAAAAAGAATAATTAACCACAAAGATAAAAAAATAAAATTAGGTGAAATCCAATATAAATACTAAACAATAATATTACAACCTAAAAAGGTAAAAAATTTAACATTAATAAAGAAAAGAGCTGCGAGAGTGAATTTTATGAGTGACCAACAATATTAATGTTAAAATAGCAACCACTCACAGGTTAATGTGTTTTATAATTAATAAATTCACTTATTTTATAATAATGTGTTAACTTTATTTTGAATTTACCTAGTTCTACTCCTTTGACCACAGCAAATTCAAAACATGTTGCTCTTGTACTACTGCAAAAAGCACAAATGAGGAAACCCAAAAATGTTGACGTTAAATTGAGAAATATACTTCTCAAGGCAGCAAGAAATATCCAAAATACCATCAATGCAGCCGACTTCTTCTATAAAAATATAAGAAAGTTGGATTTGTTGAAAGTGGTGTTAATTTAAAAAGAAACAACCCTTCAAAATTCTCCAGGTTGGATAAATAATCAGAATAGAATATTTTTATTTGTGAACCTTTTTTCCTTATAGTATGTTTTTAAAAACATACAATTTCTGTTTGTTATAATTATTGTCAGTTTATTATGAACAATACGTAATATTGGTAGACAAACTTTATGTTCATGCTGATTAGTATTTATAATTCTTTTATGTATTATTAAGTAATAAAATACATTTGTTATTGTAATATGAAAAATAATAATGGATTTGCCATTTAGCAAGTCGTAGCAAGTTAAGGCTAGCATAAATATTAGAACGTACGGTTGTGTGAATATAAACTGTACTTTTTTTATTGCAACTTTACTTTTATAATTATAAATTTTATTTATTTTAGTTTTATTTTCATAACTTTAAATAATTTTTTTTTTAGCAAACGGTACAATGTATCATATGGCAAGTTACATTAAAATAAATATAATCAGCTAACATTTTGTCTAAATTTGTTTATCATATCAAAATTGAAGTTCACACAATCCTTGTGTTATATCATTACAAAATGTTTATTTGTTTTATAGAAAACACCCATAGCCCCATTGTTTCTTTTTTTTTTTTTAACGTTCTTCTATGTTTATCACTTCTTGAAAATGCAAATTGAGATCTTTTAGGGTTTTTGATTCCTCCGACAATGTAATTTCACGTTTTGGCCAGCTCATCATGATTTTATACTCTCCGAGTCGATACCCTTTTGAAAGAAGATAATTAAAGACAACTTCAACATTTTCTGTCAACAAGAACCGTCTATGAAATGTGTCACCTGAAGGGGTTCTAAATTTCATTGTTACAATTTCTTTACAATCTTCTGTGGGTTCAGGTGAAATTTTTGCAAGAGCGTTGCTTTGTTCTTTGTTCTTTTTTTCAGTGTCTTCTTCGATCTTTTGCCTTTTCCTTTCTTCTTCTTGACTTTCCATCAACAGTTTCTGCTTTATTGCTTCTGCCTTCGCTTTGTCTTTGAAAAGTGATTCTTGAAATGCAAGATCTTGTTCGGCCATCTCTCTTTCTCTTATTGCTCTTTGTTCTTCGTTTTTAAGTTCACTCTCCTGCATCTGTCTGGTTTTGCTAACGATTTGCATCATCACATCAACAAATTTGTTCAAATCCGTTGCACCGTAAATCACTTCACTGAGCTTTACTACAGAATGACATTTGGAAACTATCAGTAAAACCGGTAAAACAGTAACAGTCATGTTACGAACTGTTTCAGTTATACTTGGGCCGAGACTTTTCATTGACGAAGCCAAAAACATATTTTTGTTGGATTCATCTGTTAAATCCCAACCCCAAAACAAAGTGTAATGTTCAAAAGAATGTAAAACAATCTCAGAGCACAAAATATCTTTACAAAATGTTTTTGACAGAGGGCTGCCATCGTGGTGCAAATAAACAGCCAATGTTCTCCTGTCTTTGGCTGGTTTCATGCATGATTCTGCCATTGCCATTTCCAACGACCCTGGAAAAAAATTAGGTGCAGTTTGACCGTATCTCTGCATGAAACCATCGATGAAATGTACAGACCCTACTGTTTCATCTTCTACATTTTTGGGAATAATGGGTATTATTTTTTCTTGGGTGATATCGCTTGAAAAGATCTCATCGTCTGTATTAAAACTGTCTGAAGCATCTTCATAACTTTCTCGGGAGCTGTCGGTGTCTAATGAATCGAAACATTCACGAGGTCGAACTTTTAAACAGTTGTAAAAAATGTTTGGTAGCACGATTCCGATCCAAGAAGTGTCATCGATGGATTCAATTGGCCATCCCGTCCAAACTTGATTTCCAGTAGGTATGCCAGTTATGAAACTTATATAATGTTTCACAGTTAAAACTGTTGTTTCAACATAAACAATTAAAATATAATCTCTGTTACTTGTTTCATCCAATATTTTTAGTTTTCTAATTCCCAGTTCACTGTCTTGGCTTTTAGATAGATTGGCAAATGTTAAAAGCTGTTTTTCCAAGCCATCATCATTGTATAAATGTGTGTTAATAGGTCTGGTAATCAGAAATAAGTGTATTCTATTTGTTGAGCCCAACTCGGCTAACGTTTTATCATCACTTTCAGGTTCCGAAGACCAGCCACTGAGGATCTGTTCCTGGGGAGTGTATCTAGTTACTGAAGAGATCAACGATTTTAATTGGCTCAATTTGATGGAATCCAAAACACAAAAGTTGGCAACTTCATTTTCATGATAATGAACTTGAACATCAATCTGATTAGAACCGCTGCCAGATGGAATGGAATCGACGGTGATTCCATCACAAAATGCACATTCTCTAGTATTTCCATGACCGCTTCTTTCATCGTTCTGAGAAGATTCTGGAAAATAATTTTTCAAAGCCACTTCTAGGTTCCAGTCGTTCTGTTCCAATAATTGAATGGCTTTAGTCGCATCTTCAATTCCAGTGCAGCTTTGAAAGTTTATAAGTATCTCATCCATTTTACTCAAACTGTCGTTTATAGTAGACATTATTGTTAAATCGATTAGGCAAGAAGGAATTCAACAAATTTTTGGGGAAATATTTTAAACTGAGAAATATAACATGTTAAATAGAAAATAACAATATCTGTTTTAGAGCATCTGTTAAATGAGGTTATGTGAAGTACAGTATACCAGTAAAGAATAATTTAATACTCATTTTCAAATATTCGTGTAGAAAATATTCTTAGAATGGCATGTCAGAAAGGTGTTACAACGCATAAATGTGTACCTTTTTCATGTCATTTTTAGTTGTTATTTTATTACAGTTGATTTGAAAAAAAATTTTCTTCTCTTGAAAGTAGATGTGACTAAAAATGGATTTGAAAAAGTTGAAATTTTTTTCTTAAAGAACAACTTTTCTTCAATTTCTTGATTTTTCCATGTTTACGTGAAACATTTGAATGTCTAAAAAGTGTGAAACATAACTGTTGGAGGAAATGTAAATTGTAAATTAAAAAAAAAGCATATGATGAAAATCAATAGATAATTTGTTACATTATAAATATCATTTAATCCATTTAGCGGTCTTAAACCACATCGTACATACTCGATCTGCTAAAAATGCATCGTCTGACAGCTCCTAAGACATTATGGGCATGGGGAAATAATAATTTTGGACAACTCGGACTCGATTCTGAGGAGCCGTACTTTTCAGTGCCCGAGCAGGTGGATCTCAAAAGTTTAGATCTCAAAGCAGATGAAATTAAGGGAATCTACACCGGGACGTATAACACATTCATGGTGCTCAAAAATGGAATTGTCTATGGTACAGGATTGAACAACGTGGCCCAATTGGGAGCGAATCCTTTGATAGTGAGGAAATTCACCCTGCTAGATAACTTAGACGATTATTGCATCCGTGATATGGCAGTAGGCTATGAAGTGATTTATGCGATTACAGATAATGGAACACTTATAGGTTGGGGTTCCAATGCTCTGGGCAAGCTTTCACTTGACCCAAATAAGTTTCTCACATGCAGAATACCAGTTGAAATCTATGATGATGTCAAGAAAATAGCTGTTGGAAATAACTTTGTCATCATTCTTACTAATGAAGGAGAGGTGCTTTTTAAAAAACATTTTTCTTTATTAGTTTAATTTGATGGTTTACTCTTAGCATTCAACCTTAATATTTTTATTTAAAAAAAATAGTTTTAATATTTAACATTTAGATATGCAAATATATTTCAATTTCCATCATAATGATTCATGAAAGAACCAGAACCAGATCTTGTTAGGTATTTTCAAAATTAATATTTTCGTTTTGCAGTCTTTAATGAATATATTTCAATTATTCCTTTTAATTTTTTTAAATTTAAAAAATCAAAGTTTACATAGTTGCAGTGTACAGTGCAATTTTTCGTCATGTACCTTTTAGAAGTTGGATAATCTTTAAAATCTGTACGGTTTTTTATCGTTAATAACTTATTAATATTAATACTTCTTAGAAAACCATATCATTAAAGAAAACTATTAACTAAACTCTTTCTACAGGTGCTGACATTTGGTGATGGAAGAATGGGCCAACTTGGTCGAGAATGTAGTGAAAAATTTTGGAAAGTAAAACCGATGCAATTCGACATGCCTGTGAGATCAATCACTTGTGGGCAATTCCATGGTCTTCTTATAACAGAAAACAACAGAATATTTACATGGGGATCAAACAATTGGGGGCAGCTTGGAATCGAACCGGATAAAATAATGAACCCACTGCCTGTGGAACTGACATTTCCAGTTCCAATCGACAGGAAAACAAAAATCCGATGCGGCTGGCGACATTCAGCAGTGTTTTTCAGTAAAGGCCAAATATTTCAGTGGGGCGACAACAACCAGAAGCAATTCGTAAGTGGCACGGGGTTGGAATATTTTCCGTTTCAGTTCAGAGAAGAATTCATTGTGAACAAGGTTGCCATAGGATTTGCTCATACTCTTGTCATAATTGAAAAAGGTATTATCATGGCATGGGGTGACAATACTTCAGGGAGTTGCGGCATCGGAACGATAACAAATTTAACTCTTCCTCTCAAATATAGAACAGGTGTCAAAACTGCTGCGATAAGAATTTTTGCTGGTTACAAACAATCTTTCGCTTTGGCATTATAAATCAGATAATTTGATGATAATGACTTGTATAATCATTGCTTGTTAAATTTGTATGTAAAATATAGTTTATTTACTCATATGATTTTGTTAGTTGGCCTATTGATTTTGTCATACTAGGACACAACATCAAAACAATTATTTTAAGTCAAACAAAATTGTTATTTTACAATCAATACACTCAATAAACACAATGATATATTCAAATATCAAAAAGCAGAAAAAAAATTATATTCGTTAGTCATAGTTAATGATTTTACTAGCACAAGGGATAAAGTATAAAGGAGACGCCCAGAGGCGTCATTCAATAGTGAAGGTCAGTGGGACAAGAACCTTAACCCCATGCACCCTGGAATAGGTCAATTTAAAAGACAATTCTCCCTTAAAACGAGATAAGGTTAAAGTCTATTGACAACTTAACAAGCGAAAAATGCGTGGATAATAACCCAAACGTGGAAAGACAACGTCCAGTCACACGTTTGCCTTTTGGAAATACATTTGTGCTCATCTTGCAGAAAAGTATATGATATCAAAGTTACGAAAAGGACGTTCGTCAATACAATATTAACTGAGATTAATTTATTACTGAAGCATTTTGAATAACTTGTAAACAAAACTGTAATCTTCAGCACATGTCCGTAATGTTCAAGACTCATGTCCTTGTGAAGAAATGTACTCCGTTAATCAGTCGATCTTTTTCCTTTGTTGATTTCCTTTGATCTTATCCTTAAACCTCTTTCAATGGCTTCAGTGTTAGGGTCATGACATTATTCAAGGGAAGTTATTCAGATATCGTGAGATGCGGTCGGGTGTGATGTAGGTTTCAGAAAAACATTTTCTTTATCGTGGCACGTTTCGATCTTTATTGAGATCATCTTCAGGGCTCAAAGTGTTTGTCTTCTGTGTAATTGTGCCATCCTTGCGTGTCGTGTTGAAAGTGCCCGCAGGACACGCAAGGATGGCACAATTACACAGAAGACAAACACTTTGAGCACTGAAGATGATCTCAATAAAGATCGAAACGTTGACACGATAAAGAAAATGTTTTTCTGAAACCTATATCACACCCGACCGCATCTCACGATATCTGAATAACTATCGATTAACGGTCACTAATCTCTACACATTCAAGGGAAGTTAGAGCCAGCGCGAAGAAGCTATGAGACTGAGAGAAAATCACACTATAATAATAGCAAGAGTTCTTCGGCGTTGCAGAAAAACAGGGCTTGGAAAAACTACAAGGCCGGGACAGGGTCGACCTAGGTCTACAGACAATCATCCGTCATCAGGCAGAAATCTGATAAGAAGTCCGAAATATTTCGATTTCCTCCAGGATTGTAAGAAGAAGGCTCAATGAAAATAACCGAGTTCATGGAATCCTTACCACAGCTTAAAAATGGCCAGGATTCAATTCACACGGAATCACGTGGATTGGTCATTGGAAGACTGGGGACGAGTTCTTTTTATAGATGAGGCTGGTTTCAGTCTTAAGATGACGAATTTGATATAGAGGCGCTCGGAAGAAATATAGCCCCATGCTGTACGGTTCCTCAGGAGGCATTACAAGGTGGGTCATTGACGCTGTGGGGTGGCATTTCTTTGGACGCCCGCACCGAATTGGTTATGCGAGGAAGATCTCTAACTTCACCGAGGTACTTGCAAGACATTGAACATGTACTGCCATTTACCCCGACATAGGCGAGATCCTTTCTAATGCCGGGTAATGCCAGTCCCAGTATAGCGCGTATTGTGGATTACTTGAATGAGGCATTGAGTGCTTGGTGTGGCCAACTCGAAATCCAGATTTGAACCCAAAAGAACACGTGTTCTTACCAAACTTAAGCGACGGGTACGACAGTGAAATCCAGGTCCTAACACCCTAGAAGAGTTGGAAATGGCTATTCTTGATATTCTTGATGAACTGGAGAGAATGCGTCAGGATTTTATCAGAAATCTTTTCCTTGAAATACAAAGGCGACGTGCTTCATGCCAGAGGTGTAAATATTCTATATTAAAGGGGTCAAAAAAGTTTTTTATATTTTTATTTATTTTTGAATTTTTTAGAATTAAGTAATAAATATTTTTTTAAAATTCCTTATTTTTACAATCAAACCTATTTTTAGTATGCAAAATATGAATAAACATTCATTCAGAAACTAAATACATTAACATTTAAGGGTGATGTTTATTTTGTCCAATAGTTTACTTGAAAATATACAAACACAACACATTTAACACTAACGAAACGCATCTGGTAAGTAAATTAAAGACTGCTACGAAGTGTGGTACGAACAAAGTCATAAATAGAGGGCTCGGACAGGGTGATGTTTTGTCAACTATACTGTTCAACCTTAGCTTAGAAAGAGTAATGCGGAACATTGAAATTAACCAGAATACGATTTTAAATCGATCCAGACAATAAATGGCTTATGCGATGATGTGGTTTTAGTAGCAAGGACTATTAAGACATTAGAAGAGAGGAGCAACTAAAAAGAATGGCTAAGTCTGTGGGGTAAAGAGTAAATTATGAGAAAACTAAATATATGCTTCAAGGTTTGATGACAGAATATGTCGGTTGGAAATTTTTGAAATAAATGGAAAAAAGTTTGAAAATGTGAACACATTTAAGTATTTGAACACCAGATTCATGAAGCAGTTAAAGGTAAAAATTGAAATAAAAGAGAGAATAGCTGCAGCTAGCAACTGTCTCAGCGTTGAATCGATTTATGGTAAGCGTCCATTTCACGAGGTCATAACCTCTGGATTTTTATAAAACTGAATTTAAAAAAATATGTTTTGGTTTTGTGCGCGAGCGAAAAATGGTTACTTATAACCAGAGCGTCTTCGACATGTCTAGAATTTGGAAAAGTATTGAGAAGGATGTGCGGTGATTAGTGACCGTTAATCGGTAATTATTCAGAAATCGTGAGATGCGGTCTGGTGTGATGTAGGTTTCAGTAAAACATTTTCTTTATCGTGCCAACGTTTCGATCTTTATTGAGATCATCTTCAGAGCTCAAAGTGTTTGTCTTCTGCGTAATTGTGCCATTCTTGCGTGTCGTACGGCACTCTCAACACGACACGCAAGAATGGCACAATTACGCAGACGACAAACACTTTGAGCCCTGAAGATGATCTCAATAAAGATCGAAACGTTGGCACGATAAATAAAATGTTTTTCTGAAACCTACATCACACAAGACCGCATCTCACGATTTCTGAATAATAATTGAGAAGAATATTTGGTCCAAGCGGAAAAACAAGGTCGGGAACATGAGAACAAATAGGGGTACTCGTCAGACTTAGTGACGGAAATTAATGGTAAAAGGCTCGACTGGCTGGATTATTAAAAGAATGGATATACAGAGACCGTGAGCAAATTTGTAGAAAGTGACCGTAAGGAGGAAAGTAGGTAGACCGAGGTTAGTAGGTAGTAGGTAACTTAGTAGGTAAATTCATTAATTTCGTGGTCCGTATTAATTAAGGTTTTCAGTTGAGATAAAAAAGTCAATGGCACGAGCGGGATTCGAACCCACGATCTTCGGCTTGATACGCCGCTGCTCTACCACTTGAGCTATCGTGACCTCGATCCTCTCGGACACCAACCTCCCATCACAACCACACCTTTTGAATTTTCCCTCCTTTTTGCCTTCCTTTTAGTAGGTAAAGTAGGTAGATGGTTAGAGGAGGAGGAAGGTATGAATGAAAGTGGGAATAAAAAGATAGAGAATGGAAGCAGGGGAAAGGGATGAATAGAAAGAAGACAGGGTCTTTGAAGGACTAGTGCAAAACACATTTAACACTAAGAAACTCATAAACACATAAATTAACATACATTACATCAAAGATAGAACCGACACACTAACCACACCCTTCACGACCTTAAAAGAGAGACTTGTCTTCACAAAAATCACAGTCCACCACTGAAGATGGAAATGCCGAATGCGCCTGATAGATCGACACCGCGATGATCAGTAGAGACAATCGACCAAATTGTAGTTGATGTTTGATATTTACCCGTTAGGTTGTGTAACTAGGGCTACTTTGAGACTACTGTTGCGCGACTGTTGTGGGTTCCTTTAGCAATTTTGGGCTGTCCGGATACAAAGTTCTGTATCTACATCAGTGCAGGGCACATTCTGTTTTGAGCAGACCCACAACAACGACGGACAAGAAATAGTAAATTAACATGAAATCGCAGATCAATAAAAGTCTATCGCATATTAATCGCGTTTTATTCTATTTTTATTAAAACATAAGGTAATTTTGAATTTTGTTTGACTTAGACATTACATTGACGATGGCTAGAAGTCGATACCCGTCTGATAGATCAAAACAGCGATGATAGGCAGATCGAAACGATCGGAAAAGACCAAAAATCCGCAGACACCAGGAGGAAATCTCACAAATTAAACCATTACCATTGGCTGTAATATATGGTGATCTGAAGTCGGTTAGGTGATAACGCAATGATTCATTATTTAACCGTATCTGAATATGTCAGAAGTTAGTAGGTAGTAGGCAACTTAGTAGGTAAAGTAGGTAGATGGTGAGAGGAGGTGGAGGAAGGTCTCATGAAAAAGTCAGTCATGAGAGGTGACTGACTTGTGGGTCAAATTTATTAAAATCAATCCTAGGCAGATTATTATTAAAATAAAACTTATATTGTAATATCGGTACAGGTAAGCCTTACCATAAATATTGGGTACATCATAAGTATATATGAACCGACGTATACGTGGAGTGTTACGCTTCGAGCAATTACAATGATCGCCATAACTGCAAAATAAAATGTATTATTACTTTAATTGTTATAAAAGTTTTGCACTATTTTAAAACTGAGAAATTGTTCTAGTTAAAGAGCTACTGAGCTTGCTGATAAACGATCAGTTTTAGCATAAATATGTTTTTGGACTGAATACATGAATTTGGGTTAGGTTAGATAGCGTTAGTGTTACGGTTAGGTTACATATCCACGTTTCATTTTTTTTAAATTGCATTCTTGGTCATTTACGCCAGTTTTTAAAATGAAATAACGACAAAACTTTACTCGTTTTTGCGACACTTTCCAACGAAGGTCCAAACCAATCTTCGGGTATCGAAATTTTCCAAATTTCGTCCAAGTGGTCCGTGACACTGTTATAAGCTCCCTCCAGTACAGTTGAAACCTAGGATGCGTAAATAATATTAGCTTATGTATTAAAATTATAGTTAGACAATTTCAGGAAATTCGCTGTTTTTACGCCAGTCGTCAACACTAATTTAGAGAGGCAGGAGGCAAAAATAGAGGCATTAATAATAGCAATAATAAGAAATTTGCAGTCCCAGTTTTTGAAATAAATATTTTGTTTATTTGTATACAATTGGTGATTTGTCATCGGCAAAGTTAAAAGTGAAAGTGTCAGGGTGAGTAGATCAACCGTGTAAATTGTGTAAAGGAGGGGTGCGAGTACGCTACCCTGCGGGACACCAGCGACCATTGGGTAAATGAACAAGTTTTGGAATTTAAGATATTATTTGAGTATAAGGTGTATGTCTACTGGTTTTCACAGAAGCCCTGAGTCCTTTACTAAGTAAAATACCGGTGATATGTGTAAATTGTGTAAAGGAGGGGTGCGAGTACGTTACCCTGCGGGACACCAGCGACAATTGGGTAAATGAACAACAAGTTTTGGAATTTAAGATATTATTTGAGTATAAGGTGTATGTCAACTGGCTTTCACAGAAGCCCCGAGTCCTTTACTAAGTAAAATACCGGTGATATGTGTAAATTGTGTAAAGGAGGGGTGCGAGTACGCTACCCTGCGGGACACCAGCGACCATTGGGTAAATGAACAAGTTTTGGAATTTAAGATATGATTTGAGTATAAGGTGTATGTCCACTGGCTTTTGCAGACGCCCCGAGTCCTTTACTAAGTAAAATACCGGCGATGTGTTCAGGAAGACACCATGGCAATACTGCTTCAGCTCGAAGATAGTGGCAATGGTGCCTACACCGCGATGAGGAGTCGAGTGGCAACCTTGGCAACAAGTTCGTTACACAGGATTAACAGTAATTTTTCTTTAAACTTACCGATTATCAACACCATCAAAAGTCTGATGGTTCTGTAAGAGGTTATAAGGTTGGTTTGTTTTGGTTCAGAATGATCCTTATAGAATAGAATGACGTTTGTTGCTTTTTTAAGGTTGGGATAGGATTGGAGGAGTAACTGAAGGCGTTTTAAGAGTAAAAATTATTAAAAATACGTCAGTCGTATAGGAAAAAGGTGGCCGCTACGAGGCTAGATGAGCAAAAGATTTCTCTGAGGAGATTAAGAAAGGATCAAATTGCGTCTTTTGATTCATTTTCTATTTTGGATATATTTGCTAATTTAATTTTAAAAATTATAATCTATTAACTATTAACATTCATGTTTTTCTTCTAAAAGAGGCGGCCAATCGGTGAAGGTTAGGTCATCTTGCATACAACTAACATCATTATAAATATTTTCAGTTATGTTAAACGAAAATATTAAAAGTTGTTCCTTTATTGACCAAATTTATATTTTGTCGTTTATAAGTTTAATAAAGACCAACCAGCCAGATGTTAAGTAATTAACTACAATCACCTGTAGTAGTAATCAAAGAATATTCGTAGTTTACGAATATTGCTTAGAATCTAGCCGGACAGTCAGAAAGTCTTATAGAAAAGTACCTAAGTCATCCAAGTTACGCGTGGAAAAAGAAAATAACTCAAGGCATTATATACCACTCCTATGGACGACAGCACGATGAGCTCGGTGTTGATATTTAGTGTTGTCCCAGACATTTTCTCCGGATTTTTAACATTCATTTGATTCTCTAGTCGTGTCCGGGATTGGTTCACGGGTAATTTTGTGTCTACATTAAACGTATTCGAACTAGAAAACCAGTCATATGAAAAAATAACAGGTGTGAAGAACTGTTTCGAGTTGAATTATGATTTCTTTAGACATAAACGGAAGAAAAGATCGAAAACGATATGAACGTTAAGTACCTCTTTACGCGTAAGAAAGTTAACGACAAAGTAAACAAATTCGTCAAAGCGTATTTGTTTTCCATACTTTTCTACTGCTACCCTAAAAATCTGTTTACTCCTTTCGGATTTATTTGTTTTTACAACAGTATGCGTTTCTTTAGATGTTCCGCTGCATCCTGGGCTAATGGAAGGACACGTCCTATAAATAACCTCATGATGCCAAACAAAACATAGGAACTTTAACTACCGGGCATGCCCACAGATTCCATGATCCCCAAGTATGACCTCACACAAAGCGACATTTTACTGTATTTTGTGCAGACTTAAAAACAGGACACTAGAGGCGGTATTTATGAAAAGAAATTAATTGAAAAGACAATTTCCCTCGTAAAATTTGCCACGGTATTTTAGGAGCTTCCCGTAAAAGATATAAAGACTACGAACGCAAAGAGATGGCCGCCTTTCTGATAACCAAGCTGCTCCATTTCATTGGCCTAACCTGAGATCATGTACAGTACGTGATTAAGTAAGTCCTTTTCAGGAAGTACGAATAAAGAAACAGCGATATCGAACATGCACATAGACTCATAGACTAGCCAAGGAAGCTCAGCAGCACCGGTTGAACCAAAACCCTTCTATAAAATTTCAAACTGCCATAAAAAAACGATCGTAAAGGGTCATGTTACCTAGTGGAGCAACAACCGCACAGGCAAAAGACAAAGTACTGCAGCAGCAAAGCGTATGGTCATTGCTGGTCTGTTAACTCGACATTGGCGACTAAATATGGGGGGGGGGGTGATGGTCTGCGGTACGGTTCCTAAGGTAATTTTCCCAAAGGAGAACCCGAACATTTCCAAAATATTGAAAGAAAAATTCTTTCGAGGGAAATAAATAAAATTTAGGTCGATAACCAGTAATAAAATAAAATCAAAGTTTCCAATAGTACGCTACTATGAAAGTGAAGGAAAATTTTCCTACTCACTGGAAAGAAAAGCTGAAACCTATAAATATAACAGAAGACACTATCATGGCTAGGGTATACCAATAAAAAACCTAAAGCTTAATAATTGAACTATAACCCAATCGAATAGTCCTATCTAGATGGACGCAATGCAAAAGGTTCTACCGGTTATGGAAGGTCGCTCTAGAATTCAAATAACTGATGGTACAAGGTGATTGACTGCACGACCAAGAAGAGTTAGTAAAGAGTCTATAGTCCATTTTTAAGTAGACAGTTGGAAAAAGTCCTTTGGTTAGTCCTGGTTGTAATTGTTCCTTAAGTCGTCCCACACCTACAGGCTGCTCTCAGCATCTCATTCTCTCATGTGTCCAGAGAATGTAAGTTTCTGTACGTTTAAAGAACCACCGATCTGATAAACCCTTAAGTACCACTCTTAACTCTATGACTTTCACATCCTTTTGAAAGCTCACGGTAGTTTCAGTATATCACCTTACATTAAAAATGCTTATTTTTGTGGTCACTATTTTAACTGCATAGTTTAGAACCGACGGGACGTCATCTACGTAAAGAGAAAACAGAATTGGACTCAGCACACGTCCCTGTCTTATTCCTGAAAGAACCGGAAAATAATCCAACACATTCGTTTGAGCCCTCACACAGGATGTCTCCTTTATAAGTGCTGTGAATGTGGATAATTTTTAATCTTATATATCTTCGTTTTATCGACTCTATACAATTTTTTATTATTATACTTCGATAAAGTACAGCTCTTTAAAAGTGATGAGTAAAATTGTCGATACCATCAAAGTGATGAGCGAGTATGCGCCCATTGCTTTTAATTATTTCATTTTTATTTTTATATAAGATTTTGATTGAAATGAAAAAGTCAATGGCACGAGCGGGATTCGAACCCACGACCTTCGGCTAAATACGCCGCTGCTCTACCACCTGAGCTATCGTGACTTCGATCCACTCGGACACCAAAAATTGAAAAATGGCAAAAAGGAGGGAAAATTCGAAAGGTCGTAGGTAAAAAAAATAAAAATCTACAAAAAATCGCACAGCTAAAATTAAACGTTTCATCAAAGTTTTTGCTTTGTTTTTAATAAATTGAGTGTATTTTGATTTTAGCTCACTGTTGAATATTAACCCGAGATTTAATTAGGTAGACTCAGGGCACAGTCCTGAGGAACCCCCGAACTAGAGTTCTCGTTCAATGTTTCAGTACTGACATTATGCAATATAAAATAATTATATTATGAATCATCAATCAGTCTATGAATTATCATCACAGCCACCCAATAAATCCAAAAATGAGCACAAGTAAATCTTTTGTAATGACAGATGACAATGACCTCGCTGTGAAAACCCGTTATAAAAGAGTTCTCTTTATTTGTAGAATTGATATTTTTGCGTTTTGCTATAGCTTTCTGATCCAAATAATTGAAATTGTCGAAATCTTTTAGTCAATTTTACCTGACTTCCGCTAAATGTCAAAATACAAATGAACTATGAAAAAAATAATCTCTAATCTATCGAAACGTGTTTAGAACGAGTCGTCGTCTAGTCAGGAGTAATTTTAAAGTTGATTTTATGGAGCGACTCCAAAAGACCGTTTTGCATTCTAGATGTAGGTCGCGATCTGAATGTCGGCTCGGTTGAATGCATTGCCAAGGTCTCGGAATGTTTGACTCGCGAGAGAACACTTGGGATGATGACGCAAACCAATTTGCGGGAGTGCCTGTACTCGGGGCGAATCATTGCGGTATGCTGTCATTCGAAATGATTTTCGACTTCGCCTACATTTCAAAAATCATATGCGTTGTAAAGGTTAGGTGTAATCGACGACGGAAGGATGTAAATGTTTTTAATTTTTATAGAACTATGACACACCAAGCTAAAAATATTTCGAGAAAACTGTGGTGAAATTGTGTAAACGACTAAGCCTAGTGATTTTAGACTAGGGTTTTTTAAATTATTTTTATCGTAATTTATATTGTCAAATAGCATCGGCTCCAGAATCGTTTGGTACTGCATTAGAGCCCTGTCAGACATTGGGAAAATAAAATAACTCCTGTCAAGGTTCCAGGGCAACCATGACCCATGGCAGAGGGGCAACGAAGAGGCCGATAAATTAAAGTTCGATGAGGACACCTGCTGGTCCTGAACCATTTTGTGGCTTATCAAACTGCCAAAAATGAGGATCCATTAAACAATGGATTAAAAATAAGTCCTCCGGTAAATGGGAAAGTAGCCCGGGTCAGTGGCATTACGAAAAGTTTATCAAAGGACCATAGTAGAAACTAACGGCAGAACTACTAAATCGAGGACGTGCTAGGACCAGAATAATAGTTGGACTGCAGACTGGAAACTGCATATTCCGAGGTATGTATCTAGACTCGGACTGGCAGAAACAAGCCTGTGCAGATATTGCCAAGAAGAAGAAGAAACAGCGATGTCCTCTGTTTGTGCGAAAGTCTAATCCTGGGAAAGCCACGGACTGAAGGATATGCACGGGAGCTCTTGAAAAAGTTTTGGGGGTCTGGTAAAAAGCCTTAACCTTAACGAGGAGTTCTAGGTAAAAAAAAGAATGGAGATGCACAATAGACCAATACTGGTCGCGGTACGCAGATTGTAAAAAGGCCGGCTCATACATAATCTAATCTAATATTAAGTTAGCTGATAAGATCTTCTTTAGAGGTCATATGAAGCAAAAACAACCTGTTTGTGATGATGGTGGGATAAACCACCGAAAGCTCGGCACAGCCCAAAAAGTTTTGTTCTTGCTTCATATGACCTCTAAAGAAGATCTTACCACCCAAACTTAATTTGCTGCTGGTCGATAAACATTCAAAACAATTATGTAAGGTCTTGGTTGAGATGAAAAATTAGACCACTAAACAATGGATTCAAAATAATCTAATATTGTCACATAAGAAGATATTCATTAACTAGTGTGTCATTAGGTGTAAAGGTCATGTACTCTCGTTGTGCTTCTGCTACTAAATATAATTATATCTATCAATATGTAAACTTAATTTAGACAGTAGTTTAGGTCATTCTGATTCCTAATGATCACAAACTTCCCAACGACATGCCAGACCCTTCACACCAGACCCTACAGACCTACCCAGTCTTCTTCCTGTGCTGCCCCAAATCCTAGATTACAAAGACTCCTTCTAAAACGTTTAATACACATCCTGGACTCACATAGAATCGTTCGTTCTCACCAATTCGACTTCCGACCACATAATTCCACGTTTCAGCGAAGTTTCAAAGTTCTTGATTCCATTTCCTTCACGCAAGATAACAGAGTATATTGTTTGGGTTCCTGGGCAGCCCAGGCTTTGGATGGGGTCTGGCACCACACGTCCTTTAAAAACTGAAGGTTTATTACCCATTCCTTATTACCTCTGGAATCCTATTTAATCGCTGCTTAAGAGTGAGGTACAGCCAATAACAAGCTGGCGTTACGCAAGGGAGCATTGTTGGTCTCATACTATCATTTATACTGCTTACTTTCTTTACCTAATTACAACCATTGTAATCAATTTAACATCATCACGACACCTAATTCAGACTTCTAACTCGAATCGTAAAGCAATCTCCAACATCCAATGACACTTTAAATTTATCAAAAATTACAAAAAGGGACAAGACTGAATGTACATCAACAACAAGGAGCTACCGATTCCACTCAAATCTGATACTTAGAACCATACCTAAACAGCAAACTGATTTGGAATCCCCACACAAGATTTAAGAAGACTTTTAGGGCTTGTTTTAAACGTCAAAAGTCAACTAATTCTCTACAAGACATTACTACAATATGGACATACCGAGTAGAACTTTGGGGTTCCGCTATGCCATCCAATATCCAGAGTATCCACTTCTTCCAATCAAAAGCCTTCAAATTGTCAAAGCTCCTTACTTCACTAAGCTCACTATACACAACGACCTCAACGATCCTTTTGTCTGCGAGCTGATCCGATTCAAAAAGATTACAGTAAGTTTTCGATCTATACTGCCAAATATATTTTCCCATGCTGTGAACCCGCATTGTCGCGTCGCTTTTAGACTATGGCGTCGAGACCTCCTTAAATCCCTCATATGTCCTCATCCTGGTGCAATACTGGCCAGGATCAATGTTTTCAGAGAAAAAATCTTGACTACACATAATAAAAACATGGTGAGATCGATTTTAGAATTTGGTTCCTTACCTGCCATATGCGGTAGATGTTTTCGTCTCGTTTGGTACCGTTGGAGACTGCTGATGTCCTTTGATGGTCACCCATTGCTTATTATCAGAATACAACAGATCGACTTACTGCTTATTTACAAACTACGCCACAAAATATAGTGATCAGACTTATTATGGTTTTCACTCTTTATATACACAATTACTTTTACAAAAAAATCTATACCACTAATTATTCATTAAATAGCCTCATTTCGACGCTTACAACAAACAGAGGATTTCAGATCGTTCTTATCAACTTGACGTATTTTTCTCTAGTGATCATTTCACCTAAATCACAAAAAGAGGTGTCCAAAAAGAAGAAAAACCGCACAAAATGTTTCTTTTTATTTACATTTCTGTATTTTCTGCCATTTTCTTTTCACACGTTTTCATTTTGTAAATATGCAGTTTCAGTGTATAACGCATAACCAGAACTATAAATAGTTTACAATTAATTAAGGTTTTTAGTTGAGATGAAAAAAAGTTAATGGTACGGGAGGGATTCGAACCCACGACCTTCGGCTAGATACGCCGCTGCTCTACCACCTGAGCTATCGTGACCTCGATCCACTCGGACATCAACTCCCCATNAGTTGATGTCCGAGTGGATCGAGGTCACGATAGCTCAGGTGGTAGAGCAGCGGCGTATCTAGCCGAAGGTCGTGGGTTCGAATCCCTCTCGTGCCATTCACTTTTTTTCATCTCAACTAAAAACCTGAATTAATTGTAAAGTATTAATTGGTCAAGCGGACCTCGAAATTAGTGACTATAAATAGTTTAAATTCTTAATTATTGTTTTGCTGGGTATATCTCTTAGTAGTATAAATGAAATTTGTAATCACTATGTAAACAGTTTTTATTTATGACTTTTATATTACGATGTTGGGTTGCGGGATGTGCAGTCATACAGAAAACAGCGTAGTGCTCAATTCTTTAATTTGCCAACGTTTCGAACGGTTTTCATTCTTTTTCAAGGCAACGCTGGAATAAAGGTAGAGCCGCTTTTGTCCACTTTTTTTCCGGTGTTAGCATAAAATCGTAGCTGTAATTTGTTTCGAAGTGGTAGTTCTTGAATTTTTTTCTATTTTTTTTTTTTTTCATGACGGTACTACTCTAGTGTGTCAACGGCTTTAATTAGATGAGCTTTTTAGTTGGAAATCTTTTTTTTTCGCAATTACGGCTACGATTTTAATGCTAACAACGGAAAAAAGTGGACAAAAGCTGTTCTACCTTTATTCCAGCGTTGCCTTGAAAAAGAATGAAAACCATTCGAAACGTTGGCAAATTAAAGAATTGAGCACTACGCTGTTTTCAGTATGACTGCACATGCCACAACCCAACATCGTTATGTAAATATTGCAAATCAATGGTAATAAACTTATTCTAATCAAACACATGTCGTTACGATTAAGTAGAGATGAGGTAAACAAAATACTTTTTATATTAAATTTATGTTTATGACATGACAACGATTTTGCCTAAGTTGGAGAGGAGAGAACGTTCGTAAAATTAATTAAAGTAATTGACTCATAATACCATTTTTGAATTATACACTGTCTTACAAACTGAAATGGTCTTGTGTTGTATTTGGCATAAATACGGCGAAAACATCTCCTGTTGGGTTCGCGAGAGTGAGGGACGCCGTGTTGGTGGAGGTCATGTAGTCAGAGTTGTTAGCAGTTTGCCTTAGAACACCGTCGGATTAACAACCTACGGCCCTGGAGCAAGGATTACCCTCATAGGTACGTCGTCTATCAAAAGAAAAAAAGTCGGATATAAATTCTTATCGACAATAATAAACAATACATGGCCAAGTTTTTCCTTGAAAAAAATTTACTTATTTTATAACGTTTCTGTAAAATTTTTAAATTAAATTCTTCCTCTTAAATAACAGCATATAAAATACAACGCACAATAAATTTACTGTACAGTTCATAGGTAAAAGTGGACTAAAAAAAATTAAGCCGAAAACATTTATGTCGACAAATTGCCCTCAGTTGTACAGTTCTCTATTTCAAATAAATATTTGTCGTTCGTGAAATCCCTTGAGAACAATTGTTTCTATTTTTGGACGTGCATACATTACGAAAAAATCTCAATTTCGTTAAAACTATTTTGCTCGACATGGGGGTAAAGAAAGACGCAAAATAGTCAAAACTTGCTCAATTCACTGAAATATATTTTCAAAAATGAACCGATGAAGAAAATTCAATTGGAAACTTTTTATCGTTATTTTTCAGTCCGTTGAACATTTATGCAGTTTTGATCAGTAAACCTATTTTCAGCGACTTTCAGATTATATTGACATCAGGACAGGATAATTGACCCAAAGACCAATGTACACGTACAACCAATGACAATAATAAAAAATAATAATAATAATGTAGAAAGTTCAGGGGCTGAAACAGCTGGCGATGACCCTTTGTTTGTTTTTACTTCTTTTTCTGGTCTTTAACGCAAATTTTTCAGCCTGCAGCCATTTGAGCGTCTCGAACTATTCTATCGATATGACTCTCCTTTTCAGTTGATGTTCTAGAATAGTAGCCTCTCATTTGTACCTCAGTTTGCCAACTATAGAACAGATATAAAACATACAATACAAATATATACATCGCCACAAATATAGAAGTCTGGGTACATTCACTCCTCTAGAGTACTCGATATTCCTCGGGGCCGGTTGAACAACCCCTTCCTTTCACGCTAATAAATTACATCCATTCCACCAATTTAACATAAATGCACATCCGATATAAACATAGAAGTCAGGACACATCCACTGACTCCTAATGCTCGCTATTCCTGGGGCCGGGTTGAACAACCCCTTCCTTTCACGCTAATAAATTACATTTATTCCTATAAATTAACATAAATACAACGCCCAATACAAGCGTAGAAGTCAGGTCACTTTCACTCCTCCGGAGTACTCGATATTCCTCGGGGCCGGGTTAACAGTTCCTTCCTTTCACGCTAATAAATTATATTAATCGTACATGACATAATAAATGTACTTCCAGTAAATTTTTCTTAAAATAAAACTGAATCAAATAAATTTTATTAAAAGATTTTGCGCATAAAGCAAATAATAATAATTAATGCCATATTTTTCTGAAATGTAAACTTTCCGATTTTTTTGTCAAATGGTCGATTTATTTAAGTTGATGAATAAATTTTGCAATCTCGAAAGAATTCAATTATTTCAAAACAAATTTTTAAGAATATTTATAAACGCACCACATTCCATACGGAATAGCCAAATACAAAGACACAAAACTACAAACGCATCCAAGAATTTATCCACAAAAATATCTAAAAAATTCATTTTAAAAGTATTTTATCGATAAAAATACTACTTACTTTGTTTTTAGTACCTTTCATGCAAGAAATTGCGCGCAGTAACTAATCGATTAATTCCAACTATTGGAACAAAAACGCCACCGGGACTGGCACAAAAATATTATTATTAAACGAAAGGTTTTTCCACGAATTACAATTTGAAAGACTAAAATGAACTTTGAAAAATCATAACGTAAGAAAATTAGTCGTTAGTCATTTTATTTAGTATTTTGTAAAAATGCCTCGGTCGTACGATGTTAACATAAACCAGCAAGGGTGGGCGAAAAAAAGAGACATTTAGAGTGATTAGAACCAATTAAAAATAAATAAAAATAAATCCGACAGTATTTTTCTGAAAAGGCTTTTAGTTATTATTATCATTCAAATTAAACTTTTAACAGAGCATTTTATATCAAGGTGTTAGTTGGTTTAGTCATCATTGGAGAGCATTGGACCGGGTGTACTCCAGGGAACTGTGCTGGATCCTACACTATTTTCCGTCGTTATAAACTATCTGCACTGTTTGCAGATTGTACACCTCTGTAGGAAAATTGGCAATAATAAATTGAAATGGAGAATTAGACCGAACAGCACGAAAAGCGAACATGATTTGGTGACCAGGGTAGACCACATCATTGTTTGAGGTTAGGTGACGAGGTCATCACATGGTCGACCAGGCTTAAAAATCTAAACTTAATTCAAGCAGCAATGAAAAACCTTTTCTCAAACCTCAACAAAAGATCGCATTTAACTATATAAAAAATAATTTATGAATTACCTATGAACTTGACTAGTGGAGGACACCGTCTTAAATTTCTGTCCATTTCCATTTGGCAACACAGCTTGAATATGATTACATGATCAACATCAATAAGCTAGATAGCAGTTTTCAATAATATTTTTCAGGAGTCGTGTCCCGAGGCCATCCTGAATCAAGTAGCTTTGAACGATGGTTTTGCTTTGGTTACTATGTCCAAACCTTTCGTAATCTTTTGAAGGTTTGAAGTTTACCCTTTAATTAATTTTTGTCTCGAGCTAAGAGGTTTTGGTTGATCTTGTTGGATCCTTTGCACACGCTTTGTCAGTTCATTAGCTAAATAGCAGCCTTCATTATCAGCCTTTATCAGGTCCTGTCATCATGCTCCGTCTTGCCATCCTGAAGCAAGCGTCTCTCCGGTGCAGTGTACGTAGCAGAGGGCCATCAAACTGTTTTCCTTGGATTAAATGGTGCAAACTTCTTATATTTTGAAGGACCCTTTAATTAATTTTTGTTTCGAGTTAAGAGGTTGTGGTTGATCTGGTCGGATCTCTTGCGCAACCTGTTTCGCTGGTTCATCAGTTCGCTCGATTTCACGTAGTTAGCCGTAGCACAACACACTGGAACACTACTCGATTTCCTTTATTGATGAGGGTACTTACGGTTTTACCTCTTCAGAGACTGGATGATCGGATTGCTGGTATCAGCTAAATAGAAGCCTTCATTAATGTCTTTATTGCCGTCCTGAAGCAAGCGTCTGTACGGTGCAGTGCGCACAGCTGAGGGCCATCCAATAGGCTTTGCCACGGTTTTCCTTCAGTTACGTGGTCTAAACCTTTGGTAATCTTTTGAAGAATTTTTGTTTCGACCTAAGAGTTTGTGGTTGATCAGGTTGGATCCCTTGCTCGAGCGCAGTACATGGTACGCAGTACAACAGGCCAACTGTTTTTCCTTCGGTTAAATTGTTCAACTTCTAGTAAACTATTGCAGGAGCCTGAGGACCCTGCTTGGCTAGTTCATCGGGTCACTTACAAAGCAGGCCGTCACGGCTTGGAACCCAACGACTTTTCGCTTGTTGCTTATACCGATGAGGTCACCTTTTACCGGTGGTACAGCTAAATACCAATTCTGGCCTTGGTGATGTTTCTTAATTCCTTAAGGCCAAATTAATGACCCCTATCTCTCCATCGAAGTTAGTACTGCCCAGAGTTCGAAACCGCGGCAATACACACCTGACCCCGCATAAACACCATCTCCAATGCGAAAACCCTCAACTACCAGTCCGTCGTTTTGACCCTGCTTCATGTAGCAAGTTCACTTGGTGCATCTAATTATAAGCTTCAAGTTGTTAAAAATAAAACTTTAATTTTCTACAATGTAAACCAGCTGTTTTCCACATTTTTCTAAGTAATTATTGCTTATTGGGCGTCGGTGGCCGCAACGGTTTAGGCGTTGATACGGCGCTCATCATTGTAAGGTAAAGGTCCCGGGTTCGAATTCAGCGGCCTCGCAATCGAACCCGACATACTTACAAATGGGCTTTTTTTCAAAAACACCGGCACCCTGAGGGTTGATATAACCTCTGCTGTTGGGAACCCTCGTTCGAAAAAAAAAATAGTTGGCCTCTCCAACCAGCATAAACCTGTATCTCCATCCTGTTTGTCAAAATTAATTCAACTAAACTTAGGTAATCTAAAAAGTCTACTGTGTTAAGGCTGATTTTTTAAAATAAATAATTCTAAATTGTCCTAAAATTTTCTGTTAACTTTTTCCTCTTTTTACTTAATTTACTACGTTTCATTTATTTTTTTGCTGTTACGTTTAAGTTTTTATTTATATATTCATTATGACTGTGCATAATTGTATACTTTTTTGTTACTCAAGCAGGGGCTCAATGCTATAGAATAAAATTTATTTTGTTTTTCTTAAATATTTTTTTACTGAAGAGGAAAAAGACATTTTAGGTACGCTCGATTCTGTACACGTTCGCAGAATTGAGTGTACAAATTTAAAATTTACAGTTTAGTGATGGTTTTACTAATAACAATCATAAATAGCTCTTTTGGTATTTGCCTTTTTGTTTGCAAAACCAATGAAAACTTGTAAGATTGCGATGCATCTGATTAGAAAAATCCACAATCGGAAGCTGCGGTTTTTTCGTCTCTCTCGCGGGCGGAATAAGCAAGTTAAAGTTGGATTAGAGTGACTTCTTTGGCAAAAAGTTGGAAAATTCGAAAGGTCATAGGTTGAGATGGTTAGAGTAGAACCGAAGGTCGTGGGTTCGAATCCCGCTCATAACACTAGGTTTTTCATCTCAACCAAGACCTTACATAAAAGGAATAATTAATTGAAATAAATAATTTGGTCAATTAGACAACTATAAATGGATTATAATTTACATAATAGACCTTGATATTTCAAATGTTCTTTCTTATGATGTTATGCTTCGTCAACAAATTGACCACTACGTTATGTTAATTTTTACAAATGACACACTTAAAATGTTTTATTTTTCAAAAACACCGGCACCCTGAGGGTTTATGTGACAAAAAAATTATTTCTTACGAGACGTATTAGTGCCGCTATTACTGTGATGATTACGATGATTAATTTTTATTTGAACTGAATAATTTGATGAAGAGAACTGTCATC